ATGTTGCGATCTCGTGCTGTCGCTGCCCCGGCGCACTCATCCGGCGATACAAGTCCTCATCAACATAAGCGGAGAAGGCTAGCACCACTGGGACATATTCGACAACCTCCAAGGAGTGTTTCTGAACGGCTGATCACTGCTGTTGAAGGGATGGCCACTACACCAGTTACTATTGTAGCATCCCAATCAGTTGTTCAGCAAGCTGTATCAAAGCTTCAACAAAAGTATAAAGGAAGACTAGGGTGGTCAACACAAGATATTGTTACTGGATATGAGCTTTTTGAGAACCCAGTTAAGGCAGAAGTGTTTTTAGCATTAGAGGAAGGTGAAGATCAGGAGCTTTGGTTAAGAGGTCAAATAGTACGTTACAAGGCCTAGGAATTCTACAGCAGTTAGTCTACTGTGACTGGTTTTGGTATTGTACATAATCAAGCCACATTTGTGTTGCATGTTTGTCTCGATCTTGTTTCATCTCTCCCATATCTTGTGCATCTCTAACATTTCCTTCATCCTCCTCATAACTTGGATTTGATTCCTCAGAGTGATTGATATTTTCCAAGGATAAATCAGCATCCTGGTAAAATTGATCCTCCTCTCCATTTACCCGGTGTCGAATAAAGTTATGTAATGCACAAACTACCAATATAAGTTGAGCTTGTGTGGTAAGGTCAAACTCTGGAGTTGTATTGAGAATTTGAAACCTCTTCCGTAAAACTCCAAAGATACGTTCAATAACATTTTGTAACTGAGCATGACGTAGGTTGAAAAGCTCTTCCTTAGTGCGTGGACGTAAATGAGCTTGTGCTTGCTCCCGCAGATGATATCGTACGGTACGGTATGGTGTTAAAAACCCAGGACGAAGACCATATCCTGCATCTGCAAGATAAACTGTATTTTCATGTCTTAGAAATCCATGAATCACAGCATTTTCTAATACTCGAGCATCATTGGCTGAACCCTCCCAGCCAGAACATACATAGAAAAAGTACATATCCAAGCTGCATCCAGTAAGAACATTTTGCGAGAGGGTACCTTTCCGGGTTACGATAGGGACCCTGCTGGTTTCGTGGGACATGGGCCAAAATGTGTGTCCCATCGATTGCTCCACGAACATCCTTAAAATTGGACATCTTTCCCCAATTTTTCCGTATTTTTGCAGGAATATTGTTTGGTGGAAGATGTACAAATGCTTCATACAGAGGCAGGAGAGCCTTTAGAACTTGATGAAAATAGCTGTAAAATAATTAGAATAATAAACATTTCATATATAAATATTATAGTGCAATTAATACTAACCGTGAAATTGTTTCTCCACTATGCTGAAAGTGTTCCTGAGCTTCCCTATTTGTAGCTCCATGTCCAATAATCCATAAAAACAATACAAGTTGTTCTTCCACAGCTACTTGACGTGTAGCCACCAGTAATCCCCTCTCAATTACCCAGTCTCGAAGGTCTAACAATGTTGTAATTGGCATACGAATAACCTCTAGAGCACGACAAGGATGTGCTTGCAGGATTTCAGCAGTATAAATCATTCCAGTTTGAATAGATATATGAACAGGTTCTTTAGAGAGGAATAGATGAGAATAGAGAGCAGAGGTAATTGCGATATGAATCCGTCTTTGAATTATGGCTGTATGAATTGTGCTCATATTGGGGTGAGATGCCATCTTGGAGGTGTATGAGTTGTTTTCGGAGGTGCCAGTGGAAAATATGATGTATAGGGAATAATCTGGTTATTATTTTTAATTAAGATGTCTTTATACATTACAAAATTTTTTTAATACAAAACTAGCCTAAGTGGGGGACCAGCTACTGTTGCAAACCTGGTTGCCAAGATCCACTTTGGAACGGAACGGTTCTTGTTTTTCTACATTACCAAACACTGGATTTACTCCAACCGTTTTGAAACGGAAGGAAACGGTCGTTTGTATGGGGGAACGGACCAGTTCCGTTCCCGCCAAACAGAGCCTTAACTTTTCCTGAATTTCCTCTTGTGCCATTTCCACAACTGCTGAATTGACACTATCGGACTCACCATGCCTCTTCAGCCTTCCTATTATATGACGCTCCTTAAACCTTTTTAGCAATCCCCCAGAAAAGGTAAAATCAGTATAATCTTCCTCGCAGCCAATCTTGACTAGCTTTTCTTTGATAAGAAGTGATTGAGCTCGAAGTACATCATCAGTGACTGGTACTCTTGCCTCTTTAGGTGCATTAATCTATTTCACTAGCAAGAATTTAAAAATCGAGTACTGTGCCTTCCTTGTCTTTTGCTTCTGTACTTCCGGCCCTATTGTATTTAACCTAGATTAGCATAAAACTAGAAAGTATAATGAGTTTGTAATTGATACCATTTGGTTTTCCCTTTTGAACACAATTTCTCCAGCTCTTCAGGTACTCTGATAGGCTTGACAATGCCAATAGCCTTCCATCTTACCTCTTTGGACATTCTGGCAACTCAGCAAATCTTGCCAGTTTCATCTCAGGATAGTGGGATCATAGGAGGTATAACTCATATTTCTGGATTTGAGTTAAACCTTTTCAGCCTGCGGCATTGGAATGCATTGTGTGTGAGTTGGTCTTTGATTGTATGAGGGGCAATCTACCACTTTCCTTTACCCTGCTCACGCTTGACAATTCTTCACCAATGCTGACTAATTATTCATGGTCTCCGGTGGATCACTATACTGAACAATCTGCTATTACGAATAACAATGGCCTGATACTTGGCATTCGTTATAGCGGGGTGCGACTGTATCTACCGTCGGACATCGTAGTGTTCTAAGTTGGAATGGATGGAGGAGGGATGAAGGGATGGGGAGGGGAGGGGCTGGGGAATCTCAATTTCCCAATTTCACGCCCTTTCCGAACCCTGAACGAACTTTGACCTCGGCTTTCCCTCACCACCACCACCACCACCACCACCACTGCCACTGCCACTGCCACTGCCACCACCAAACCTAGGTAGATACTCTAAGTACGTACAGTTAGATATAACCCCCCTTACATACACGAGATGTAAACCCCCAACTGCGCAATAGCGCTTTGTCGATCTCCCCGCTTCCAGTTCCCTCCCTCCCTCCCTCCCTCCCTCCCTCCCTTTCCTCCTCATGCAAGCACAGTAAGGGCTTTGCTACATGGCGGTACTTCGTGCTTATTGCAACCAGATAGCTCATANNNTTTCAGGTCTGCAAGAGCGGACAATAACGATATCTGAACCCCCATTTGATATTACAGCTGTGGGTGTAAAGTTTTGTCCTTAAAGGGTTGGGTCTCGATCATGACTGCTATTCTACAGAGAAGGCTGATTTACCTGGCTGGCTGAAGTGGATTGTTGTCGGATGAATCATGAATGGGCTAAGTGCGGTTCGGTGCGCTGCCCGAGGTGTTTGAGTGTGAGTGTTAGCGTACCGTGCTGCAGAGTACCAGTGTGGTTTGATGTGCTGGGCTGGGCATCTGGTATCTACTTCGACCATTCATCCATCCGTCCGTCCGGTTCTGGGATTTTGGGAAGGAACAGCGTGATGCATTGATGTCCAGCTCAGCCTCCCTTCCATTCCATTCCCTTCCATTCCCTTCCATTCCCTTCCCTCCCTACCTACTTGCTTGTTTGCTTGCACGCACGAATTTTAGATGGACATGGTACGTACGGTATTGTCTGATGTGGGAGGGGGGGGGAATTGCGGGATCAACCGATTGTCTGATTTCTTGCTTGATTGTGCCACTGTGATACCTGAACCCGAGCTCGATGGCGTTCCCATGATAACTCCTTACTCACTCGCGTGCAAGCACAAATGCTCGAGTACGGTACTTGTGCAGTGCCAGAAAACGCAAAACAGATCGACCCTCCCCTCCAAACAAACTTCGAACATGAGCAAACTTCCCTAGAACAACAGCCGCAGCGATTAAGCTCGAGAGCTTCCTTGAAAGTGTTTTACTTTATGCCCGTCTACAATTACAGAAAAAAGCTAACTACATCGAGTGATATCTTGGCAACGCTACACCCAATGAGGTATGATAATATGTTTTGCAGATCTTTGCTCCCAGACAAACCGGCTTCTCAACCCGGAGAGGGAGGGGGAAAGTGATTGACTGCTTATTGTGCGACTGTGAAGTAACATAACTTAAATGTCGATTTTCAGTGTTTGGCACCGTAAAAATGCTATATAAGCGTGATGCCATATGGTACTTTACAGCACTGTCCCCGTCAGCACTGGAATCTCCCCGGATTCGGAGAGAAAAAGTTGTCGTTTTCCCAGGACAGTAAGACTAGTAGTATTACATACTCGTACAAGATCAGCCCTTAGACGTGTTGGATCACGTCAATTGTGTTTCGCAATTCCCTTACTCCGTAAACCTATGGTACCCAACCGCGGGCCGACGGGGCAGACCTCACGAGATTTCCCGGTAGGCGATGCCGTACTTCCCAAGTCAGATGTGTGAAAAGGAAAAGATAAGAAAAAAGGGGGGTCAAACGGATTTCTCAAACAGCCAGGATCACAACTGCCCATTTCGTGTGGTGATGGCTTGTAGGATCGCGCACATTTGCTACATAGTCCAGTCAGAGGCAGGGGAGGGAGGGCCAGGTTTGCTGGGTTAAACTATATGCGGAAATCGCACATGAACACACATGAACACACATAAGCACACACACGCACCCCACAGTCCTCTATCATACCTCTCTCTTTTTTTTTCCCCCTCTCCTTCTCGGGCTTCTGCCTAGGCTAAGGTACCGCTTCAGCGGAGCTTCGGTTTGTGTAGCACTGTACTCGAGTACTGTACAGCACTTGGGAATCCTCTCTCGATAGTCTTCAATAGATAAAATCAATTTATTTTTCATAGCGGGCCGAAAGAGTAGACTGCCGCCGATCGTGTCTGCGGCCCTGACGGCACCACGTCCAAGAGGCAAAGCCAGCTCAAACACGCCTACCCCGCTAGTGCACGGCCGATAGGTGCGGCAATTTGCTTCTACGGTAAGCATCTTCCCTCCCTCCCTCTTTTATTCTAATCTTGATTTCCCTGCCCCCCGTTCGCTCAGCTCATTGCCCCACTTCGCCGTATTCTGGCAGCCACTTTACCTTAGACTACTTTGCCTGCCTTCCTTGCTTTATCCCATCGCTTCACCTCTTTCCCGCCCGCCATCAATCCGCCAACAAATCAATTGGGGGGTCGGTGTGGTGTGCTTTTCTCTCTTGCTCGTATATCGGTGCGCCGCCAGAACGGTGGAGGTGATGGCGCCTGGGGGCGCGGCGGTAAGGAGTGTAATGGTTGGTTACGGTATCGTAGTTGGTTGCAGGTGGACTGATGGGGTAAGATTTGCTCTGGGCAGATAGATCGGATTCAAACGGGGGATGAAAAGTTGAGCTGGAATAGAATGGGAGGGTGACGGCGCAGCAGCTGCGGGGGCGGGGATCAATGGCGGCGGAGGCAGTACCCAGGCTGGCGGTGCGGGAAGGGAGGGGTGTGTGTGAAGGTGCTGCACTCACTCACAAGGAGGAGGAACAGGAGGGTGCCCACTGGATAAAATGGGGGGGGGGTTGGTAGACTGTCGTGGCACATGTAATTTATGTGCTCAAGCATGTGCTTCCGTTGTTGTTACTCGAGTACACGCACCCTATCGTACTCGAGTACACCACTCACTCGGTCGTTGCAAGCAGGCAATCAATGGATCACTGGACATGCTCATCGCACACCACGCAGCCGCTCTGCCGGAGAAACCTTGTTTCCTTCCTTCCTTCCTTTCCCTTCCCTCCCTCCCTCCCTCCCTCCCTTCTTCTCTATTTGCTTTTCTCCCGCGGATTTTTTCCAATTTTCCAATTTCGCATTTTCCATTTTGCCGCTGCTGGCGGTGCTCGCACATGTCTTTTTGAGTACAGTATGACAGTTTGAGGGTTATCCCGGTGATTGGTTGGAGGGGGTGGTGAAGCTAATAATCTATAGTTTGTCCAAGTACTACTCGGGTACTCGAGTACTTGTTAATTGTGCACATATCTGTGCGCATCTGGTTGTCCCCGTTTGTTTTGTTTTTTTCGTTTTTTCAAACAGGATGTGCACGCCCCCTTGCGATAGTACTTGTAACACCTACGAGTACGGTAGTTGAGCGGGCTAAGTGTCGCATCGGTAATAAGTGCTAGGTTAGTATTCGTTCAGCTCTTTGGTCGATGGTTTTGTTTCCTTTTTCTCTCTCTCTTTCTCATGCCCTATTGGCACCATGTACGAGTAGAACATAGCAGGATGCTAATGTGCTCGCGTAGGCATCGCCGTATCATAGGCGGGAGTGAGTTGCTGTAACTAAGGGATTGCGTGCGCCATAGTCCCACATGCCCAAAATACAGGAGTAGAGGATTCAAGTACAATTCTTTTCTTCACGGACACTCGTATCTCCTTTCCACGGTGGCTTAGTTGATCTGACCACGTTAGAAGCTAGCAATAGCGGGGATTTATCGACAATAAAGAGGATCTAGGGCCTCGGAAACTTTTCATTGCACACAGTTGGACGTCCTGGTGTTTTTCCCGGATCCGGGAAGCGGAGCCGTAGGATACAAGTACGCAGTATGGTAGGACTGTTTCGGCGCTTCTCCTACATACCCCGGACTCTAGGGTATCATAATAGCAGTATGCCGGGGGGGCGCAAAGAGTGCTGTGAGAGAGTATGAGATAGTAAAAGATGGGGAAAAGGGTCTGGACTTTCATTGGCTATGGTAAAATTTGCTCCCAATCTCCGCTCTCTCTCTTGCAGAAAGCCACAAGGTAATTGAGAAGTACAGTATTTAGTTCACTCGCTCTTGACAAGACAATATGTCGTCAGGGCGCATTGAGGTCGGGGGATAGGGGGGGGGGAGCTGTGACCTCTTCTATCCTCCTGCCAGCTAGCTGATTGTGCCATTGTGGACCGTGGGTGCTGTATGCCTTAGTTCTTGTTTCTCCCCTCTTTGACTTAACCTCACTCCTTATAGTGATAGTCTTCTGCAGAAATAAAGTGAAAAAATGCATGCAAGTGTGACGCTCTGCCTCCCCATGAACTATTGTTGTCTAAGTTGCCTATGCCGTGCAGGACTACCCGCACCCTTACCCACGAAACCTTCAACCAGTAAGCTGTCGCGGACAGGGAAAGGGATAAATGCAAAACTGAAAGGAAAGAAGGCAGAAAAAAAAACAAAAAAACATAGCATTCCCGCGGCTTGATTGGGTATACGCTCACCCTTGACGCTGTAACTTACAGCGCAGCCTTTTCGGTGTGTCACTCCAGTATCTGGGAACCCTTTTCCTGGACCGTGGTGAACTGCGGTACTGGCTGATGTTGTCATTGTAGCATACTAGAACTGTACCGCTGGTATAGTCCCGAACAACAAAAACCTGCACTTGTTGCCAACTTGATATAGATTTCTTCTAAATTGATGATGGCCGCTTCTTGAAAAGGTATAATACGACTTCCTCTGGTAGAGTTGTCTAAATAATACGAGTAAATTAGGGCTTGACCTGAATTCTTGTTTTCGCTCAGTTGAGGGCAGGTTTTGGTCGGCCAGCACCAGCACAACGAGCACCGTCTTATCATACAAAAATTTCTTTCAACTACCGTTCGAAACCACACAACCCCGTGATTTCCCGGTGTCTGGCGCAATATGCGCTTCCCCCGATTCGTTAGACTAGCGTTTGTTACGCCATGGCCACCACCTGCTCCGGCCGGCCACCCCCGTCATTGTATTTGTTTTTTCCAAGTGTTTTTCTTGTCCACCTTTTCTTTTTTTCCTTCTTCTAACCCCTTCTTCTACTCGTACTCGTACTGTAAAGATGGCTGTTTTGTTTTTTTCGTTTTTTTTTTTGCTTTCGTCCTAGCTAAATGTTGTGACGGTAGTTACTCGAGTATCATGCTTGTACTGTACAGTACTTAAAACTTAAAACACCAAACACTCAGTTAACACCCTCCCTCCCTCTCCAGGGGCTTACCGGTACCCTTCCCTCTCAAACCCCCTTCTCCTCTCACTGCTGGCTAACATATGACGTTATTGTTTGTCCCAGACAAGAAGCACGGTACCCGAACAGGGGTTACAGTGCTCGAATACTCGAGTAAAGAGATGTGGTAAAAAAATCTGCGTGTATCTGAGTGCCAACACAAAACATACCCCCCCTGTTCTCGGATACTTTCTTTCCTGAGACAAGTACATGGTTGATTTGAGTGGGGAAGTCTGGGGGGGACGTGCGTTTGCACCCCTCTTTGACCGATAATGGGCAGCCTATCACTGCCGGCATTTATGCAGTGTGCTGAGCACTGTATCAAACGAAATGCATGGGGGGAAGGTTTATGGATATCCACAATGCTATGACGAAGGAGGGAGGGAAAGAGGGGAACACAAGGAGGTGAGAGGAGGGCATTGGCTAGTGTCCCCCCCCCCAGCTCCCCGGTCATCGTCGTCCCCCAGTTTAATCTATGCATTCATGAAGCCTCTTCTTTCCTGACCGCGACGCATCAATCAGCCTGGAGTCACCGGTTACGAGACAATCCCCCCGCATATGAACCCAGTACACGAATCGCGAGACTAGCTATCAAAAACGGTACTACACGAGTACTATATACTGCATTGGTGACTTAATGTTGTACCCGCCGCGAGAGCCAATAGTTTACCATCATCAGCAGGAAGCAGCAGCATCGTCACCAGAGAGCAGTCTATTTTTCCGGTACCGCATCTTGCGCTTCAGTGCAGAAAAGGAATGACAATGGGGGAACTTTGCTACATAATATTAACGGATCTGGAATGATAGTTAATTCTCTCTCTTCCTTCCGTCCGTCCGTCCGTCCCTCCCTTGCTTGCTTGCTTGCTTCTCTCTCGCGCTGCTCTTCCCTTCCCTTCTCTTCCATTCCCTCTTACCGGATAGGAAAAACCAAACAAATGCTAAAAATTTTCACCGCGGAGAACAGAAAAAAATTGAAAGGGGAAAAAAAAAGCTAGAGCTATTGCAGTAAAGCTTAAGAGAAACTCACCTTACTCGAGTACAGGCTTTTTCCACGAGCAAACTGTACGGCATTTCTATCGGATGCGGCCGCCTTCAAGAGTAACTAGAGTACATGTGTTCATGTGCCCCCTGTCGTATTGCTGTTCTCTCAATAGTGATTCCGGGAACATTATAAGGTTGAAAAGGAAGAAGAAAGAAAAAGAAAAGGAACAGAGTGCGGGCTGTCTAGAACCGGCACCGTAGGGGCGGTGCCAAACTCATACCATTGTGAACCCTTCTGGCATTCGTCTCCCCCGAGGAAGCCCATGAGATGGAAGCGCAAAAAGACGAAAAAAAGCAGAAATGAAGACTACGCTTGGTGTGCTTACCCCCAGACTACCTGCACTACAAATTGGGATGGGGGTTAAACGTGCCAAGGGCAATTTCATATATATTGAGACTACGCAGATAGGCAAAAACAGGAATGAAAATCAAGAGGACAAAATGGACGAAAAGGCGCTCGATTGCAGTTCCAGAAAGCGAATTAGACGGATAGACCCGCGAATAGTAAAGGGGGCAAGTGAGACTGATACTTGTGGACAGGTTAGCCCTCAAGTCGCGAAATACCGGTAGCACAAATTACCATTCGCACGGATAATAATAATAAGGTACAGTACCGGTACAATGTTTCCCTACCAGGCGAACGCCCGGCATAGGGAGCGCCCATCATTTATTGGCCCTTCCCTAACCTAGTGGGTTGCGTGGTTTCGAGTCATAGTTCGGGGGGTTTAGTAAGCGGGTGCTGGTTGTGCTAAGTGCTGGCTAAATGAGGAAACATTGTGAGACATTGCGATTTTCCGAGTTCTGATCTCCCAACTCACACGCAACATCACTGATTGGAAAGCTAACTATGATAGCTAGGTAGCTGACATTCCGAATAAAGTCGTCGCGATACAATACAAAATTGACGATAACGGTGTAGACTAATATGTGTGTGCGAGTACAGTACTCGAGCACTCCAAGGCACGATTCACCCGATCCGTTCACCAGAGCAACTTCTACTATGACCTTGGCACCCCAGAAAAGGCGATACCAAAAGCTTTCCCTTCCCCCCCACCCACAACTAGGGGGGTGTTTGGCACACCGTGGTTTACCGGTGAGGGTTTGTGGATTAGTATAGTAGGAGGGTAAGGTCCTGTATCTATGGGGTGTTTGCTCCATAGAATTTCTTGTCACAGAAGGGGGCGAGTCGTGGAGGGAAAATTTGTCCTCTTAAGCACTCCCGCCCTTCCCACCTTAGTTTAGTCAAGCCACCCACAGAGAACAACGCAATAGACAACACTTCCACCCTTACTTGATTGGGTCCACTTTTGTGTTCTTGTCTCTTTACTTTCCTAGCAATACTACATACCGGCCAGTCAATTCCCTGTGACATTATCCTACGGTTTAACAGAAGGTCACAATCACGATAATTTGCAGGTTCAACTACTGCAAGATCCCACGGTCGCCGGAGGTTTAGTACGAAAGAAATTCCACACCGGTATCCCTTTGTTTGATTTCGCAGTTTTCACTAAGGGTGATACTGGATCGAAAAAAATAAATAATAGTTGTGCATGATATCTACTCGTATAAGGTTTCCCAAATGTAAGGTGTGCATTGCCAAACGCCTTATAATAGAGAACTTCTACAGGGTAACGGGAAAAAAAAACCCCCGAGTGGCTTTCGAGATTGCCCTGAGAAAAAGAGAATATATGTAGGAAACTAGTAGTATTGTATTTTTCAAACCGCAGTTTATAAGGTTAGCAAACTCTACCTTACAAACCACACTGTGCCAAACACTCCAAACCTTAAATTACAAACCACTGCTTGCAAGTGTTGCCATAAAAACCACGTCATGCCAAACACTCCCTCCAAAACTTTTCATACTATGATATTCCTACCAACCCCCCTATCAACAGGAGCCCGACTACTCGAGTAGAGCCCGAGGCGAAGTAACTCACTAGTATACAGCCCGAAGCAATTCCGGCCAGTAACTAGCAGCATTCGCAGTAACCACGACAAGAAAGTACTCGCGCGACCGAGTTGAAGTTGGACAATATTCTCATACAAAATGTCCATCCCCAATCCGGTCGCACCAGCACAGGCGTGGTAGGAGGCTAGGGGAAGGGAGGATGGAAGGGATGAAAGGGATGAAAGGGAGAGGAAGAAAAAAAAAACCCCCTCCAAAGCCAAAACGGACTCCTTTTTACTGTACCCGACTGGGGGGAATGACAACTACTCAAAACCTGGTTTTCGGAAACTCTCGATTACCGTAGCACCATCTTGCTCGTTGGTAATTGGCGTGAACTTGGCTTGGAGTCGGACCGTTGTTCAACGCTTGGTAAAAAAAAAAAAAAAAGGTTAAGGATCGGTTGGCCGGCCGGTTGGTCGCTTTTTTCTCGCACCAGTCTTATTCTCTCACGTATCCGTGCAGTTTTCTTTTTAACTTTTAACCTGTGATATTGTTATTTTTTATACTCATGCGGTGTCTTTTTCCCCAGTCCCAAAGTCTATTGGTTGGGGTGCCTCTTTTTTTTTACTCGGTCGGTCGGTGGGATCGATAGAGGGAGGGAGGGAGGGAGGAAGGGAGGAAGGAAGGGAGGGAGGGAACTCACGTAGCAAGCAACGTTTACCTCCCACGACACCTTCCTTATATCATACCTCCAACCATTGACCTGACCACGATGTTCCCCCCCTCTGACTCAACAGTCCTGGTCGAACGAACTCAATGGTCCTTCCAATCCATAGACTTGGACATGCAGAGCATATTGGGAATAAAAAAAATAAAAAAAGGACCCGGAACATTAAACATATTCGTGACACTCTTTGAATAGTTACCGCACCTTCTTCACATTCTACTGTACCAGTACCCACCTGATCCCCCATCCTTCTTCCTTCTTTCTCTCACCGGCAGTTCTTTTACTTTTACTTTTTTACTTTTTCTTTCTTCCCCTTTTTGTTTCCTCACCACTACACTCCCGCTATTAGCGCGTTCACCTCATCAATTATTTCCCACGTCCACTACTACGAGCACTAGCTTCCATTCGCACGCTTTTATGGCTTGGCCGGTCCTACTACTGCTACTCGTGCTACTTGCACTCCACGCCCCGGTCCGGGCGGCAGCAGTCGAAGCAGAGCTCATTGGTCGGGACAGGGGCGAACATGTCGGCCGAGTGATGTCGTATGGATCAGACCCCCGCGGCGAGCGCAACAGCAACCCTCTACTTCTTCTCGTCTCTAGGGGGGAGGTCCGAGCAAACACCACGAGCGATGCACAAAACAAAGATCTTAGTGAGGTGGTGGGACATCTGAGCAACAGCGGTGGGTAAGTTCTTCTTTTTCTTCTTCTTCTTCCCCTCCCCCTGCCGATTATGCGTTGCTCATCATTCGTCGTCCCTCCCCCCCGACCCCGGGTTCCTCCGTATATCTGTTTCTAATCACCTTATCTACTCCTTCGTTTTGGTATTGTTTTTCTTTTTTCTTTTCTTTCCGCCCCTTTCACTCCGGCATGTACTGTATTACTCGTAGGGCGGGCCATGGGGAAAAAAAGATAGCATCATGGTACTTGCAGCAAAGGGAAATCATGCTTGTGCGTGTATATTTGCTTATTCGGGGGGATAAACTTCCCCCATCATTGCTACCATACGGTGTATAAGGAATTTTTTGAAAAAAAGGAAAAAGCGATGGTGACATACAGTTTTACCCACGGCGGGCGCAATGGCTAATCTATGGAACGGATGGGACCATATGGGACCATGCACTTTTTTAGTACTCATACGGCACTTTTACTCATTATCGGGATTCTAGTCCCTCTAAGCCTATTGGCTATCTGGGTCCTCGTCCGCGACAGGAAAAAAAAATGTCCATTAGGAGGACCGAGCAATGATCCCGAACACCAGGTTGGCGAGCACCAATCCACCGCATACCCGCTACGTCTCGTCTCACCATCACCACCACCACCACCGCCGTCACCATCGAGGCCGGGATCAGCAATCATACCACCACCAGTAGCCCATCGGAACGGACGAAACAAACCCCCCAGGACAAAAACTTACAACACTTCCTCCCTCACTTCCACTGGTGCATGCTCGACTGCCCCTGCCAAAACTGGAGAAGGGGCGGAGATCCTCTCCCACCTTCCGATATACGTCAAGCTCAAGAGGGACAAGCTCCTACAGCACGGACATGGGGAGGGGAAGGCAAACGGGATGAGAGCAGGGAGAGGAGAATGAGAAGGAGGAGAAGGAGGGTCCCTTACCGCTGCAGAGATGGACTTGACCGATGTTGGTATGCTCCAGCCGGGAGAAATGCCAGGCACCAAGGATACTACACACTAGGGGCGGGAAGTGGAGAGGAGGGAGGTGATATGGTACTCGAATCTGCAGGTGGACATAGACCAGCATGAAAACAAAGTAAAACAAACAAAGAAAAACAGGCTTTTTTCGAGTAAACACGATACCGCATACTGTATTGTATATTACCTGATAATGCTATATTCCACCACAACCACCCCTATTGCTAAGGGAAAGTTTTCCCAAATGTTAAGCAAGACCTCTTAACTTTCCATTTCTCCCTATTTTTTACCACACCATAATTCCATCACTATACTCACTCGCACGCCCAGATATGGCAAGCAGTCAAAGCAAGTACAGCACTCATAATCCAAGCAAAGCAGCATAGTCTACCTAGCACAATCCCCCCCTCACAAGAAGTTTTATAAAACAAACGGAAGTTACCAAGATAATATATCCCCGCCCATCCTGGCCATCATAACCGGTTCGGGTTCCTCAAGGTACAGTACAGTACAGAATACAGTAAGCTACCAGTCGCAATAAAATATAAACTTTCACTATAGACCATCAACTTAACCGACCAATACTCGTAGAGGACAAATTTACTGAGTTGGCAGTCTTTTGGCAATCGTAGTTTCTCTTTCCCATACCGGCACTCCCACTCGTGGTAACTTTTACGAGTGCGGTTTGCGAGGCTTGCTGATGGATGCTGCAGAGAAGAAAAAAAAAAAAAAAGCTAGCTATGATAATAATGGATGTGCTACAGTAGTTGTTTTTTTTTTTTTTGTTTTTTTTTTTCAAAAACAGCCTTCCCGACCCAATTCCTTGGGCAGCATCACAGTCAGTCAGCCTCGGGAATAAATAAAATGAATAAATAATAAGAAAAGAAAATCCCCCCCCCCCCCAGTTTAAGTTACTCGAGTACGCACACACATACATACTTGTACTCGTACAACTAATATATTAAAAAGTTCCTTCAACCCCAGAAGGAAAAGGCTTGCATAAACTAAACTACGATAAAAACGTTATTCTTTTTTTTTTTTGACCCCGGAGGTGGGGAGGGGAGGGGAGGGGAGGCTGAATATGCCCTTACTTCATTTCAGTAGTCGTGTGATATTCGTCCAATGAGTTTAAGTTCTTTATGGGGAAATCAAACACCCTTTTCTACCACCACCTACAATGTCTTTTCTCAGTTAGTTACTCGTACTGTCTCCCTTTGCTTCTCTTTCCCTGAAACTAAAACGGTGTCTACGTTACCGCTTATTTAACACAGTAATTTACAAAAAAAAGGGCTCTCGTCCGATCTTTTTGTTTTTTTTACTGCTATCGTACATCATATCACAAATTGATATATATTATGTAACACGAGCAAATGGCTTGATCGGCTGCTTCCCGTACGTACCGGTACCACGAGAAGCGGATCACTGGTCTACGGTACTTCCGCTGCCCGAATGAAGGAGAGGGTGGCGGGGGATAAGAGATTGGATGTGTGAAATTATAGTAATTGTGTCACAATCATTTCCGTTTTTTTTTTTTTTTTCCTCTCGTTCAAACCGACCGGTGGATTGTGATCCCTGAGGATAGAGGATCGCAACATTGGTTGAAACTTGGGGATGGTGTGCAGATGGGTGGCTGGTTTGATGGGTGGATGGGTGGGTGGATGGATGAATCGAATCGGGGGGAGAGGGTGGAGGGAGGGAAGATGCGGAGGGAAGGAAGGAAGGAAGGGATGCAGTGGGATTGTTTGACAATAGTTAAAGCGTCTGCCCCACTTCCCAAACCTAGAGAGAAGATAGCAGAGCCTATAGAAGATTCTTGAGAGGAGCAAATCATTACAATATCCTTAGGACTCCACGAGGTCAAAAGAGTGTGATGTTTTTTTTTTGTTTTTGTGTGAGGAAGAGAGCGGTGGGGGGGGGGGGTATAAACGAGTGACAGCTATAAACATCTAGAACATCTAGAGAAGGTATGAACAGGCTTATTAAAACATGCCAGAAAAATTCGAGAAACGACTGTTTTGCCATGATTTAACAGTTAATCGAGGGAAGGTGGAACAAAAATGGTTTGACAACAAAAAGAGGCAACCCCAAAATGCTCAAAAAAAAAAAAAAGGGGGGTTTGAGAAAAGGGATAAAAGAACATTTTCGCCATCAACACAACTAATGCCGTCCTTCAAAAGAAAATAACCTGATGACCATGATCTCGTTCTATATATATACCGGAGTCCTCCTCCCTAAGGGATATGCAAACCGGCAAAGCCAGCCAAAGGCGACGATAGGAAAAGACAACAAAAAGCCGCCGGATAGCAGTAAATAATGATAAAACAAGAGTTAAAAAAAAAAAATCTTCCACCCATGAAACGACTGGTATGAAAACCGCGCAATAAAAGATAAAAAATAACCTAGGACTGGGACATCAAGGCAAGAAAGAAGAAAAAACTCCAAATGCGATGAGGAAAAAATAAGGCATGGTTGCGTTTTTTTGTTTTTCGTGAGGCATCAGGCACTTCATCCTTTGCAGCAAAAAATCCCAATGACATCATGAAAAAGTTTCAAATTCCACCAAACCAGAATCAATTTGCAAAGAAAGAGAATCGGAAAAAGCCAATGCAAATCACCGAACTGAGACTAAAGCCGCTTCGTGATTCAATTTGTACGTTCGAGAAATTTGTCGTTGATCCCCACAAAAATAGAGCCTAGAGGAAATACACATCAACCCCAACTCAGGCTTTGTTTGTACTCGTACAGATCAAAGCCCTGACCTCGGCATAAGACGATCTAGCATATCTCCATCCGCAGCAGTCCGCTGATTTCTTCCCTGGCCATGGGGCTGACTCGGATCAATCAGATTCGCCATCTGCATGGAGGGAATCGGATGCGTATTGGGGCTGGATGGGCTCGGGCCTGACGAGGTCGGCCTCGGAGGCGGAGGATACTGCATAGGAGGATGAAACGGATGTGGCGATCCGCTTGAGCGATCCGGCGGACGAAATCCCACAGGTGACCTTGTTCGCTGCTGGCTTGCGCCAGGGCCCGGCGGGTAATAATTACTCGCTGCCGACAGTGGTGGGCCCTGACCATAGCTAGAAGCTTGAAATGACGAGGATGGCGGCCCAGAAACCGGCGGAGGAGAATATGCATGCTGCGCATGTAGAAGATGGGACGAAGGGGAGGGAGGGTCGTTGCGCGCATAGTGACTTTGATATTCACTTGCTGAACTTCTCCTCTGCAGATGGTGCGGTTGCGGCTGATTACCGGGCACCGGAGGGGGCAAAAGCGGCGGGTGCGGCTCTTGGCTCCTATTTCTCTCTGGTTCACAGGTCACTAGCTCCTCGTAGCTTCCATAAGGTGGTTGTGCCGGAGGTGGAGGCGGTTGTCGACCAGACCCAACTCCAGGACTTGGGGGTCGGGGATATTGTTGGGGTGCGCGGGATTCCATGGGGGATTGCGCCGATGGCGCAGGCGCCTGCGAAGGCATCGGAATATAGCCAGAAGAGAGGGGCTGGCCATGGGCTCCGTACAAAGGACCAGCCCGTCCTCCAACACTACGAGTAGTATTATATAGCGCATGGGCGGGAACGAACGCTTGCGTTTGCGATGATACTGGTGTGAAAACACACTCCTGGTTGAACCTGAGGCAATTGGCGCATCGTCCATCTGGAGAAGACTCGAATCCTGAGCATCGAATCTACCGGTGTTTTAGCCAAAGATTTCATACACCCCAAGGATCACGATTTTTTACCTTGCGTCGCCGACAGTACCTGCAAGCAATTGCGGTTCGTTGTCTGGGGGCAGGTTGCTGGAAATTGGCCGGTTGTTGGAAGCCAGGCAACTGGTGGGGTGGAATGCGGTACGGATACGGTGGCTCAGAGGCTGCATACATTTCGGGCTGCTCAATTGCGAGGCGTTCCTGCTGTATGGGAGGGAGATGAGGAGTTTGGGCAGGTGGAGGAGGGTGGGGGTGGGGGTGATGGTGCTGTGAGTGATGCGAATGGGGAGGAAGTGGGTGTTGGGCTTGGGACTGGTGGGGATGAATTGGGTTTACCTTTTTTAAATGAAATAAAATGTCAGCCATCACACACGAAATTAAGAAAGGTGGAAAGGGCCTACGTGATGCTCAGAATAATGCAATTGTGATTCGGTTTGAGATGGAGAGTTGCTCCTGCCAGGGTGCTGCTCTTTGTCTTCTGTTGTTTTCTCCCACTCTTTTTGATGCGGGTGACGTCCGTTAGGCGGGGAGTTCCAGGACATTTGCGGGTACGAAAGAAGACGAGGCAGGGACAGGGAGGAGGATGAGCTTTAAGTGTCAAGAGATGGAAGATTTCCGGGGCATGGTATGTATGTACGTATGCAGAGGTAAGACTTGTCGAACCGAAAGGCTTCGGGAAGGGGGCAGGTGATCTCAAGCACGTATAGTACGGTGCGGGATGGGTGATAAATGTAAGGGCCCGCGGTGCCAGGGAAAGGGAGGGAGTGAGCGAGGGATCGGGAGGGTGGTAAGTAAGTTAGGGCAGGGAAATGAACAGAGGTGTGGGTGGCCGAATGTGGTGGATCTGATTGTCTGGAACCAGAGTGCCGGGTCGGATACTGGTTGCTTTATCAGCTTTTTCCTTTCGAATGGGGGAGAGTGCGGGAAGATGGCGGGCGGCGGGGCCGTCAAGGTGTGCAGCGGGTCGCAGATCGCAGGAGAGAGACAGAGGCTGGTTGCAGGTGGATGGATCAGCTCTGCCAGCCTCTGCGATGGGGATTCAAAGTGATGGAATTGATGGGGTGATGATGGATAATAGTTTAATTAAAGGAAAAAAACGGGCGAGCGAGTAACCCGCGGGGCGGTGGGGGGTGCTCCTGATCGTTGCTAGTCGGTTGAGATTCGAGCGCGAAAGAAGCAGTTTGTGACCTTGTGCGGGTAGCGGAGGGAAGAAGAAGGAGAGGGGAAGGGGGGAAGGGGGATTAATGTTGCTTGTGTGCCTGCTGGCTTGCTGGCGTAGCCGCCTGTGTATCTAAAGCCAAATTCCCCCCAGGATGAACAAAACCGAAGGAATTTAATAATAGATGGTAGAATAGTTTTCAGAAATATGAATCCCTCACTCCCAAGTAATGATAATAGAAGACAGAATAATAATAAAGTGGGAGAGAAGGGGGGTAAATATCAAATAGCGGTGTTGAATGAGAAGGCCGTCTTGCTGGCACTTGATTCCAAAATGCCTACCCTACTTGGTACCGGTACTGTACTCGTAACACAACAACGGGCTCCCACCACTACCACTCGAATTTTTCAAAAAAAAAAAATTTAGAAGAGAAATGGAAAACGAAGCAAAGAGGGAGAAAGAAAGAACGCCAGTCGATTCTTGCACGGCTATCGTCGCAGACTTTATCTTCGTGGTGTGCTCACTTGGCTCTACCGCAGGCGAGTTGATTGTTTTACAGATGAGATATGACTTGGTCACAGTAGATGAGATTTGGAGAAGTGACTTTTTGTCTACCGGTGCTACTAGTAGATATGCGCCCTTGTTGCGGCACCACGCGCGAGGGGCGCGCGCCAGTACTAACTTGCGTGTGCTCAGGCAACAGGAAGCAGTGGTGACTGCCTGTTTGAAAGCGCGTTGTGAGAGAGGATGAGAAGGAAAAAAAAAAAAAAAGCGAAGCGGCCGGCGGCCAGCAAAGAACAGACCGGAGATGTCTTAGGCTCCCGGGCAGCGAGAACCAAAAACTGTAAGAGACAACAACAACCGGCAATCATACACTAATGGAGCCAGTCTGTCCTCCCTAGTGTTACCGGGAACAGCCTTCCAACCAGCTAGTCCAGGCTCTTGTCTCTGTTATATCATACCTCGTCCCCCCGCCGATGCTATCGAGTCTGTGTTCGGTCAACCCTGGAGCTACCGGGCGGCTACAATTTCTAGGACTGCCCTGGCGTCCCCTGATGGTAGTGAGCAAGGGCAATTGATCTCCAAGTGTTGGACGTATTCGAGCGGAAAGGGGGAATAGAGTATCCTGGTGCGGCAACAACGAGAGCACCAAAGAAAACCAGGAAAGAGGTTTGATCAACCAGGTGGGCAGAAAATATATGCACTAAGGGTCGAATGGAGTTCTCAACTACCTCGTACGTAGCCGGCTTGCTGGCGGGTATGCAAATTGAGCTATCCACTCAGCTATTGGCCAGCCAACCATCCGATCGAGGTAAGAAAACACAAATGCAAAGCGGGGAACCACGCGAGAACCAAAATTGGTGCGAGGGTGGAAAACAAGTGAAGAAGGAAGCTCCACGCAACCACCGGAGAGAGAGAACACGGTAGAAGGGGTGAGGAGGGAGGCAGGTAAGTATGGTATGATAGAGAGCACGGAAGGATTCGCGCAACCAGGGTAGGGCACGGTACGGGAGAGGCAAGGTATCGTTTCCGTACCATCACACATAATCAACGACAGGTCCGCAGCAGAGCGGGAGCTAGTTCTTGGACCTGGGCATGGTGTCCTTTGTGGCACTGTACGAGTACGGTACTAGTACAGTGCAAGAATGTCGTAATTCAAAATATAGTACCGGTATATACATGCTGTAGTGGAGCACTAAGACAGGCCCTTAAATTCCGGTGTAGCTGTACAGAAATATGAAAAACAACCGGCGAATAGAGGGAGATTAACTAACGGACCAAGCGGTTACAGAAGATACAGAAGAGGAGGAGGGTCGCGTTGATATGGCCGGCCCCTCCGAATCAAATGTAGATGGTTTTCAGTATGATGGGAAACATTGACTGGAGGGCCGGATTTCATGGATAGCACACATTTTCTATTCTTTAATCTCGGCAACCTGCACATTGATATTCAGCGTTTTGACTGGCGTAGAACAGATGAGGGCGATTGACAGCCATATCCGAGCATCATAGAACATAGGGCTCAGTACAAAGTCTAGACATCATATTCCCTAATTCCATTTCTTTCTCTTTATCGAGCGGGACTGTATCTCTCTCTACTGTGCCTCCATGCCGGCCTTGCTTTCCGCGACACTTCTCCAGTGCAGTGGAGCCAAGCTGCAAAGGCTCGCACGGCAGTGAATGGGCACAGATAAATTATCTGACCTCACGCAACTGGGTTCGCTAGGTTTCATAGTGTCCCCTACTAGGAATATACCATAACTACCGTACCGTACCGCCCCTCTTCGCTCGCTGAGCAATGCCCCGAGTACGTCGTGGTGATGTGAGTTGTCCGTTGCAGCACAGGAGGAATGTACGAGTTCTGTACCAGTCTCTGGTTAAACGTATGATCGCACCAATAAGGGACACCAGCATTCCTGACCTTGCGTGCAACCTTCGATTGCATGTATCAACGATCTTGCACTTTCGGGAACGTGATGGTCAGAAACTACGTGCGCGACGAGAGCTCCACATGACTGGTGACATCAATAAGGGTAGCAAAATGCTGGTGACGGCTCCTAGCCTCGTGTCCGACTATATTGGCTTCCACGAAAACCCCCTGTTTTCCTTTTAAACTTATTTAGCACCAAAATCCCGAATCCATCAACCACCCCATCGTCCGAGACAGCGACTATCTCCACACTTTGGGTTCTATGGTACTAGCAAACGGTGCATGGGCTCATGGTCAGCATGTTTACCCTTTTATTTTATTTCATTTCTCTCTTTCTTTCCCTTTCGATTCCCACTGCTTACCACCTTATTCGGACAACATTGAAACTTTAAGCCATGCTAGTCCGATTTCCCTGTGATGCCGATGCCAAATATTTGCATCATTTTGACCCAGCGACATCTGAAAGACAAATACCACTGGTTAAAGCTCCAACAGACGAAATTGCGTTGTGCTGGAATATGCTGGAATAAATATGGTATCGTCATGCCAAGCCCAACACCAGACTGCTGAATGTTCCGGCGATTTGTGCTCTACCGCAGCCCTGCGTTCCAATCCAGTTTTGCCATAAGGTATTCCTCAGACAATCTTTTGCAAATGGGCGAGGAGTAGCGACGGAATGAGAGGGGATCATAATTCACAAATATTCTGATACCTGAACAGACCAGACCGGGAAGATTCCATTCTGGGGATGGTGTATCGACACGTCTGGCAGTTATCTTCTCCCATGCCGTATGTTATGTCTTTTCAGGTCCCGTGGGTCAAGAAGGGAAAGTGTGTGCTGTATCATACCGTATCACACGCGAATGTCTCAGTTGCCCGGAACGGTTCTCTGATCCCAACCATGTTTGAGGGCGGGGATGAGGCTGTTTACAGCCTCAACTCTACTCGAGTACAGTACCGGTAAGCGAGCCATGTCACAGCGGGGTACTAGTACCGGTACCTCTCTTCTGTTGCCGCAATTTTCTCGAGCGCCGATTCGGTCAACTTTGAAACATTCAGGTCATCAGCAACTGGAGGCAGGATTATTTTTTTGAGGGCGTTTGGATGCTGGTTCCATTCTTCCGTTAGCGGCTTGTGTCACACAACACTTCCCCATAAGCTCAGCTACGGTAGCAAGGTGGCGGCCCGCCCCGAGCCCCCCGCAGCCAAATTGTGCTCCTGGCAATTGGCCCTGCCCATGAATGCCGTATCAGTGTCTCCACTCCATTTCTTATGCCTCAGAAAATTTGTACTGAGTCAGCAGGGCATCTGCGCTAGGCTTTTGAAGAACCTGGCTTTCTCAATGTGAGCCTTACAACCCCCCTGTATTTCATGCTCGGTAAAGACCACAGTACCAAGTTTCATCGCCCAACCCACCCGGATGTTTCTCTTCAGATACGGTATGCATGTGCGTCATCCATCTTTTCACACCGTATTGGATATAGGGGGGATAGTTCAGCGGTAATGGTGTCGCCAACGCCAGCACCAGCAGCCCAGAAAAATTCTCGTCGACAAACACCGGTATGTCATAACTGCGACTAAACACTAGATTGATCGCACAGCACAAATAAAAAGAAAGAGGTAGTAAAGCGGTCCTCTAGTTGACGGGAGGGAATGCCGCGAACCCGATTCTGGGTCTCCGCAAGAAATGTTTTAACAGAAAGTTATCAGCTGAGCTGGGCTTGGTCCAAACACAGTGCAGGAAGTTGTATTAGGAAAAGAAGGACGGACGGTTTGAAAGATGGGACGAAATGTAATTGCGGGTCTTGGGCAGAGCAAGCCGCCGAAGAGTCTGTGCGTCTTTTGCGAGGGGGGTGCTGTAGTACCTATTAACGAAATTGAGGAAGTTGGACCCTGCGACCGGCAGCATCCGATAACAACCGACAGCCGCAATCGATAACCATTTCCGCTAGTTATCATCGCTATCCACTTCACCACTGCCGTAAAAGCTTGAATAATTGGACGGCGTGCTATGCCGTTGGGCTTTCCTCATTCAGTACCGGTAAGGTCAGGAGTTTTTGTTTTTTTCTGTCTCGGAAGGGGGAAGGGGCTGCATTTTTGCTGTGTTTTTTTGCCCCCTTTCCAGAGAAGGGAATTTTGGACTACATATCACACCGTCCAATTATTCAAGTTTTAACGGAAGTATCATCTTCCCCGCCTATGGATTCCATGTTGATGCCAGGCATAACTACACAATTGAGATAGCTGATCCACAACAGGGGTACAGCTGTCATTTAGCCTGCCGAACTGAACTGAAAAGAAAAAAGAAAGGAGTGAAGTACAGGTAAAAAAGCAAAGAAATTGTCTGATCATGAACCGCAAGGAAGGAACCCTCCCCACTGATCAATAGAAAATAGAAGGGGAGAGTGTGAAAAAGGAATAGCAGGGCCGAAAGCCGAAGTATCTTCCTGAACGGCAGGTAGACTTACAAGGGGCTCTGTCCTACTGAATATTCATGGCTCTCGGATGCATTATCCGCAGTCACTTCCACATCGGCAAGACGTTTCCCAACTGTGAAACCACAGAGCCTCAGGAGCTCGGTATCTCCATGGCTCTTGGGGAAGCAAGCTCTGGTAAGGGGTGACGCTCTCCCACGATCATCGTCAGCAATGTGCTTGTCATCAAGCGGAAGAATTGAAAGAAAAAGAACTCTTGCGGGTGACAAATCTCGAGGGGTGTCATTGGTACACCCAAGTACCAGTCATGTGGAGCGGGGAAATATAAACATCCTTACTATGTGGGCAGGAGATATAATACCGGCAAAGAAATTGATAACGAAAATACCATTGGCGCAAACACGGGATGGGTGTAGGGGACATGGAAACGGAAGCAGAGAGCAACCCCATCCAAGAACACACGATCGATTGGGTATGCGAGGGGGATTTGGTGCTCTGACCGATCAACACAGCGAGAGATTCTAGACAAGCAAGCTAAAATCGTATCGGGTGAAATAATGAATTCAACCTGATAGATCACCTCCACGATACATGGTGACTGCTTTGCAGTTCCCAAAGCCCTATGGGAGAAAGCAGATAAGGGTTGACCCCCCGCTCTGAGAAGCGGGAAAGGTCATCTAGGACATGCAAACCGAGATTGACCGAACAGAAATCATGACAGAACTGCAAATAAGACAAGAATTGACCTTTGGAGCAGTTTTCAAAGCATCCTCCTTTTTTTTTTTTCTTTTCGGCAAACGCTCCAACGCCTCGCCCTCATCCCCACTGACACCAACGCCCAAAATCCTCACGAAACTCAGCTCCCGCAAGTACTCATACACGTTTGAGACGCCCTGGTCTCCCATCGAAGGCTCAGCAAAGTGGGCTCGGCGGTTGGGCTCCTGGTTGCTAAAGACTACTTCTTGTACATTGTCACACAGTCCACGTTAGCCCTTTGGTTCTCAGTTCTGCGTGTCCAATAAGCTTCCAAAAGAGCTACCAACACGCAGCGAAGTGAAAGGGAGGTTATCGAGTCATTGTATACATGATTTTGGAAGATCGGTACGAAATTTAGGTGTCGGTGTAAAGTACAGTGCACCACAAAAGCAAAGCCATTCACTCCAAGCAACTCACCCAGAAGCTTTGACTCGGCGGGGTTTGGGGGAGAAGAATGGACCCTCTGACGAGGCATCCGAGAGCAACATGAAAAAAGGGTCGCAATGGCCTAGAGGAGACAATCCCTCCAAAAATCGCTCAATAAAAGAAATAAACTGCAAGAGCAGGTGATCACCTACCCGCAAAGGCCGGCCCGGTTGCACAGAAAGGTAATAACACGCATAAGGCCCCTTTATTCCCGCGCGCGACCTAGAAATATCAGTCAGAGGGAGTTTTTTCTGATCACAGTTTCGTGTTAATATGGTAGGCTCAGGGCTCTTCATGTAACCCAACTCTATTGGATAGACCAGTTCTCGTAAAGAAACCGACAGGCCACGTTGAGAGTGGAGACAACGTTAGCAACAGAGAGAGTGCAATTAATTACCATGCAGCGGAAAAGCGTGTTTGTGTGTAATCAGTAAATCAAGTTTTCACAGAAGGCGAGCTCGTGGGCTCCATCCACACCATAAACGGGCAACAAACCTCCTATTTTGCTTACGCACTTAAGTGATAAACCTTACCTTGTGAGGTGTTCGATCATTGCGAAACCTAATATCTCTGTATATTCTGAGAATTTGGCCCACGTACAAGTTAAATTAGCCTCCGATGAGCTTTTTTTTCGAGCATTTGATCGGAGCATCTAGTTGTCTCCAAACACCTATAACAGAGCTACAGACACCAAAGCCCCATGATCAAATATACCTCAACGGCTAGCTCTAATACTGTAGCAGCTTAAGAGCTGATCACTTACCGTGGGAGGTCGGGCGACGGAGAAGGGCAACATATGATATAAATATGTATCTGTTGTCCTCTCACAAGTGAATCGCGTCTTATATCGGTACAGATATACTGATCGCGAGAATTGTTATGAATATGCAGGTAGGCAATATATCAAATGACTTCAGGAAAGCAGACTTACGGGATCCTCCACAAGTAGCCCAGGAGTCGTGTTGTCGGTGTTTTCGGTGGTCCCTCTATTCGCCTTTTCCACGAAGACTCGATGTTCGCAATCGCAGTACGATATAAACCTTCATTCTCCGAATCAATTATAGAAACGTTTCAGCGTATATCCCCCATTCACACCACGCCTAATTCTTATGGACTGATGGAACACAAGGAATTGTGCAAGCTTGGCGCTGGTGACAAGGTGGTGATTGTTTCGAAGACATATCACTAGACTAAGGACAGACATTGTCTTCCTTGGGAGGTAGAAGGAAACTAAATGCATTAACACTGCCTCGATAAATATCACTATTCTAGAGCATACATGAAAGTAATCCAGGGAGTAATCTAGCGACAGATAAGCTGGAAAGGGTAAATGTAATACCTTTCAGGGGCGCTAACATCGATGGATGTCCCAGGGGCCAGGAGTCTGTGCAGGGCGGATATTTCGCGCAATTTCTTTTGTTCCTCTGTTTCCAAGGATTGTTAACTCAGTAATTATAGCGATTTTGTATCGCCACTGAAGCCCTTTTCCCGCTGTGCTTCTTTTTTACTGCAGGACATTCTTCCCTATAATGTTGCCCGGATCCTTCCTTGGAAAAGCCGTCTTCAGGTCTGCCTCCAATTTTATCATCGTCTGATGTATATTCAAAGCAAGGACCATTAAATTAGTTGTAGAAGCCTTAACTCCAGCGCTTAAGCAGCTAACCTATCAATTGATTGGGCTGCGAGGTAGTCTCTCCAGCTACTACCTTCCCTAGTGGCATAGCGCAGTGCACTAGTAGAATTGAAGAAATACTGTGCTGAAGGTTCTTAGATGTGTTGTCCACGGAAAGAAATGCGTTTACTCCTGGAAGTGAAGTCGAATCGAAATGGGCTATTCTCGTGCCCCGGATATGGGGGTTTTTTTTTATCTTATCAGATCAAAAGTCGGCTACGGTAATTCGAAGGATTAAACGCCTCATACTCCATAATTCCAAACTTCATCCCACTCCATCCAACAAACCAAAGGGGAAATGTCTCAGCAACTACACGCACGCTTTGCGGCTCACAAAACACAGATCTTAGCCGAAATTTTGTCTCCAGGGCCAGACGCATCCCCGAAAGGATCCATCGACCTTCACATCCTTCCCTTGATTAATCGGCTAAACGAGCATCGTAAGATCATTACCACGAGTAGCTGCAGTGGGAGAATAAGTGTTTTCCTGGAGGGCTCGAAAAAGCTAGCTGGGGAGGGTTCTCGAGCAATCGGGGAAGCCCCTGAACCAGACGAGAAAGCTGAATTTCCCTCGGGTAATGCGGGCATGGGTGGAAAAGGTGGGGGAAAGTGGTTGTTTGTTTCCCATGACCCTGTGGACTGCAATGATATGACTCCAAGAGAAGTGTGTCAAATGTTGCTTGGAGGGCATGTTCTCGGTTTAGGTTCTATGAACAATCAAGTTCTTACCGAGCCAGTGCTTTCTGAAGCGGGAACTGGTGTCTCAAGCTCCACCCGGCTAGTCCACATGAAGTTCGAACCTATGGTATGGCACATACGCTCGAAATCCCATAGACTAACTTTGTGCTAACTTACAAGACAAGATACTCCATATACAGACCCTCGATCTTCAGACCGCTCGTATTATCCTCACTGCGGCCTTATCGGCCGGTTTTCGTGAATCCGGAATCATGAATCCAGGGCTCACTGAACATTCGTTTCCCATGATTGCCATACGCTGTAATGGATTAGTGGTGGACTCGATAATCGGCGTTATGAATGTCACCCCTTCCGGTATCAAGATGATAGTTGATGAGAACTATTTGAAAACAATGATGCTTGTTTCATCGTTGAGGTTTGAAGATAACAAGAGGAGGATTGATGCATTCAGTGGCAAAATCGAGCAGGTCCTGTTTAATCAAGGACAAGCTCCATCAAAGGAGAGCAAGGGAGAGCGGAAGATACGAAAACGAGAGGAAGGGTTAAGGAGACAGAGGATTTTAAGAGCCGCTCAGGCACACGGCGAAAGCCAACTCTAGACACTTCGTTGACGCGGAGCCGGCACAGCACTAAAGACATCCAATCTTGGTGCGAAAGAAATGAAAGCCAATGGGAATCTAGATTGGTTTTGTTGGGGAGGCCTCTTTCAAGTCGTTTGAACCCTCGCGCGTCCATGTTCATAATCCTGTGTGTTGCGAGCCCGGAGGGACGATCGCAATTTAAAAATCTCAATATGGTGACCGTGGCCATTTCCGCTTCTCAACGACGAAGCACAAAAAAGTGGGACCTAGCTTTCCTTGTCCGCATGTCAAGAGCAAAATCCCTGCTAAAATAGATAGTCCATAAAATAAACTCGCCATTTCCTCTTATTGATTTCAGCGCGAGTGAACCTCTACGGGATAAGTGCATCCAAGAACCGGCAGGCGATCAAATAGGACATCGAGGTTAAAAGCCGTATTTGAGGCCGAGATAAGTTCTCTCGCCCTCCTTGTTTGGGGGAATTACCGCAGTATGGCACCCTTGAACTTCACAAGTGTCTGGACACCTTTATGTCAAAGCACAGACCCTTGGCGCCAGGATGCCCGAGTATCTTTGAGGTTCGTGAGTATTTGTGAGGGATCGAATTATCAGGGACTTTTAGGTCACTAGAACGGGAGAACACAAATGCAAAGCCATCTACTACGGAGAGTGGTCAAATGAAAGAGTAGGTGCCTAGCCACCATGGAATTTATAGCTAATACCTAAAGTATCGTACCTAGATACTATAGAGGCATAATGTAATCTAGGCCCTGTAAGTAGTTAAACCAGTAACCCTATGTCTACCCCACAGGGGCATTGTGAGAAAAGAGCTAATGGTGCAGGTCAAATCGAACTCTGGCCTCAAAGGCCTTTCTCTTCCGAGACCTAAAAGCCAAGTTGCATGACACTGAAGTAGGTTGCTGCCCCCCCCCCCCAACTGAGTAAAAGGATGAAAGAAATATCATACGAAAAATGATAGCAGGATACTGAGATCCAATCTTCCAGGGATGCTGGTCGCCGCTATGGAGTACTATAAAACTTGGCTTTATACCCTATCCGGATAGCATAAAGTGGGATCCGCGTTCAATTCTCTGGGCAAACCCATTGCCCCCTGCCTAGCAGTTACTATTTCCAGAAAAGCGCATTTGCCACGGGGTTAGGCCTTAAGAGAGCCAGTAGCTACCTTAAGAAGTATCGCGGGGGGCCGAGTTTGCCCAGAATCTACGGTGCTCTAGTTCCCCCCCTTTTCCTTCTCCTGGTGCTAATTTATTTTAGGAAGCATTTATTCTATGAGAAAGATCTTGAAGAGTTTTCTCCAACTTAAATTCTTACCTCAGTGGGCCTTAGCTAGTACCGTGGTGCAAGCTCTTATTTATTTTTGACGTAGCCCATTTTCCCCTAAGCTTTTACCAGTTTACTTGAGCTTACTAGTGCTTCGTGACAACTGAGTACATGTGTTCGGATCAACCTGCATCACCCTGGCTACCAGAATTCCCGAACACTTTACCTTCGTTGATTATGATGGATTAATTCCTAAATCCATTGCTTCTGCTTGGCTGGTTTATGTTTGGATGCTCTGCAGTCAATGCACAGTTGCCGCGGTCTTGATGTACGGGCAGGCTTGAATTAAGCTGGGATACCTAGAAAGATAATTTATGGGCCAAGGTACTCTTTCCCGCCCGGATTACACATCTGCGGCGGGCCGGGCCGTTCCGGGACCCGCGTGGAAGATCTCCCGTTGTCGGTGGTTGCACATCGGCATCCGCTTTCGTCTTTTCCGACCCCCCATATCCTTGCTCCTTACCCTGTGTGACACAATCCTAATACTCGTACCGGTACTGTACCGGTACGCTCGCCCTAGGCAAAAAAAAAGGTCGTTGCGCTGACCGGCCGACGTTGCACAACTGGGTCAATCGAGAATAGCAAAATTTTTCTTGCCATTCACGCTGTAGCCGCGGGCAAAAAAAAAAGAGCCCTCCTTTCATATGTCACAAGTCACAGCATAGAAAACCCTGGAAATCCGATATTACACACCAATCACCGCATGGCCGCAATATATAAAGCGTTACTCGAGTACTTGTGACTCGTCACAGTTAGTGGGCACATGGTCAATAGCTGTCGGTGCTGACCAGGTTACATCACACAACCTGCAGGAATCTTCTTCGCACCGGTTGGCTCTTCCTCCCTCCCCCGAAGTGCTGCTTTCGCGTCGCGTCACTACATTGGGTGAAAGAGCTGTTAACCAACAGATACGGCAGTGGAGACTGCCGGCAGACTCTCCTTCACAACGGGTAATCCAATAGGCAGCTGAGATTCGAATAAAGCCCTAGAGGTGAAGACGTCAGATTGATAATATCACCTGATTGAATTGCTTCCAGAACTCTCAGCTGACACCATTACCGTATTTACCCACCGTGAGAAATGCCGGTAGCTGCCGGGGCGGCCCGACGTCGATCCCTCTGCTTGAGGTTGATTTGCTGGCTGGATAAAAAGCCACTCATTTCGAATAGCAACCTATGAATGAATTTGGCTTCTTTGATGCGAAACCAAGACAATTAATTGCCTAGGATTTGATGCAGACCGACTAGCAAACCAGGAACTATGATAAATTAGCTCCATGTTGGAGCTCCCTCCCTCCATAGGCTTTGTGCGTTGTGGGTGCGATGATCCGACGACCAGCCTTCGCACGTACGATTGGGTTTCACAAATGTACGGTGATCACTGAAAAATTCTGCTCTTGCGGTAAATAAGACCTATTCTGTTGCTGGCTCTTGAGAAAACGACTCTACTCGGTGCTTCGCGCGCCTTGCGATGAACTGCAAGTAGCGCCTCATACCTGCAGGCCACGACGGGAAAGTGAGCATCCACTGCTAATTAGATTGTGATGGGTAATGTAGGACTAGCCTACCTTGGGGGGGGGGCATTGATCCCAAGGACTCCTAGAAACACTCCTCCAATGGGAGCAAGAACATGGAACGAGGGTATTGAAGCCAGGTTTCAGCTTGGTAACCGATCCCGTTGTTCCCGCCCTCCCGCCACCAGGGCCAATGGATGACATGACACCGTGTTTGTGATATGCAGAGTCTTCTCAATTACCGACAACCTGCTTATCGGGAGGAAGTACTTTTTCTACCCGAGTGGTTCCATTAGGAGCAGCAGTCGCGATATTATCATGACAATTACTATGCGTACGTATGCCTGAAAGAGTGTTTTGGGACCAGGATTGCCAGCCTAATAGCAGGGGCGGTCCCTCCTCCCGGCCACCCACCCACAGCTCTTTAGGCGGTCACATTTTGTCTTCTTGGTCAAAAGCCTTACTCCTGTCACCGGTTACGGAATGTTGCCCAACGTCGCAATGATAAGCATTTTCAGTCATGGGGAATCACTCGCCCCATTCCTGTTCATTGCCCCTGGCAGCGTGAGGGAGTGTGGTCACTTTGTTGGCCGCCGGGCATGGCTGCGGTCACACAACCCGCCGCCGTTACATTACCACCATGCCACTCGTGTATCCGCCCCACGTGGAATTATTCCTACCGGCACTTGTCCCAAGCGAGAAGTATCCAGAAATAACCAGTCGTGAGTTTGTCTGGACGTCATATACGCACAGGCTTTGCTATATATTTTACGAAGACCTGTTCCCGGATGCTTCTTGCCTGGGACAAGTAATATAGGCTCTCCCTCCTTTACCAAACTGAAGGAAAACACTAAGGCGTTTTGGACGGGATCAGGGATCAATCTTGGCAGGGATTTACCCTTCATGGTGTTTCCTCCGAGGAGGCTAGGGATGCATTTTGCACTTTTTTCGAACGGAATTGCACTTCTACATCAACAGCTGTGGAAATGATTGTTGACTGAGGGAAAGTTCCCGGGAGGATATATATTAATTAGCCGGCGCGTTTTATCCAAATGTTAGCTTGAATCCCGGATATGTTCGGGGATTGTTTTTTGGTGGCGGTTTTATACTTTTTCCCCACTTGGTACCGACGGTGGGTGTGGGAATGTTCATCCCATCGAATTACCGTTACCGGTAACTTGGTTGATGGGAGCTGTTTTTTCCTACTGAACTCCAGTGCGTGATTAAGGCATATCTGATGCATCGATCTCGCGTCCGCGATTTTGCGTTGGAAACTAGACCGGAAACGGCTGCGACCTCCAATCGATAAGCGGCAGGTAATATTTTTCTGATACAAGGATAAATAAATTATATTGAATCTCTACGGCAATGCTCCCATAAATTTATATTGAATCCCTGCTGTAATTCACGACACACTGGCCGTGAAGGCGACGCAGTATGCTTAGCTCCATGCTTCTTAGTTTCTGCATTACTTGGCCGAGAGGTCAAGGAGGGTTCCATGAATCTGGCTGCTGAATCCCGTATATTGCAATGCAGTTGGTTAGTGCAACTTCGACTACTCTTTTTCCCAAACCTGTGATGTAGTGAGCGATCCTATGTCTTCGGAAAGGGCGCTCTATCAATAATCGCTGGGAAATTTTCGAGGACTTTTCGATTTCGCATCCCAAGTCAGATCGCTAGGACCTGACTTGGGATGCGAAAATTTCAGTGCTTCCAGTCGTCCAGTCCGTCCTAGACGGGGTCAGGACGACGGAGGACGACAATGTCTCGTCTTTGGACGGACTGGACGGGGCGACGGCAGTCGGACAGCACTAGTCCTGGGTTTCCTTTTATGGATACCATATCACCCCATTAAAATTTTTATTTGTTTTACCTTATTTTTGTTTTAATTTATTGTAGCACTACTGTGTGTCTTACTGGGTGGCATTGGGTGCATTGACCAATTTTAGTTGACGGCAGTCGGACGGGACGACTGGGAGCACTGGTTGGTCTGCATTTGCTTCACACCTGGAGCCTTTTCGCAAAGTCTCTATTGATTTTCACAGATCACACTGCGACTGCAGGTCACGTATTAGGAACCTGTATTTGGCTCGTTACAGCTTGATCAATTTCCAACGCGTAATAGCATGCCGCTACGCGCCATCTTTCAGCAGCTCGTACACGTATACCTCCTTACCCACCTGTCACCGATACACATACCTACCGATCAACCACACTGCTCCTAAATCGCTAACACCGGGAGATCCGGGGTAGCCGGCACCCCGCTTCCAAGCTCTGAGCAGTCCCGAAGTGCTACTATCCGTGCTTTACTATTAAGAATGGGTTGGTGCACCTGTCTCCAATCCATAGAATTATTGCCCCCACCGGTTCCTTTTGATATAAACTGACCGGGATCACACAAGATCACACTATTCGATGCGTGAGGTCATATGCCATCACTCGTATTAGAAGACCTCACACGGGGGTGAAGGGCGAGAGGGGAGAGCGGGTTTATGCAAAATAGATCCTGGGGAAATTATATGCCCCTATTGTCACTGCTACACTGTATTCGTTTTTTTTTTCGCGGTGTCAAGTGCATGCTGTAAATCAGTTTGCTCAGCCGCCGGGCAGTTGGCGCCGCTGAATATTAGAGGTATGATAGCAGCTACCTTTGAGTCTGTGACATAGACGGTCTAACAGCTACACAGCAGTGACCTCGCATGCCTGGGAGTTGTGAGGAAGGGCTTAAGATGTCCGAACCTGAGCCTAGTCGGTCGCCCTATTGGAGAACTCGGTGTTTAGCCCCGTCTCCCCGCTCCATTTCCCGCGTGGGTTTATCAATCTGGGAACAGGAGGAAGAGAGGGAGAAAGGAGAGCAAAAGGAAAAAAGAAAGAAAATCAGAAAGACACCTGACCGGGGTTTCCGCTTTAGTGGCCATCGTTACCTTTTTTCTTTATTTTCTTTTTCTGCTTTTCTCTCTCTTCCAGTGGGGTCTAAAGCATGGCGAAAAAACCACCCACACCTATTTTTACCCTAACGCAAACCCCACAAGGCGAGCGAGGCTCCTGCGATATCCCTCAGTTTTGCTTCTTGTAGAACTACCCTACCGGGTATTTGGGACACCGAGGAATCCCGCGAGTCCTACCTTCGTGCGCTGGATTCCGGCAACTTTCTGCCAGAAAAATTAAGCTTGTGATAACCGGGGTCAGTATAACATATACTGCACCCATAATTCCTCAGAGGTAATATAACATTGCGGGCCTTGGCGCGGTATTGGGTAGTGGAATGGATTAGATATGCGGGGGCCGGCGCGAGCCCGTCGTTACTCGGGAATGCCAAGGGTCTTATCGGGCATTTCAGGTTGGATCCGTGACAGAGGTGGTGGTGGTGGTGGTGGTGGTGGACGGGGATGCCGCAATGCCTGGGCACCATGCTGTATCGGGGGAAGGAGGGGAGGGGTGACTCTCCATGATTGGGTATGGTTGGCTCAATACTCGAGTACACCAGAAAGATGCAGGCGGGCTGGACGCATACTCGAGTACCATGCAAACACTCGTACGACTGACCCCTGGTTGGGGAGGCTAAGCTCTTGCTAGTTTATGCCGATCAGGCCGGATATTCAGTGCCTATCGCGGTAGCCACCTCTAGACTAGAACCCGAGAACAATGACGAGCGAGGATTACGCCGAGAACCCGTGTATATGGTAGAATATATACGATTGTGTTGTTAGTCTCGATATACTGGCTCCAGGATTGGCGGAAAAAAAGGGGAGGGGGGGTCTGTTCTAGAGCAATTTGTATAGTATGCTTACTCGTTGTGTTCATGGGATGATAGGATTCTCATTTATGTGCAATCCTGGCGTGCGGGGGCCAGGCGGCTGGGTGACTGGTCTGAGAGCTGAAGGATGGTACGATCATCGAGACGAGCATTAAACTAATGCTCACTGACTGCTTCGGGATGTGTGGGATTTGGCTTATGCATCAGAGGTGGGGCGGTCTAGGTTGTGATATTGAGCTCGATTGTGGATCATTAGGGGGCCACTTTGTAAAAGGTGAGTTGGAGTTGGATGTCTCGTCATTTGTACTATTTTTAAAACTATGATTTATGACTGGGGTTATGTCTCTGGATTGAATAGCACCTGGAGTTGGTCTTCAAACTTACCCGCTGTCTGACACTCGAGGGTTTGTACGAGATCACGAACTGAATGAATCCATTTGGAGTCTAACTAGGTATAAACTACCAGCACTGGTATCACTGTGCCCCCCCCCCCCGCGCGCTCCACCAGTCTGCGTGCCATCAGCTCGTATGATGGCCGCCTCGGTCTGCGGCACTGTCTTCGGGTCGCCTCTCAATCTTTGGGGCTCTCAGCCTTAACCACAAATGAACCCCCGAGCAATATTGCGGGCTCATCGATCGAGTGGTGTTCATAGCTACCGCCCCATCAATATTCACCGACCCTACCATCATAGACAGCAACAGCACAGGGCGGGCAAGGAACAAACCTGAGGACCCCAACCCCTCCGGCCTCCAATATCAACAGCACCGTATTACTGCTAATGCTCTTCCCAACCCACCTCATCGCGAAAGCCCTCAACAAGTGTCCATGCGCAACACACACTACATCCCCGCGGATGTTTCCGTCCCGCATAGCAGGGCTATGCCATTGCTCTCTAATCGTCTTGATGAGCGCATCGCACCTCCTCTCCACATCCTCCGGCGACTCACCCCCCACGCACCCGTCCCGCCAAATGTCCCACGGCTCGTCACCGAGCACCCCGTTTATGCGGCGACGCTCACGGATCTCCGGGCTCGTGAGGCCCTCGTAGTCTCCGTAATCCCATTCCACCAATTGGTCAGTCTCTGTAGATTGTCCGCATAGGTGTGGGCATTTCTCAAAGAGCCCGAGCAGCTCCAGGGTGCGCTTTGCGCGGAGGCGTGGGGAGACGTAGCTTCCTGAGGTTAGCACTGTTATGTGGCGCTCATTGCCACTGTCTGAGATGGAATGGTCATCAATATTATTGGGTGAGGGATACACGTATGCCAATAGGCTCGGGCAGATCAGCTTCCCCTCCCCGATGAGAGCTTCCCCGGTTGCTTTTATGCGCATCTCACCATCAGGCGTTAAAGGGAGGTCTGTCGTGCTGGTGTGTCGGCCGTTGAGCGGCCTGTGGGTGTTGCGCCCAATTGCATCAACACGTGGTGCCCAATGAATGCATATAACATTCTACTTGTATAATTCTCGTATACAGTATGGGTTTGAAAGCAGATCTGGGGTGCAGGGTGTTGTAGCTACCATTCCGTCTCACCTGTGGCATGATAATACTCGTTAGCATCGCAACATGATCTACACACACACACACACATTCTCAATAACTCACCATGGCGAATGATAAAAACCCTCGGAGTGCGTTTAGACATGTTCAGGACGCACGACACCGGTGCTTCGAGTGATTACAATACGGGTATGGTATGGTATGGTATAGTATGCGAGATGTGATGTAATGTGGAAGACGCCTTAACCCTGAGAAAATAAGGAAACCGGGGGGGGGGCAAAGAGAAAAGACTGAAGAAAAAACAACGAAAGCGCACTCAAGAGATCCTGTGATATAAGTACTAATTTTTTTGTTTTTTCTCCCCCAAAAAAGTTCCACATCTCTCTGCCAACCCCCCCTCACGCTACTATTCGAGCACAGTTGTGTAATACCATATATGTGAGCGATGAGTGATACTCGTATTATGATAAACCCAACTTCCACCGCACCATCATAATCGCACAAAGCCCAACAAACGGTTCCCCACAATTTAATCTCGTCAGTCCGATTTCCAATAAGTGTAATATCATAATATCACAACCGGTACGGTAACTTCACACCAGCCCACCCACCCACGGCACCCCCGAACGGCAAGGAAAACGCTTCCTTTTCCCCCTTCCTCGACCCAACCCAGAATCATCACAATTATCACAAAACCCTTATCTCTCTCTCCCCCTCCCCGCGCTACGTCATCATTCAAAAACAAAAAACAAAAACAAAAACAAAAAAAGTAAAATAAAAAAAAATGTCCACACCACTCCTCCGCCGGAGGACTATAATCCTGACCGTCGGGGCTGTGGCGATCACAGCGGTTGGAGCGTATACGGGTGCGCAGCTGAAGAGCGATTTGCAGGCTAGGGGGCGGAATGAGGTGTTGAAGGAGGGTGTCGACGGGAGGATTCGAAGGTAGGTTTTTTTCTTTCTTTCTTCCCGCCTTTCGTGATTGCTAAATTTTTTTTAAATTTAGGTTGGTGGAGTATAGGGATGGACTCGAGAGGAGGAAATTTGAATTGGAGGGAAAGATTCGGAAGTTGGAGAGGGAGGAGTGAGTCTTCAGAAGGTGCGATGTGATGTGATGTGTTTTAGCTGTATCATATGATATTATGGGATAATAAGTCTTTCTATCATACTGTGCTACCGTAGTCATATCGTGAGGACTGCCTGGGGGCATGGGTATTGCGGTATCATATATCTCCAGGCATGATATGATAGGAATACAAGCTCCTGGATCATATCACACATCACAAAAAAACCGAATCATCGGAATTCACCTCCCCCCTCCCATCTATGATACCATTCTACGATATCAGTTACCGTGGTCCATTACCGTATACCTTCCAACAATTTTTCGCCCTGCAGCCTATCATACCCCTTACCGCGTCCCGCCCCGCCCCGCCCCGCCTCGACCCTAACGTTATGATGACCCTTAAATACGGTACAATTTCAAACCCCCTCTTCTCTCCCAGGATAAAGGATTTTCCGCTAAACGAATTTCTATATTTAGACCTGGGTATGATAAGACATGCAGCTCCGAAGCTTAATTGGACTTCTAAGCACGGTTGCTTGTGCGCGGTACAGTACAGTACCGGTACTTGCTTGGCTCTGTGGTGGTATACTTTAGCCACCGCAAATCCACCACGGTGCGGAAGTTGGTCACGGAGGAAGGAAAGGGAAAAGGAAAAGAGAACGAGGGAAAAATGGGGCAGGGGTTTTTGTTCGTCATGCACGGGGCGGTGGGTTAGAGATGGTTGGGTTGGGGGTTGCAATTGAGAGAGGGGGGATAAACACCCTATGATCTCCGGGTCACGTGTTGCCCCGCATTCTTTCCGGGGGGGGATTCGCGAAGTTCGGTATCGTGCAACGCGAATAAGTATGATACGATACTACGCTGAGGAAGTATCACAACTTAATGGTCGATACGACAAAAAAAACAAAACAAAACACAGGGCAGGACGGACACGATCTTTTCATCCGAAGAACGGTAACAAACTGCACCACTAGCCACCATTTCATTTCTCGCAACGCTGCGATCAGCACCAAATAAATAAAATATCATACCTTCCACCTCTATCCAACTCCACCACTACCACCACTACCACCACCACCACGTCCAACCGCTAGCAGATGCCACAACCCTCCCACACCCCCCACCCAAACATAACAATAGCCCCGCCAACACCCCTAACCATCCCACTGCTGAAACGGCTAAACACCCTCCTCCTACCGATCCCGTATCCGCAAACCTTCTACAGCGAGATCCTCCCTTCCCCCCTCCTAACGCGTCTGACCCGTCTGGCATTCTACAACCCCCCGCCATCCTCCTCCCCCTCCGCACAACCGATATGCATCGGCGCCATCCGCTGCAGATTGGAACCCCATGGCAAACTTTACGTGATGACGCTCTGCACCCTGAGCCCGTATCGTGGGCTCGGCGTGGCGGGGAGGCTGCTGGAGGCGGTAGTGGGGAGCGGGGTCAGAGAAGTTTACGCACACGTTTGGGAGATGAATGTTGAGGGGATTGGATGGTATGCGCGGCGCGGGTTCGAGGTGGGGGCTGTGGTCGGTGGATATTATCGACGGCTGAGGCCGGATGGTGCACGGGTTGTTAGGCGTTGGGTGGGGGTTGTGGAGTGGGTGGGAAAGGAGGGGGTTGTTGAGGAGGATGAAGGGGAGGAGAGCGGAGATGAGGAGGAGGAGGAGGGACGGGAGGGAGAGGAAAGGTTTGGGGATGGGGAGAGTGTAAGGGACGAAAAAAGTGAGCCGGAGGGGAACAGAGAAGCGCAAGAGGGGAGTGGACCGAAACATCACGGGGGAGACGGGGGAGAAGCGGTTGAAGAGTAGTTTATTCCCTTTCAACTATATCACCCAATCGCCCAACCACTGACTCCATTCTCAATCAATCAATCAACCACCTAGATCCCGCGAGTGAGTTTTTATGAATGCGTAACGATCTCAGTCTACATACCTAACTAACCACACCACACCACCATCTTACAAAAAAAAAAGCACAAAGTGACCAATCAACCAACCAATCGACAGACAAATAATAGTAGCACACTACAGAAAAAAAAAATAACAGATAAAATAAAAACTAACGCCTATCCCAATTTCCATAAAAATTTCATGCCTTCCTCCTCATGCACATGCGATACTACCCACCCCCACATCAATGCCGCAGGGGCCAATCTAAGTCCCCTTCCTAGCCACCCCCTTTCCCGCAACTTGTCCCGGTGCTGCACCCGTTGTGCCCGTTGTGCCCCCTACTACCCCCGACACCGGCGTAACATTAACAGCATTACTACCACCAACATTACTACTAGCAGAAGTAGCAGCAGTGGCGGCACTATTACTCCCCGCAACTCCCTTCCCAGCTCCAATTCCCTTCCCGGCAGCTTTTCCAACTTTAGCTTTTCCTGGGCCCTTAATTTTCTTAACCCCATCCAGCTTCTTAACGGGTTTTGGAACTGCGTTGCTGGCTATTCCGCCCGCTGCTGCTGCGCCCACAGACGCTGCAGCAACAATCTTCGTCTTTACTGTCTTCGGTTTCGTGGGTTTGGGGGCGGATATTGGGGGTGGGGGTGGAGGGAGGGTAGATATCTGTGCGCGCGTAGATAGTTAGTGGGTTAATCGAGTGATAATAAATGAGCAGGAAGTAGGGGAACAAACCCTATCAGCACCGCCGATGCCAGTCGCAGCCGAAACAGGCGGTTTCTTGGGTAAGTTCCCCGGAGTGGGGCTTTGTCTATTCTTATTAAATTTATTCAATTGAGACTTTTTGGTGGAAATCGGAGTTTCCGAGCCTCCTGCATTGGGCGTGACTTTTTGTTTCTTAATGGGCGGGGGTTTCGAAATCTCGCTGCCCGCGGGAAGTGGTATCCCCCCTATCGACAGTGGTGATGCTGCAGGTATTGCAGAGACGTTGATTGTGCCATCAGCTTCGGCTTTTCGTTTACGCTTTTTGGGAGGCGCGGGGGCGTCTTTTGTTGGCTGGGATATTGAGGTATCTCGGGTTTTGTCCTGGGGGTCTTTGTCATGGTCGCCATGAGAGATTGCGGCCGGGAGGGGAACCGGGACGTTTGCACCTACTGCGGCTTTCTTTTTTTTCTTTTTTGGGGTGGCAGTGGCGGTTGCAGTTGTGGTAGTGATTGGCGGTATACTGCTGGGGACACCGACGACGACGGTGGCAAGCGGTGCGGGGATTGGCGGCGGAAGGAGGGTCTTAGCCTCCTCTGCTCCGTTGAGTATCGCTAGAGGCGGAACAGGCGACTTCTTCTCCGGGCTAGGTTTCCGACTACCCCCCTGTTTACCATTACCCCCACCATTGCCATTGCCATTACCATTCCCGCCATTCCCACCACCCGGCGCATCCGTCGGAGCAAGCATAGGACTCCCTCCACCAGAGCTACTATTCATCTTCGCCATAGCAGCCCTGCTACTCTTCCTCCCACTAAGCCCCAAACACTTCTCCAGGTGTGCGGCGTACCGCGACGACGCGACCTTATCGTTGTCACATGACGTGCACTTAAAATAGACGATAGCCGAGTTCTTCCCCTTTGGAGCCGGCGCCGCAGTATCCGATGGATCTGGGGTCGGCGAGTCCGCCGCTGCAGCTGCGGCAGCTGAGGCAGCGGCGGCTTTTTTCTCCTTCGCACTGGAGTTGTTTGTTGGGAAGGGATTGCCGTAGATGTCGTGGTAGGGAGTGTTCTGGAATGGAAGCCTCGAGCAGAACTTCTTCTTGTCAGCCGCGTCCGCGGATTGTAGTGTCTGAGCTGTGTGCTGAGGGAGGTTGCACCGTGGGCATGTCGTCTCCGATAGCGAGGTTAACGAGGAGGACGAGGAATCGGCAGGATGTGCTCTGCTACGTAGTTTCTCCTGGCGGTGCGATTGGAGGACCAAGTCGTGCGTCAGGTTTGAGAGGATGTCGGAGAATATGGATAATGACTAGAGAGACCCGTACATTAGCAAAATGTGGGTTAGTGGGGGATGGAGTTGGTGGGTACCAATCCCGCGATAGAATTCGGGGAAGGGCCCTCGTTTCCTTCGTATGAGGAAGTCATGACACGCGCTTGTTAGCGACCGTCGGAGCTTCCCCTTTCCTCGTCCGTCAATGAATGGTCGTGGAAGCCGATGATTTCCTGCAGGGCGAGCTCGAGGCTGAGAGAGTGTATGATACTGAACGAAAGAATTTTCTGTACAATGTGGTAGGTTTGAGGGCTGTTGTTGAGAAGGACAAGGCAGGGCAGGACAGGGTGTTGGCTGCTGCTGGCTGCTTTCTCGCCTGTCTTTCCTTATTAGGCCAGGTATACCGCCGCCAAGACTCTTCTCATGGGATCTATTGTTGAGGCTCAAACCGTGATTACCGCTGGGGTAGGTCTGATGTTGGAGAGGGCAAGGAGAGAAGAAGAGAGAATGAGCGGGGGATGGAGGATATAATATTATATAGTTTTAAATGTGACAGCTATGGACAATGTCTAGAAGGTTATCCGCTGCAGTACATATGTAGAAGGAGGAAAAGGAAGGAGGCGTGGCATTCATATCAGCGGCGGGTTATGATGCTTCTGTGACATCCAAGGCATCTCAAATCAACGCGGAAATATTCTTTCAGTCGTGAGATTGAGGGTTATATAAAATTTAATTATCTCAAATTTAATTACAACCTTTATCACTCTTTTTTGGGGCCTATAAACCACAAGTGAATAACCCATGCTTGGAAAGGAAGAAAAAAAACCTAGATCAAATCTTAACACCAAAATGAAACTGACACCTTCTCCAAGCTCGGAGCCTAAAGCAACTTCCGCCAAGCCATAACATGCGTCAAGTCCTCTCCCCTCCGCAGAGCCTCCCTTGGAATCCAACCCCGCCATCATCTAACTTACCAGTGTCTCCAAGATCCCCCACCACCACCAACTATCCAGAGCAGATACAGCACAGAGGGGGGGGAGGAGAAAAAAAGAAAAGATGGCAACCACTCCTTCAATTCCCCAAAAAGATGACTTTCCAAAGTCTCTCGTCTACACCCTCCCACCCCCCACCACTCCCACTCCGCCAACTAACATCCTGATCCTCATGCACGGTCTAGGCGATCTACACAACTCCTTCGCAACCCTCGGCACCCAACTCGCCCTGCCCGAGACCGCCGTCCTCGCAATCCAAGCTCCCAACTCCCTACCCATCCCGGAGGAAGCCTACCACTGGGGCGACGACGTCATTTTCGACAACTCCACCGGCGGGCTGGATTCTGATGCGGGCTTCACGAGGACCCGCGCGCTGCTCGCCGGGATCGTCGACGACGCACTTGCCGGGCGGTGCGGGTGGTGCGCACGCGGGATATTCTTCTTCGGGTACGGGCAGGGGGGCTTGGCCGCGTTGGATTTCGTGCTCTCGCGGCCCGGGGTGGAGTTTGGTGGGGTTGTTAGTGCTGGCGCGGGCGCGCCGGCGAAGGTGGAGGCGGAAGGGGAGGGGGGAAAGTGTAGGACTCCCGTGCTTGTTTGTGCCGCGGAGAAGGGGAGTGTGGTTTCTGAGGCCGGGGAGGGGAGGTTGGAGGAACTGTTTGTGGATGCCAAGGTCGTTAGGTGGAAGGGGAGGAAAGAGGATGGGATGATGCAGACACGGGACGAGTTGTTGCCTGTCATGGAGTTTTATGGCAGGAGGTTGGGGAGTATTGCAGGAGTTCCTGAGGGGGCCTTGGAATTGATTGCAGGTAGGGCAAGTTAGGGCTGCGACGCGCGATGCATCAAAGGGGAGGGGGTAATAATTTGGTCATATCATAATGAAAGCAAGGACGTTTGATTTTTAGTGTTGCGCTTGCGCTTGCGATTGGCTCTTTCTGGATAGCTCGTACAGCATATGTAGGAGAGACCCGACCTTACATTAGCTATATATATATATATATGGAAACACTAGACTCAGCAACAAGGTCTGTGGTCCATAGGACAAAGGAGAACGTCAAGTCATCAGATAAAGTAGAGTTACATAGTGAATAAAGCCAGAACACCCCAGAGACCAAGTGAAGCAAAGAAGAGTAGAGCAAGTAGAGTAAAGAAAAAGAACTGAAAAGCTTCCTAACCAAAATATACTACTCAGGTCCCTGCCAATTAAATCCCGAAAACTCGCTCGATGAAGGCGGCAACTGTCCTGGTGGTGGTGGCGGTCCTGGCGCTTGTGGGTGCTGGGAGTGTTGGGAAGGTCCGGGAGTTGATGGTTGTACGCTTGACGCCGCAGCATGCGCCTGGAGCTCTTGCTGCATCTGTTGAATTTGTTGCTGCTGGAGGTCGTGATTCTCAGACGACTTTGGTGTCTTGGTAACTGTCTCGCCCTTCAAGTGATATTTTCCATCCTTGAAGGTGTACCCCATTAACTGCAACCACCTTGTGGCAGTCTTAGTAGTAATAGAGAGCTTCTTCGGTGCAGCGGGGCCCTGCGCCGGGGCTTCGGCTTGATCGTCATCTTCCCCTTCATCTTCCTCATCTCGGATTCTATTCCGAATGGAGTCCTGGGACTCTAACGACTGCCAGTAGTCCGTCACAGCTTTTACCAAGCCCTGCGACGAGATACCTATTCTTGGTAAGCATCCCCGAGCAAAGAGAAAGCGGGGACTAAAACAACAGACATACCCTCTTCCCGGACCGCCCTTTCAATGTACTGTTCCACAACCCCCCTGGTCGCTTGATCCTCGATCATACTGGGAACTTTTGCGGTCCTCCCTTGCTTCCCAGACGGCACAACCCTATTCTTGACCCACTCCTTTTCAGTTTTGACGATCCTCTCCGCAACATCCCTACCCTTACGATAAGTGCTTGCCACCAACTCCGCGATCTCCATTCTGGGAGCGTTCCGCGAGTTCTTCAGTTGAGCATTGATGAATTGTAAAACCTGCTGATGACGAACGAGGTCCTGACCAGTGGGAGTGAGCGTCTTCGATTTGAGCAATTTCTCCATATCGTTGGCCGCAGCCAGTAGGATCTCACGTTTGATATTCTGGGGAACAGCCCTCGGCCAGCGAGCCAGCGCCGCATTCAGCTCCTGTGCATGCGTGAGCGATATGGCGGGCGGGGTATCCGGTGGGGGAGGTGCTTCGGGTGCAGCAGCGGTGATGGCTACTGCGGCGGCTGCCGCAGCAGCAGCTTCTGCCCTCTTACGGCGGCGCCAGAGGGTCTGCCGACAGGGAGTTTTTGTGACGGCCGCAGCACTGGATGACGGGATTGGAATGGGTTTGTTGAGGGGGTTGACGGGCGTAAATGGTGTGACAGTTGGCTCTTCAGTTCCTTCAGCTTGCTCATGTCCATTCTCATGGTCATCACCGTTTTGTGTATCGGGCGCTGGGTTCTCGATTGGTGCTACGGGGGCTACAGGGGCCACGGGAGCTGTTGGTGAGGTTGCGGTGGGTGCCGGTGGGGACATAGGTATTGGAATGGGTGTTTGAATGGGAGTAGGCCGATAAGCCAGCGGTGAGAAACTAGAATAGAGTTCCGGTCCTCCTCCCGCTTCCCCGACGTGCGCTTCCAATTCATGTCCATTCTGCTCTGCATCTCCCTGCTCTCGATCTTTGTCCTCCTCCACCTCCACCTCCACCTCCACCTCCCCCTCCTCCTGCTCAGGAACGCTGTGCTCCTCCTCTTCTCCTCTCCTACGCGCTGATGGTCCAACTTCTTCTTCCTCGTCCTCTGTGTTGGTTGCGATCATTGCTTGTGAAGTTATGGGCGCTAGTGCGCCAACTACTCTCTCTTGTCGTAGTCTCTTTGCACGCCCAATCCCTGATGCTCGCCGACAGGCTAAGGTTCGCTTGTTTGGTCGTGGCATTGTGGCCGTAGGTGTTGTCGGTTCTCGTGTTCGAGGTGTTGCAACGTAGTCGGGATAAAGTGGTCAAGGCGGAGGAAACTCCCCTGTCATTACGTGATCATCCATTGTGGGTGACTTGGCGCGAGTGTTTATCGATTGGATTGTCAGACTGCACGTGTGTGGTCGAGGGACAGCTATGCCTGCGCACGAAACTCAAGACGTTTGTGGAGGACGAGTGAGAAGTCTCCTTTGGGAAAATAAAAATAAATTAAATATTAAAAAAAAGAGGCTAGGAATGCGGCCGCGTCCGGAAAGTTCTCGTATGATAGATACCCTTCATTGTACTTGTATTCGTACAGTACCACAAGAACAATACCCGTTAACAAGAGCATTTTGAGGTGACCGTTTTCGCATATCCCTCTCGGAACACTGTCGGCCTTTATCACATATCACAATTTTTTTCTTACTGAACAGAAGGAGAGGGCTAGCGAAAGCATTTTCAAGGGGTTGGAGGGGTATGAGGACTTTGCGGACGTGGCTCTACTCCAGTTCTCCTCTCCTCTTCTCGACATGATTAAAGTCTACTGTACTGTACGAGTACAGTACCACCTCAGTGGTTGGTTCGGAATCATTACCTGATACCTTCGCAACCCAGACACGACGCGGCTAAAGCTTGACACCATCTGTGTATTATTTATTTACCATGGGTAGAAATTCAATGCTAACAGGCCTCCCAGCCTTCGTCGATTTGAACCCTTATAGCTAGTTATGACCAGGATATCTTTTCAACCACCCCCACATCTTATGCTTGTAGGATCCCATAGACATGTTTCTGGATCCTTCATGAGCAATATGAAAGGAACTCCTTCTGTCATATTATATACATTAGAAGAGAACAGCAAGCGGCAATTAAAAGGGAGAAAAAACAAAGATCCTGCCCCCCCCAACCCTATCCCATCTATAGTCTTTAGACACACGAGAAAATGAAAGAGACAACCAAGTGTGAGAGTAGCAAAAATTATCCAATCTATTTAACCGCGGTCTATCGTTCGTCTTCAGAAATAGAGCTCACAGCGGAGATGGACATTGCAGCACCAGAGAAATCGCTATCTTCAGAACAAGCACTAGATTTCGCCAATGGCTGCAATTTTGTTGATCTCTTCGTGAGGATAATCCTCATCCATTCTTCATCCCGCACAATTTCAACCAGTTCTGTCGAGGCATCTTCCTCCGAGCTCCCCGATTTCTGTTCCTTCGTAGTCGACTCCGTGGCAGGTTTTTTCTCCTTCCCCTCGCCCTTCTTTGAGCCTCCATCGGTAGGAGTTTTCGGACCGGGGGTTTCTTCTCCTTCCTCGCTGTAATTCCACATTACCCCAAGTTCTCCTTTAATCAAAGCACCCAGCCAAACACTGCCCAACACTCCTGGGACCAGGTACAACAAGGCCGGCTGGGCATGTTTAAACACATGCATGACTATAAGTGTTGTGAGAATACCCACAAAGTATCCTCCCAGAGACATGTAAAAATAGAATTTGCTGAACTCCGCTCCGTCTTCGTCCCCGGTCCAATACCTCTCCCCCCAATTACCGGCTACTTTCACATAAGTCTCCTTGGCCTTTTCCGCAAGATCCTTCTTCCTTCGTTTTAGGTCGTGTCCATCAGCATCGGTGAGTGTGGATTGCTCCTTTTCGGCATTGGCTAGGTTTAAAAGACGCTTCTTTTCGTAGAATCTCCATAAATCATATCGCAGCGCCATGGCAATGACAAGGCCTGGAATTACAACGTCACCCAAACCGAGCATCGCCAAAGCCCGTGGACCACTGGGCGATGTGCTTGGGCGAGGGAAAAGAAGCTTTATGGGGACGTCGAGAGTTGTAGCAACGGTAACCATCATGGGGGTACAGAAAACGAAAAAGATGTCATAGAAGAAAAGAGCACCAAGCAAGATAGATGCCGTTGTGAATGTAGTTGGGGATAGCAACTGTGGCGAGCAATTATGAGTATCGAGTTTCGGGAAGCTAGGAAGGAGTGCACCAACCTGCATGGCTCCATACGCAAAGCTAGTGCCCATGATATTAGTCAATAACCAGTGCTTTCCTCCGAGTGCATAAGTCCCGACAGCAAGGATCCCGGCCGCCAAGCCAGCAAGATCTCCCACCCAGAATGTTGCCTTGAACGACGGATTCTTCGTGCCACCGCTTATTAAGGTATATCTCGCGTAGAGAGCCCTACGAAGCGACCACATTGACCTGGCCGTGAATTGGGGCATGGAAGATACTGATGAGTTCTCACACTTAATATTCTCATCTCCCTTGACCTTGTAGGAGTTATAACCAGCAATGTAAAGCTTCCCGTCCCTCTTCGAACGGTAGCGTCTTGGAAAAAGGTAAGTCACAAGCACGCCAAGAGAATCCGAGAACCCTTTTGCGATAGCAAACGCCCCCATCCCACAGAAGTACCAGGTGAGGATCTTGTTGATTATGGCGGGATCATCGAGGTATTTAATGATCAAGTAGAGAGACCCGAGAAAAAAGCCAGCAGTCACGGGGAACCAAAGGGCGTCGGAAGCTGTCAAGTTCTCCATTTGAGATGGTTGATCTTCTTTTTCGGCATCGTCCTGGTCAAAGTTTTGATCCCCATGTCGAGGACGGGCGGCGTTTCCGGGACGCTTGAGGGATGCAAATGAGCCGGTAACAATGGGTAAGAGTGCAGTGGTGATGAGATGGATGTATGTGGGAATAAATGGGAGAGCTTGCCCCCAGTAGAATAGAGCCGAAGCTATAACGTGAGTGAGTGGACCGCCCGGCATGAGTATTAGTATGCAGATGGTGCCCTTTGTTGTATTGTTCTTTCGTTGTTTGTGGGCCAAGAAGGGGGAAAGGAATGCAGGGTCGGATCGTTTATTATTGTGGGGAGGTGATGATGACGAGAGAGTGGGAGGGGGGACAAAGAAGTAGAAGTAGTCCAGGAGAAGAGGAATGCCTAACAATTAAGGACGCGTGTTCAGAAGGCGGCAAAAACGAAAGGGCAGAGAGCTACGAACTGAGAGGGACGGAGGGTTGGCCTTAGGACAGCTGCAGGAGGGGGCACAGAAACGATGGTTTAACTCTACCTTCTCTTTCTTTTCTACGGCGCTGTTACGGTGAAAGGTCTGAGATATGACGGGGCCGCATCCCAGTGTGTGTATGGTATCCATAGAAAAGTCAAGCCTCGAGGCTCAACCACGCCTCAGACCTATACGGTAATTCATCCACTCTATGACTGTCTTGAATTGCCCAGCCAAGATCTTCCAAATCATCCGTCAAAAGAAAATCCGGGGACTAGATTTTCTGTCAAAATTATCCAACTGTTTTTCGGATCCCAGAAGTCCCGTGCCTACCTCCTAGACGTTGCGTCTCTCTCGCCGATCTGAGAAGCTTAATTCTGGAATTGATATTGGACCAGACTCTACTGTATATGGGGACATAGTGACGTACGATTAGTGCCTCGTAGACTATGATACAGTATGACAAGAGACATAGTCAAGGATCCCATTTCACTGTTCCTGTCACTGCGTGGGGCGGCCCCACCAGCAAGGCACTGGAACTCGAGTACTGGGCTATGTCTAGTCTAACCACTGGAGTTATTATACGACTTCATCGGAGAGAGGGAGAGAGATGCGAATCTCCTTGCATTAGGAAATAATGTCCTGTACAGTGCTGCGCTGTAAAATCAATTCCATACCGAGACCCCTCCGCTACCCTGTGCGTGTGCGAACAGTACTGCGATATCGATGGATTTACTAGTTGTATTATCATAAGTTCTCTAAATCAATTCTCAACATCATCTGCGCCTTTTACAGTGCTTTCGCTGCTACGACACACGGTCCAACAGCCATGCCACAGCTCGTTCAACAGCATTTGATGGCAACTCGAATTCCTATTCATACCAGAGTTTGTACTCTACAACCAATATATCTCTAAATGCCGCGTTAAATTGTGAACAGCGCTCCTTCCATCCCCAACCCATCTAATGCCCCTTATTCCCCCCAGCCTTCAATGCCAACGCCCGTTCACTCCATCCACTGCCACCTCCTTCCCTCTCTAGTACTGATTCGACCGTCATACCTTCTCCAATCTTCCTGCCAATGATCCCTACATTTCTCGTGCTCGGTATCCTCAATACCTCCCGTTCGATTTGCCATCCTACATCCTCCGCCAATCTAGCTACCCACTCCACCAGGCAAGCATATTGACTCCCCTTCCCCGGCTGTCTATGCCGTCGACCAGAGAGGTCGTGCGAGCAACAAGGAATCATCAAAAACGGGCATTCAGAGTCCATAGCTAGGAGCGGTGTCCAAGGAGTCAACTCATCAGCATGGTTAGAGATGATGAAAGTTCCGGCCGGGAAGACACCGTCATGGATCCCATCATCTACATTGCCACCCAGCAATCGTGGTACCAGGACCAGCTCATGAAGGTTTTGTTCTGTGCTTGAGCCCAAAACACCCCAGGTTTTTCGCCTTCTGGCGTCGAAGCCCCAGCCTGTGTACCCCTCCCTGATCAAGATGTCCACCAACACACCATTTCCGCAACCAATATCTACGAAGCCGGCTTCTAGACCCCGATCCATGTCCTTCCATAACTCGATTAGGAATGCGGCGATGAGGATGTCTTCGAATACATGTTTCCCAGGATCAGTATTTTCTACCCATCTATCGATTAACCGCTTTGCATGCCGTTCGCGAAGTGAGAGGTATGTAGTTTGAAAGTGTTCTCTTGGGATTATCTGGTCGTGATAGACTCGCTTGGTATATCCCGCTGTGAATCCGTTGCCGAGTTTATGGATCCTGGTAAGGAGATGGAGGGCGGTTCTTTCCAACCGGTTGTTAAGAGGAACGTCTGGGAATAAGCGATAGTATATGGACACACTTTTCCCGTCCTCCCCGTCCTGCGAATACCAGAATGCAAGTGCCCGCACCGTTGGTAGGTAATACGGTAACGCTTCGGGCGTGTCGGAGTGGGATTGGTAGACTACTAGTGCTTGCCTATCTTGACTCCCCTCGTAAAATGTGCATGTTTGTTCTGCCGCCGCGTCACGCTGTGGGTTCCTGGGTACGAAGCGGCGGAGGACGGTCCGATTTGGCGTAAAATTTGGTATTAGCATTGGCCTAGGAATGCTCATATCTAGTTGGAGAGGGGGTGTAGGGCTATCAGACAAGATATCAGCTCGTAGAATCCAGCTGGAATTGTAATTTGGATTGAGGATCATTTCGTGCATAACCGAGGTGAATATTTCTTGAGTGAAGGTGCATGGTTTGGAGAGTATTGGTGTCCATTGTTCTAGGGTGTCGCTGGTGGTTTGGTAGTAAAGAGGCGTTGGTTGGATCGTTGTCTCCATGGTATGATAGACGGGGGTTGAGGTAGGATCGCAGATATAAGTGGATTGATGCCAGAGTTTGAGTATTATACGGTGTATCAAAAAATTCATTATTAGGAAAAGCGAAAATTGGAATTCTCTCAAATGCATGGATCTTCCCAGAGAGTCCTCTAAGCACTTTTTCTATTTTCAATGTATGTCGTACACGAGATAGCATGCGCTTCTGTTGCATCAGATCTGTTCCTTAAGTTTGATGGCATCATATAACATCACTCGGGGAATGGTATCGTCACTAAACTTCTCGCGCTCAGCATATTATGCTGCTGTCACGAAACTAAACCTCGGGGCAGGACCTTACTATCTCCTCCCTTCTATAAAAGGCCCCTTTCACATTCACCTTTTCCCCCCATCTGGAAACAATCCAAATCCCCCTCCACGAACGGAAGCCCAACCGACAAAACAAAAAACAAAAACAAACTCTCCTTATCCTCGAACAACAGGTCAAAACAGGCAACCATGCATACCAAAATTCTTCTCATCCTACTGTTCACCCTCCTCACACAGGTCCTCCTCGTTTTCGCCCTCCCCTCCGGGGACGCAACCTCCGACGTCACCAAAGAACTGGACAACCTCGCCCTGGCCATCGTCCCCTACGCCACCGACACCAAGGACGAGGGCGGGGTCTCGGGCTACTTCGCTAGCGGGAATGTGACGGGCATGGGTGACTTCGACGGCTGGTACAAGTGCGAGACAAGCGGAGGCTCCCCGAGCGCCGTAGACGTCGACATCGCTGCTATCAGGCTCAACAATCTGGGCTACCAGCACTGCGTGCAGGAGAATTATAGAGGGTCGCACTGCACAAAGATGATGCACTTTGGGAAGTATGTACTCTCCCTTTTCCCATCTCATGAGAGGACAGAACGGAAGTTGTGAAAGGGCTCGTTGGCTGATGGTTTGAGTAGTGCGGCCGTCTCGCTCTGCGGTCCGTACAAGGACTACATTTATTGCTTTCGCGCTGGCTTTGCGGCGAGCACTATTGCGCATAGGTGTGAGTGGAATGGGCTTGCTGGGGGGTATTTCGTGTTCGATGATCCTAGCTCGTTGAGGTTTCCTATTCATATGAATTAGGAGCGCAGTCGGGGTCTTGAGGTGGGGGCTCAGATAGTGAATATATTGTTTAGGTTAATTTGAATTATCTTTGGAGATTTCCCCCCCTTCTTTGGCCCCTTTGAGCGTGTGTAAGGTTGTGAAAGTTATTGTGCGAGGCTGTGGAGTTTTGGTGGAGGGATGGTATTGCTGTGATGGCAGGTGGCGATGGAATGCTTCTCAGGATGAACCAGCGTTCTACATTCCCACCCGGATGCGCCAATGATATGCCCAGGAAGTGGAACCTTTTAAGAGTGAGTACCGCAATTGTCAACCCCTCTCTCCCTCTTTCTTCCACCCCCTTATCATATATCAAGGCTTAGGAAGTAGCCACCATACACAATATTGCCTTATTTGAGGTAGGAGCAATTGATCCAATAAACGAGCACCCATCCAAATGCAGTCGCCACAGCCTGGTCGGACCATAGTATGCATAATTTATTAAACCCAACGATACAAGTCGATCCCTCCACCCTCTTCCAAACACTCAGGTCCATACCTATATTGTCATCATCGATATGATAATACCTTCTCGGCTAGAGATTACCCAAAGCCCCCTCCTCCTACTACAAAATCTTCTAACCAACCATCTCGCGACCAGCGTATGATACAACACTGCTACCATTCAAGTCCAAGTTCACCCGCCAACCGAGAGCCCACATCTGAGCTTGGTAGGTCTGTGTCAAAGCCGAGACCAAGAAGCCGACAAGTAGAGGCTCGCACTGAGTGTTTTGGTATTCCGGACCCCTAACGCATCACATTTTTATCGAGAAAGTGCTGGATAATGGAAATGGATGGCTAGAAAGGTTAGACAATCTTGGGGACTATAGCTCGCTTTATCCTAGGTTTGCTGTTCTGATGTTCGTCCGTTGGCCGTGTGCTGCGGCCAGTTTACTTAGGGGCCAAGCAGCCCCTTAACCTCCTTCAAAATTTGAGTTCGTCGAGTGATGTACTGTGAAATTGTTAAGCCTCCCTTGGTTCTTGATATGATAATATTATACTCGAGCACTGAACGTTACACTAAGATGCTCTTTCCGTAGCTGGCCTCCCTGTCAGACTGGTGATTGACTGGAATGTCTCCCGACCAACATACCTTGTCGCCACCCTTCCCTCGCTCCCAACCTTCCTGTCGTGCCAATCCAGAGCTACGTAGTCCTCCATCATAGCCGCCGTATACTGTACGGTACTCGAGTAGATAATCCAAATCTACCCGAACAAGGGTTTGGCCTGTCGGTGGATGCTCAGTGGCTTACACTCAAGTTCATCAAAATGTATAGTACTCTACCCCAAATTTCTAACTGCACAAAGCAGCAGTCAAGTAAAACACAGCAACTCCCTTCAACTCTAACCCGGGTCCAAACACCCACGTGGGCAGGCTACTGTCGCACGGTATCATACGCTGCGGGTACCCTAGCGTAGCATAGTGGCAGCTGATGGCGGTATGATAATATCCCCAACTATACTCTACACTGCTCTGTCCAACGGTAGATAAGACGGGGAGAAAGTGGGTGATCATGTCGTGCGGTAGATAAACTGTTGTGCTACGAGGGAAGACAAAAGGGCAAGAAAGGTCTCCTGATTTCGGCTTGCTGATTACGGCAAGCCACAGCACCTTCTGCGTCCGAGCTTTTGTGCTATGGTAAGTTTCGGAATTTTTCGAGCTCGACGCAGGGTCGTAGCTGTCGTGGAAGAGTGGGGGAGGGAGCCACAGAGGCCTTTTCGCCGTTAGATGGTGGCGCCAGCCAAGAGTTTATTCAATTTGTTTATCCCTACCGTCCCGGACAGGGTACAGTACAGCATAGTACCGGTACCGGTATTTGCGGGTTGTTTGTTCGTTTGTGTTGAGTTATCGATAAGATAATCTCGGATGAGACGAGGGAGATGGACGGATAGATTGATGAGGATGAGGAGGTGGTGGTTATAATTTTGGAGGACTTATGATAACTTGTTCCTCGTTGGATATTATAGCACTACGAGTAGTGAGATCGAATCCGGGATTGTCTTCCGCGCGGGTGGTTAGGGATTGCTCCCACGATACCATACCAGTGGTATGATAACGGTATTTTTTCCACTGAGGTTTGGGCTTCCGGTTTGTTGATTCGTTGATTACTGGTATATATCACACCAGTAGAGTTCTAACAAGACTACCGGTACTTTCTAGAAGAATGATGGAACAGGATGGAGTGCTTGTTGCGCCATAGGTGAGACCTTCCTTATTTTCAAGATTGGGAGAGCTGCCTTGGAGAAAGCCAGGCTCTGTTTCTGCAAGCACGATAATAATTATGTTATTATGATGGGGAACCGGGGATTGAACCCTTCTATGATATTTCCGCACAAGGAGAGCAGAACGGTTACTTGGCACCGTGCGGGTACAGAACTGTATAGTACTCGTACTGCATGTATCATACCAGTAACTTGTCACACAAGTATGATACTGTAGTATCGGTAGCACTAGGAGAGCAGCTGACATATAAGCTATTTCAATGGTCTAGCCAACTGGGTCAGGTAAACGCAGTTGAAAAGGCAAATGCTCAGAATATTTGTGCGTGCGATAAAGACAGCCACTTACGGTGACATATCACATGCCGCATACCAATTATCGGTCCAAGATACTTGCCCAAGTACGAGTATGGTGGCCCTCCGATGATCGCTGGCAAGAAACTGGGACGAGAGGGGCCCTCATTTCTCCCTCGAAAAAATAAAATAAAATAAGAGAAGCTTCCCCGAACTTGACCAGAATCTCGGCCGGAGAGCTATCAAAAGGTTCAAACCAGACCTTGAGCGACAACACCCTCTGGTGAAAATCGATAATTAGCCGGTCCATCAGCTAGACTACTATCGTGCCGGCAAACTTGCTTTGCTGCGGGTGTGCAATGCGCAGTAAAAATAGTACCGTGGTATGGGAGGGGTGGGTTGGAACAAATCAGATGAAGAGGAAAGCAAAGCAGGCAAAAGCTTGTCCGTCCATCTTCAAAAAAAAAATACCTCATCCCCCAACAAGCACACGGACAATCAGGCGGGTTCTCTCACGAGTGTCTGTGCTTCTGAAGGAAAAGAAGATAACCTTGCCCCTTCCTGAGAACTCATCATACATGCGTTTTTCCTTCAAACGAATTATCATGTCGAGAGAGGAGGGGGAGGGGCACGAGATAGTGGCAGCACATAATCGTCGTTGGCATAGTAGAATATCGAAATCGAGCTTCCTAGGTGCCATACGCAAAACCTTGGGGAAGTACCGGTACTCCTCCTCCACGAGCCGCACTCACTCACGCGTACCAACGCCTTTTACTGTAAGTTTTTGAGCTTTATCTCTTGTCTTCCCACTCTGCCACTTTTTTAAAAACCCCCTACCACACATACACATACACATACACATACACATACACACCTACAATCCTTTCCTACTTCCTGCACCTCCCTTTCCCACCATTTCATACTTTCTTTTTCTGCTTTTTCCAGAATGGACGAATTCTATCAAACGTACGAGAAATTAATCGGTAACCAGAAACCCGTCCCGCATGTGCCTACTCACCAAAACGATGGGAGGCCGGATCCAACACCACTCAACAACAAATTGAACCAGAAGGGTGGTCCTTCAATACCCATAACAAGGGACAGGCCAGACCAAACCTCGCCTACAAGGGAAGAAAATAATCCAACATGGACAGCCCCGGATCACAACCTTAACCCAGAACCTACAGTGCTGTCGCAACATGAGATCCAGAGCTTATTCTCTGGAGCCCCTGTCTTTGCGGCGTCTGGCAAGAAGGCTTCCGGGGGGTTGAGACCTAGGGTCATGTTTCCTTTTGACGAGGATGCGGAGGATCGGAGAGGGTTGTCCGATTGTCCCCCGATTGAGCACGCGGCGTTTTCTTTGTGCACTTCGAGACCGCACCGTGCGCTGAGCGGGTATGAGAATACGACGGATCATGGATTGGTCAATGAGGAGCCGAGCATGCTTTCTTTTCAAGGGATCGAGCCAGGGACCTGTGGGTGGGAGTACTTTTTGAAATACCCCGTTAGTGACTCTGAGAATAGGGATGAGGAAGAGGATGATGATGTAATAGCTGGAGGAGGAAGGGAAAGAGAAACAAGAAGAGCTAGTCTTGGGAACGCAAAAGGAGGTTTGCGAACAGTGGAAATGGGATACATATTTGAGAGGTTAAAAGAGTTGGGTGAAATCTATCACGAGACCAAAAGCAAACTACCCAATGGACGGAAGCCACTACAGGGAGGGGCACAGCGAGGGATACTGGAAAAGTACTCTTCATTGGAGCTTTACACAAACTTATTTACCAGGCTATTGTACCCCCCAACCCGAATTACCACAGCCGACCTCCACGATCCATATAGCTTAAAGGTTCAGATTGTAGCTTTGAGGGAAACCCTTGCAATGGAGAAGCTTTGGCTGGATTTCTCGATTGTGGGATGGAGGATACGGCTAGGGCAGATCTTGTGGGGGGAGAACCCCACGGTGGAATCCCCAAACAACGAAGATGGGGAGAGGGGAGCTGCCCCTCTAGGGAGTAACACTGAAAAGGTTTGGCTATTACTCCAAATTCTCCTTGGGTGCGAGTTGGTTGTTAGGATGGATGCCATACTCAGCGAGGCAAACTCTGGAGACTCCTCTGTTATTTCGATGGGGTTAGGGAACGAACTACTTGACGAGTCTAAAACCATGGGATCTAGGAAGGTTGAGTGGGATATCGCCCTGGCACGGCGATGGCTCGAAAACGTCAAACTGGTCGAAAGCGAAGTTGGAAAGGAAGAAAAGACAGAAGCTCCCCCAACACCAGCGAAGAAGGGATGGTTCTCGAGTCGTTCTTCAGAGCCATCACCAACGGATCAGAGCGAGTCGGAAGGTGGCGATGACGAATCGACTTTGGGTAGATCCTACGACGCTTTTGTTTGGCCCCGGAATCACACGAGGCAACTCTCTGGGCTGCTATATTTCGCTAGACGCCTCCAATGGCCACAGATAGAACTTCTATCCGCCATGCTGCGGGAGAAGTTGAGCCCACCGTCAAGCTTTTCAACCCCGTCGCAGTCTATGGCTGTTACACCTTTGGATACTCCATTATCTGGAGCTGGAGGGAATGGGTATTTTCCACCATTTGTAAGGCCAAAGAGGGTCAGGGAGCTGCCATCATCCGGGATATCATCCGATAGTAGCTTCGGAATGGGTGGGAGGGGATCTGGATTCCCGAAAGAGATGGGATTTGGAGGGTGGCTTTCAAGGACGTACTTCTCCGGGTTGATACTTCCTGGGGAGGGATTGCCTCACTTTCTCATCTCTACACTGCTGGAGAGTGATGCTTTAGCGGTCGAGAAGCTTGGGTTCCGCGCAAATCTGTATAGTGGATTTCAGTACGATGGAATGACGTGGTGGAGTTCATCCAGCACCGTGGGCAAGGTGTTGGCCGGGTATGATGGGTCGAGGGAGGTTGGAGGATGGATTGGACCTTGTTTAGGGAGCGGGCTCGGAGAGGTCGGGATTATTGATGACGGATGGGTTGATGCTGTAATGGTGCAGCTGGACGAGGAGCCGAGGGCTAAAAGACCGTATGCCATTAAGGAAGAGTCAAATCCATTGGGAAAGGGGCCCAAAGGCAGCAGGGCAGTGCTGTCGAGTGATTTCACTATGCCACGAGATGAAATTAATGAGGAGGAAAATGTTATTCTCGAAGGCCTTGTGTTTAAGGGTGTCGCTAGAGAGCCTGGGGAGCTGGCTGGGGAGCTTTCACGTTACGAAGTTGAGCTTCACTTTTCCATTCTCCCGCTAAACGAAAAGCTCGAGGTCAAGCTCACCTACGACGTCTTTTTCATCAGTTCATTCCCATGTCTTGAGCCCCCAGCCAGCATGAACTCGGTCAAAACTGGACACCTACTACATAAAGACTTTCCTTATCAGTCTGTTGCCGTAGACGCATTAACAGAAGAAAGTTTTAAGGACAGAAATAGCATCCTTGTCATCGAAGCCGGCGGTGTAGATGGGGGTAGTGAGGTGCTAGCAAGGGCATGGTGCTCAATGATAGGCACTCATGCTATCATAGGTAGAAAAGGAAGGACGTGTTTAGGTTGTTGTGTTAGAGAAGCAAGTGGGTTGGGTATCGGCGTTGTTATCAGGATTGCATGAGATAGCATCCCCCAATAGGGCTAATATTATTTTCGCATTTTTAACGTCGGTGTTAGTGGTCTCTTTTCTCCACCCCCCCTTGTTTTCCCCTTTGCCCAATTGTTTCTCAATTAAATAATTTTATAAGGTATAATTTATGATGGGAAATGAATGTTGTTGGCTTGGGTCTCTTTGAATAAGCGGCGGATGGTAGTACGAGGCGGGTGCCAAAAATGATGAGTAGTGTAAGAGGTTTCCACTGAAAACGGCCATCCATATTCACGACCTTCCAACTGATAATCCAGAGAAGCAATCCAAATCAAAATTTGATCTACAGTATTAACACAGCAAATTGAGCACCTCCGTGCCGGGGTTTTATCATATCCATGATCGAACCTAGCGAAGCTTAGCTGACTCCAGCACGAGTGATCGGCAGTGATCGCACTATAAATGGAATTTCGCAACATCAAAACACAACCCGTGCGATTGTAGGCCAGCCTATACCGATCAAACTGTGAAAGCTGGTCGATTCTTGCTGTGCGGGGATCTCCCGGAGCTGGGGCGGTCGGTAGGGGAATATGTGAAAGAGGAAAAGGGGGCCACGGGAAACTTGGAAATTGATCTAAGATAGTAGGGGTTTGAATGTGGAAGTATGAAGAGGCTTTGCCCATGACGCTGGAAGCGTTAAGATTAAAGTGCGGGAGAGGAGGAGGAGGAGTGATATTATCTTATTAAATACGAGAAGCTGGGAATAGTGTATTCCAATACGGTTGTATTTTGGAAAAAAAACAAGTATTGAGTAATGGGGGAGGGGCGGCTCTATATTATGATGGGTTGTAAGAGTTAGGGAGTAGGCAGTAGAAGATAGTAACTTAATAATATAGACTTTGCAATAGTACTACTTATAGTGAAGTAAGAATCGTCAAAGCTGATAAGAGCTGAAAAATGAAATGTTTTTCGAAATTAAAAGAGCATCACTTCTTTTTTTTTTTGGAGAAATAGCTATTTAGTAATGATAATCTTTTTTTTTTTTCTTTTCTTTGCATCTGGCGCACAGGACGCATCTAATAATTTCTGCTGATGTGTTGTAGGGGGGAGTGGAGGAATAGGAGGATCTAGTTTCTGCAACTAATTAAACCTCTGCCACGTTAGGATTACAGTACTCTCTCCCCTGACTGCTGTTCCTAGTGTATTTATAGCTCGTATCTTTGTGCTAGAATTTATTATTGAATATACTAGTAGAATAAGACTTGCACTTAATCTACTAGTGAGTCTAATAAGTGATGGTAGTCTACAAGGGACCTTGGATTTTGGCGCAGCTCCATAACTTAACTTACTTGGTGTATGGGTATGATAGCAAGGGATAATTGGTTCCAAACTTCCCAATCTTCACCCCTATTTTGTTTTCAGTAAATATGATAGAAAATATATATCTACATTCCTCGAGCAGCATAGTAAGGGATACAGCCAAAGCCCTGGTTCCACCTGAGAGGATATGCAATAGAGCTTCACTTGAAGTAATTATCCAATTTTTTGATGAGTGTTTGGGACGCCATTTGTGTTGTTTTCATTTGGGTTTTATGTACCCATCATGAAATGTCACTCGCAAAATATCTGAATCTTCTTTGCCAAGCCTCCCTGCATAGGAGCCGCATGTCTTATTTCGAATAGACCATGCTGCCCCACCAGCCACCACTTCAACATTTTAGCGACCATCACTGGAGCTCAAGCACCGAAACATCCCCCCACCTCACCTTGTCAATGAGCTCAAAATCTTCGACTGAATCCTGGGCACTTACCCGCCTTGAATCCCTTCTTCCTCTGCCGGAAGACTCTCTGAGGGATGTGATTACTTACGCCCTCTCGCTCACCGATCCGAGTGGAGTTAGCTCCCACTTTGAAGTAGGAAACCTCCCTCTTCTAATCCGGGCTGAGCTAACATTGCTAGGGCCTGCTCGGCAGCACCGAGGAAGTTCTAGACTTCATTTCAGACTTCAATTCCAGACTATTCCCACAAAGAGCTACGCGAGAATCTACAACTTTACAGTCATCCTCGTCTACCTCGTCCCTGAATGCTCCACCTGCAAAGAGACGCGGAAAGAAGGGTAAACTTCCAATAAACCGGTATGCGAACCGGCCACGGCAGGTGGAAGGACAGTTTGGTAACCCGGCAGCGGTGTACATGAAGAAGGACGTTGAGGATGAGTACTATACGGGTGGCAGCAAAGGGCCTACGTCGAAGCCGGTGGATTCACCGTCGCCTTCATCTTCGGTACCCGTGTCTAGGACTGCTACGCCGGCACCTAGGAGCGCTAGTCCGCAGAGAGCGCAACAGAAGGCTCAACAGAGCAGCAACAGTAATATCGGCGGGAAACTAGTCTCAGACTTATTAAACGTCAAAACAAAAGTCAAAAAGGCCCCGCAAAAGGTGCACGTAACAGGCGGTGTTGCCATGCGAGGAGCATCCGCCGAACTCACAGACCTAGAATCCGCCCTGCGAGCGCTCGAACTCTCCACGAATCCAACATTAACCTCAAAGTCGCAAAAGTGCAATTGTGCGGGAATGAAACACGAGGTCCTCTCTGCTGCGCCAAACTGCCTCTCCTGTGGGAAGATAATCTGCATCAAGGAGGGTCTTGCGCCCTGTTCCTTCTGCAACACACCATTGATACCCCCGGAGGAGTTACAATCCATGGTCCGTGAACTCCGTGAGGAAAGCGGCCGGGAAAGAATGGCGATAAACAACGCGACGCAAAAACGCCCGGAAGTGGTGCACGCGCCAAAACCGTTCTCGAGCTACGATAGCACGCCTAAAACCAATGATGAAGGCCTTAAGAAGGCCACAGAGCACAGAGATCGTCTCTTGGGATTTCAAGCGACCAGCGCTCAGAGGACAAAGATTATCGATCAGGCAGCAGACTTCGAAACACCTGCCATGGGCAGCAGCATGTGGGCCACACCACAAGAGCGCGCGCTACAATTAAAAAAGCAGCAAAAGGCTATGCGCGAGATGGAGTGGAGGGCGAAAGAAGACTATGAAAAACGCCAAGTCGTCGTTGCGATAGACCTAAAGGGACGCCAGGCCGTGCGAAAGATGCAGGAGATTGAACGACCGAGAGAAGATAGTGACGATGGGGATATAGAAGAAGCCTACGACGACACATTAGAAAGAGGTGGCACCGCCGCCGCTACCGATAGTTCGACGTCAAAAGGTGGGGCCTACTCCCGCAACCCGCTCCTAAAAGGCATGATCAAGCCAGTGTACGATAGCGGCAAGGGCAAGGGCAAGGGTAAGCAGGGGGATGAGATAGTAGACGCCAGGCCAGGGGCGTACGCTGGTGGCTCGCGCGGCTGGCGGAGGGTTCAGGATGATTTCGCGGATAATGAGGGGGTGACACTCGATGGGGGGGTTGGAAGGGAGGAGAGGGGGACGCAGGGGGAGGAACCGGCTTGTGGGTAGGAAGGGTGGTTGGCAGTTGTGTGTGTGTAGAGAGGGGCTTACCTAAGTGGCTCTGGGGTGTTAAGTTAGGTAATATATGCCCGAACCAGAGCTATAGAATGAGTGAATACTCTGGACGTGGGCGTATGTGAAGGGTATGTATTATGCTCCCTAGAGAAAAGGTTGCTGAAATTGTCTCATCGGATAAGCTTGATTTGTTGTGAGACTCACGAGAAAGGATGCCGAAGGAGGGGGTTGGTCTCCGGTGGCTTTCGTTTTATGGTTTCTTCGATCGGTTCTTGGTTGTGATTGCCTTATGTTATACTAATGCCCTACCATCACTCGTTGTGAGACTAACCGCCGCGCAGCTATGGTGCGGCACTATATCATACCACTCGTGATGCCCCACTTTAATGTCGGGCACGGCGCCCTGAATGGGATTATGGTAAGTCAGGAATATTGTAGTACTTATTCACTTGTCGATCCATGGGTGCTTGTCCAAACTTTCTCTCAGTCTCAACCAAATGTACTGTACCTTTTTTCATCCCCGACATCGCAAGTGTGATTATTTCTTCACACGCAAAGAGATCTTGTTGCCACCAACCAGCCATCAATGTCTATAATTTATCCCCCCTTGAGGATCCACCTGCTCCTATTGTACTATACTCATATAATTTATTAATTTTTAAAGTCTCCGGAATGCGAGCTACGTGTCGGTGTCCTAAGTCACGGTAGTTCCCGCAAAATATAGCGCGGTGAATCCATCGATTTTAATATAAGTGGATCACTTATTAATTTCAATTCCCATTCCGGCGACTTTTAAAAACGTCGAGTAGGCCATCATAGAATTAATAAATAATGATATAAACCGTTGTCCCTAACCTAAGGCGAAAAAAATGATTCTATCATATCATATCTCTATGTATGATACTAGTAAAGAAGTATCCGTTCCCACAGTAATCTCATGTGAAATACCTAGTTGGCACAGTGGCTAACATGTCAAGAACCAATTAACCTGTGTCACAGTTATCGTAGCAGGAGCTCAGACGCTCAATTCCCGGTCATAACGAGCTATGATATTATTGAACGATTCGCCACGTAGGGCATGAGGATAAAGGAGTCCTACCTTATGGGGCTGGGGAACTGGAGACCTTAGCCCCTTTCAAATTCGAACTGCTATGATAGTAAAAGGCTGCGGAATCCGACTCTGGACCATGCACTTGGAAGTGTAGTCCGGGATGGGTGGGGTAGGATAGCAGGAATAATTAAAAGGGAAGCAAAAAAAAAAAAAAAATAAAGAAAGTTGATTTGCTTCATTTGATTTGGAAGAGCGCCCCCGAACTTGAATGTTATACGGGTACTCTAGTCTTAAAATTACAACTGGATTTGTCTCAAACCTTGTACGATACGTTAGTACAAAGGAGTCGGAGTGATGATCAAACACAAAACATTTGCAGCTCTGTTCACAGAGATTTCATTCATCCTGTACTCTTTTCTGCAAGGCCTGCTGGTCCAGCGGTCGGGATAGCAGGGTAACCACTATCCATACCCGACCCCCCTGAGAGAGCAACATAGTTTTACAAGATCAATGGATAATGATTGTTTGGTCGTAAGAGAGCTTCCCCATGGGACGGTTCTCTTGCCCCCGTACTGGAGAGAGAGTCTGGATAGTATCCAGAATTTGCAACTCCTACGCTGCGTCATTGGAAGCGAAAAATATATATATACAAAAAATAAAGTCTTTATGTTCACCTCCATCCTCTCCTCTTTTATTTCCTCTGCTACCCCGCCGTTCTCGGACCTCACTCCTAGGTGTACGGTCCGGGGTCAGGTTCTACCGCCTCTGTAAACGGATTGACCCACCCTACAGCCTATTTAAGAAAGGTGAAGGGTTTCAATCCCCCAGCCTCCATAACGCATGGTCCCTTAATCCTCCTGCTTTGCGTGATGGATCATTCCATAATATCATAACCCGTTATGAGCGGGAATTGAATTCCTGGGCCCAGCTAATTGCGGCCGGGGCTAACCGGCCCCCCGACATACTAGCCACCGCGCCAGACAGGCATTCCGCATAACATCACCACAGGAACTAATACTTACCCTTCCCGCAGGTAGATCCAGGTACCCCAAAGCCAGCAGCAGAACTGGAGACCAGGGACTCATGCATCCAACCCGGGATTGATGCACGAGTGACCTTCCATGACTAGTTACAAACATTCCAACTGAAACCCCCACCCTTCACATCACTCCCCACAATCAGAGCAGCGTGAACAAGTCCAGAAAAAAATACCCTCAACCTACGTCCCTCGCCGGCGGATAAACGACAACCGCCACCCCAACTCCAAATTCACAAGCCCCACGCCCTTGTTATACCAGATACCGACTCATAGCATCGCATCATATCATACCCATTCCCGTGGTCCGTGCCGAGGGTGGCGCAAAAATCATCCCGCAGCACCAAATCCCAAAGCTTCTACACTGTATCCCACTCCCACCGCACTGTTAGGTAATTTACGTAAAAATTAATAGAATAAATCACCGTAACTTACAGAATATGATTTACAATTTACATACATAATTTACAAGGCTAGGGCTTCCCGGTACCCGAAATCCTAATATTTAGATCAACAAACTTATTATAAATATTATTATATTATCTATCAGTCACAGGCAGGGATTGACTTCAACAGTGAGAATTTGGAGACTATAGAGAATGGCCTTGGTTCTATTTCTATAGCAGGTGCTTCTAGTTATGCTGATAATAGAGATGGGGGTTCAAGTTTTTAAAAGTACCAAAAGAAAGAGTGCATTGATAATTCGAACCTGAATTATTAAAAATACAGGAAATTTTCCAAAATATAGTATCATAATTAATAAAAGAAACTGTAGTTATAATCAACAACTACCAGTAGTTAGACTAGATTATTGTTAAACAAAAAGTGCCTAAACTAAGCATCTAAAACGTACAAAGTTCACCAAATTTCGGTATAAATATCCCAGACTGTGGGCAAGCAAACAGCCAGGGGTTGTGGCAGCCAGTCACAACCTTAGCACAAGTAATTGGCTCTTTTAACACAATTAGGAAATAGGGTTAAATTTTTCTCGTTACAAAAATTGAATCTACTATTTTTACTGGCTCATCTGCAGTGTAGATAATAATTATTTAACAAGTATTCCGGTCTTTTACAAGATCTCTTTCAAGCTTATCTTTTAAGTACTATCAAATATAACTTAGCTAATAATTTGATCCTGCTTGGTTATTGATATTATATGGCCTTGTAGAGTCATCACCCCACTTAAGTTGATCCCTAATACTATATGTTTGTATAAAGTCTTGGAGAAAAAGATATATTTAAGTATAGCAGTCAAGATTCTTTCACTCCTGAAAGATACATATAATTACAATCTCCCTAGTCTTCTCTGATTGGGCATTGAGTCATATTCACCTCTATATGCCTCTATGTAGGCTGAGTTTATTTTGCAAACAACATAACTTAATCAGTGAATTATCTGGAAATTTTAATTCTTAAATGGCTTCCTGATTTACTTACCTAAGTAGTATTCAGGTTTAGAGTTGTTGATTTTGAAAACTTAACGTAGACCTTGAACTCTTGAAACATATCTCTAATAGAAAACTGAATTATTGCAAATTGCAATTTTGTCACAATGTCATCTTTTCCTATACTCTAAATTTCTACTTTCAAATATCGTACAAGACTAAAGACTGTAAATATACTGTGCAAAATCAGACTCTGAGTCGGACTCTTACAGCGGGTTATACTAAAGTTTTAAAAGACAAAGATATATATACAACTACCTTTTCTCTTGAATTATTAGACCCCAGACCTAAATCTCATTGAAGGAGTATGGCGACAAAACGAATGTCCAGATTAATGCTCAACATACATCCTTATCACGAGAAAACAGAAAAGAAAAAGAAAAAAAAGAAACATGTATCATAGCAACGCACTTAACTATTCAGGAGGAATAGGAAAATATTAACACACCTGACCTTAAACTCCCACTTGGTAGTATGATATGCCCACCAGGATTCAAGTTCCCCTTTCCGCTCGAGGTGATCGCACCAGGTTTTGACCACCAGATTCGTTTTTCTCTTTTCTTATTTTTACTCTTATTTCACATTTTTTAACTTTTTCCTTCTCGTCTTTCAATTCTCTGTTTGTTTCCAATATTATTCCTGTATGCCGAGTATTATATTACGTGGTATAAGCCTGATATTTTTACCACTTTCACGTCCGGAAATATACCGCAGCCGGAGGAAGTGAAAATACGCCATGGGGAAAACCGGAAAGCAAGGTTTCTTCCTCCAAGGCACAACCTAGCTAAGTTATCATACTAACTAATATTTTCTCTTACGTCTTTGGCTTATTAGGCCATTTGTCTTGGGTCTCTCTCAATTCATCAAGGTCGTTCGAGCTAAGGCTATGTATGATATGCTGCATACCTTTCCATATATATATATCATAACCCACTGTATTCTGACAATCCCCAGCTCTTACGATCGAGTGATACCCGAGTATCCCACATATCACAATACAACTACTACTCTTAATAAGGCAGCCCAGTGCCCCGTCCCCCTACCACTTTTTATTGCCTGACCCTTGTACCGGGAAGGGAATACCAATCCACGACTTGCCTCTCCACCATCACACCACACACACACACCCCCGCCCAATCCCCGTGATATGCACTCCGCCCCGATGCCACACATCCCCCCCCCCCCGCACCATCACAATCACATAATACCAGATGCCCGGGCCAGGACTTGACTACTCGAGTACTAAATTAACTAATCACGCCTTCCCCACCACGAGCGACAAATAAACAAGCGGCGGACGTCCCCGCGCCGCCAAGTTCGTTTACCCGTTCTCAAGACGTAAACAATAGCAAGGCGCGGGGCTCCCCACAATTTTAGAACACAACAAACGGCATGGGTTATCCTGGTGCAAATCTACCCTTTCTGGATCACCCTCCTACCTCCACCCAATTGGTCCAATTTGTGTTGTCTCTCTGCGTCAATTCCTGCACTCGGGTATTCGGTCCCGGTAACTGCGCTCGCACTATTCCAGACGGGATGACTGCCGTGAGACACCGCCACGATACGGCAGTGGACGACGACGATACGAGGACGACGAACTGAACCGGCTGAATCCACCTCCGTCCCACCACCTTGTCCGCGGATGAGGGTATCAAATAATATGCTGTGGGCTACAAGTACTGTACAGTGCGATAACAAATCATACAAAAAGAGCCTAAATTCTATACAAATTTAAACACGAGCCAGACACACAACAGTTAAACTAAGGCAAACAGACAGACAAAAAAAAAAAAAAAGTGCCCATTTTCATCATTTGTTTTGCTTCAAATTGACTCGACACACTTTTGATCTTGTTCACACGACGATCCAATGAACAGAGAAGCAATAGAAAAAGTGAAAAGTGAAAAGTGAAAAGAAGTTAAATAGAGAGTGTGTGACTAGAATCCCATTCTTTCTCTTTCTCCTGTCGGGAGGGAAAGGCAAGAGTAAAATACAAACGTGAGTGGGAAAATTTTCGCAAGATGTTGAAATGAGTTGTGAATAGATAAACAAGAATGCAAAGGAAGAGAGTCGAGAAAGGGAAGGGGAAATGTTTAAAATGTTAGCACAAAAGGTAAGGGAAGGGAAGGCGAGGGTATTAATTATGTAACTGCATGAACTGGGAGGGAAAAGGATTAGAGTCCTGTTGAATATGTAAATAGGTAGACATTGTGCGACCAACCTGAAGGTCAGAAGAGAAGGTTGAGAGGAAGAAAGGAGATCGGTATACCAGAAATCGTGTAGCACAAATACAAATCCCAAGAAATAATGGGAACGAAGAAATTTGAAAGATAGCTTTGGCCAACTCATGAAAACCCCGTAGAAAAAGAAACGGAAAAGGGAAAGGAGGAAAAGTTAAACCCAAAAAACGCCACCAGCCGCTCAGAAAAAAGAAAAAGGATCAAATCTCTTCAACAAACATTGCCTCACGCAAGAAAAAAATAAAAGGAAAAGGAAAAGAAAACCAGATACCCAGCCACCAAAACTTATGTCCAACTTTTGCCCAGTCGCTATTTATCTCTATGCTTTTCTCCCAATAGTGAAAAACTATACATTAATCGACTAAAAAAAAAAAAAAAAAAGAGAAGCGCCAGTTATCAGTTGGCAGTGCCGTCATCATCATACAACGATCGTTTCGCTGGTCGCACCGAATGTCGCGACTCCATTCGTGCCAACATGGCTGCGGACGTGAACTCACTCGTAGCCTCAAAACTGGCTCTTGTTCGATCCATGGACGCCCGGACACGGTCAAAGCTAGGCCTTGCTCGATCCATACTGGGACGCACTGGCTTATCCATGGAGTATCGGTGAGGTGTAAAAGTACCCGTCCCCATATATCCTGAGCCATCAGTCCCGTCACTACCATTACCACTTCCACGCTTCCCAGCGGTGGTTGCGGTAGGGGCCACGCTCGGTGGGTATATGGGTCGTCTCTCGTCGTCTTGGGCATAAGGTCGAACTGGAGGCTTCATGACCTCCGAAGAAGCTGCAGAGGAAAGAGAAGTCGTGTTTGGTTTCTCCCCATTCCCATAGAGATAATTGAACTTCCCTTCTTTAACCTGCTCGCGGATGATGTCTATATCTCGAGGAAAGAATAGCTTTTGAACAGCCTTAGACGCCATCCTAGGCAGAAGGCATACTAACACAGTCAACAGAGTAGTTACCCAGAAGGACAAGGCACCATAAACGTGATCTGCAGCCTTGTAAAATGGGCCGGTGGATGTGAACTGTGAGAAGACGCCCGTCCAGAACCAGATGAGTAGAATACTGATAGCGGTGCAAAGCAGGAAAACCCAATCCCAGCGATACTGGTTAATCAACACATATGAGTTGACAACAACAATTGAGGCACATCCAACATAGACTCCCATCAACTCTCGTGAGTTCAAATCTCTACCAGAAGAACTGGCAAATCCGCCCTCACGGAACAAGAGGTAAGTCATGAAGAAACAAATCAATGACTGATAAATACCATCAATCATGTAAACCCTAGAGAAAAATTAGCTCAAGCTCTTGCCACGGGAGCGCAGATAGAATACCAAAACTTGACCTGTGTCCATTCCTTACGCAAAATACCTCTACGATACAATTGCGGAACGGCAAGAGATACTTTATCATCAACATCTTGGTCCAGAACACCCATGAGAACGACCGGCACCGAGGTGAACGCAAGATTGTAGAGAAGGATGTAGGTGTACTCAAAAAGATAAGACCCGTCAAAGCTGTTGTAGAGCTGGTACCAGAACAGCGCGAAGGTCCAGACAATATTCTAAAAAGAAAAATACTGTTAGTGAATTACCGACAAAAACACACAATCAAGAGCCAACCTTATAGAAAAAGTTTGCAGTCATTTCAGCCACCCTCCGATAAGACCAACGCCCATGCACCAGCACCAGTCTGCTTAAGAAGCGGAATTGCCCTATAGCGTAATCGGAGCACATAACTGCCTGTCGACCTTCCTCACCAGCAATACCGACACCAACATCGGCCTCCTGAATCATAGCAACATCATTGGCACCTACAAAAAATCAGCATTTCCACGCCCAAGAGCACAAACATAAAAAACTTACCATCACCGATAGAAAGAGTCATAACGTCCAATCCCAATTTGACCATTTGACAAACGGCGGCCTTCTGACTAGGACTGACACGACAACAAAGGACCGCCTTGCACTGTTTGCACAATAGCAAGAATTTCATTTTTAGCTCATCTTCCAGCACAAGTTTAAGCGCATCACCATCAATAACCAAAGCGTGGGTGGGAGGCGGCGGGTTATGGTCCTTCTTTGCAGCCTTAAGCTCAGCTTCGCTTCCGGTCATGTTAAAATACCGCATGAGATGTTCATCAAGCAGTGCAGTCGCAGATTCGAGACTATTCTCTTCGGACTTGAATTGTATAAGTTCCATACCATTATCCAAGAGATTGCATGAGAAACCAATATTGATGGCGGTTTCCACCTTGTCACCAGTCAAAACCCACAACTTAATACCGGCCTCGGCAAGAAGAGCAATCGTGTCTGGAACTCCGTCTTGTAGCCTATCCTCAATAGCCGTTCCACCAATAAGAGATAAATCCCTCTCAATAGCATCAGAGACCTCCTCGAGTTTCTCCTCACGGTTGTGCACAGAAGCAGCGGCCATCTCGTGCTGTTTATTCCATGTCTGATATTCTTCTTCGGTGAGCTCCCTCTGTGCAACGCAAAGCGTTCTCAGCCCCTCGCGCGCAAAGACTTCCAAATGCTCGGCGGTCGATTTTCTGAGCTCTTGTTGCTCACCTAGTCGGAGCCGAGAGTAGATTATACTGTCTGCCCCCTTGCAGAACAAGTAGATCTTTCCGGTATCAGGCATACGAATGATCGCGCTCATACGTTTTCGAGAGGAATTGAACTCTAGTGTGTTGAGAACCTCGTACTCTCTCTCGTCCCCCTGTACGTTCACAATAACCCCATGGGGGGTTCTGTCGATAAGGGTATATCCACAATCACGAGCAGTGGCCACCAATGCAGCCTCATCTGGAGATTGCGCTTTGAAATCGATCCGTGGAGGTTCACTTGAAACCAACTCCGGTAAAACCGTATGACAAAGAGCAAGGACAAGCATGAAGTGGGCGTTTGCGCCGGCTTGCTCGGCTCCAGAGGCCCCATTGAGATCAGCTATGTAGTCAGAAGCAACAAATGTCAACTTGTCATCCTCAAAATACGGATTGTCGTGAATATCTCGAAGTCTCTTGATCATTTCCAGCCTATCCACTGCGATCTGCTCCCGAGCTCTTGCGCCCTCGACTTCGACATCAATTCCCTGCCGTTTCTGCATCCCGGCCTGAGCTTCGGTATAAGCCTCGCCATAAGGAACACCATTGACGGTACACTTCTTAAACTCCATAACATTCTGGGTTAGTGTGCCTGTCTTATCCGAGAAGATATATTCGATTTGTCCAAGATCATCCGAAATATTCCAAGATTTGGGGGTACAAGGGTAATCGAGCTTTTCGTAATACATATGAGCATCACTGAAGATGAAGAACGCCTGGGCGAGCTTAATAATTTCAATGCTGATGTAAAGCGAGATCGGGACCAAGTTCTGGAACAGGATGACAGCAGTCCAAAAGGTGACAATACCATCAACCGGCGGTGATCCTCCAATGGAACCAAATTCGAAAAAGTCAAGAGACTCGTTGCCCTTAGCCCATGTGAATCCTTGCACAATTCCCGAAACCAAACACATGATTAATAACAGACAGAAATTCATGATAACCTATTGCAAAATTAGCTGTGATCGGCCACACAGTGGAAACCATCCACTCACATTCCAATTCAACTCCCGTGTAATCCTACTCCTTTTCGAAGGAGTAACTCCAGCATTCATCATAATCTTGGTCTCATCACCGGTAAATGCAACAATTCCAATGGCCCACTCGGTATTTCTGAGAGTGCATCCCCTAAGTAGAAGATTGTTGATCGATACCGGCTCCTGCATTGGCGTCCCCTCCTTCCCAGGGTCTGTAGGATCTTTCTGTGTCCATTTAACCACCCCGCTGTAAGAGTAAAGGTTGGCGTGAGGATTCTCGCTTTCCAAAGTAAAAGCTGCAGCTTCGCAGTCTTTGGCGTGTCTAACCCTCCTTCCACAATGCAACGCATGTCGAACCTTGAGGTTAGTTTCACCATCTAAATTCTTTGTCTCAACATAACATGCGCCATCGGCGTCGGAGGTGGAAAGAATGATGACATCAGCGGGAATTTCCTCATCGTTGTAAACCCTCACAAAATCCCCAACCCGAACATTTTTCCAGTAATCCCTCTTAAACCTCGCTTTCCCAGGAGTCTGTTTGTGAGGATCGATAACATTACCAAAAAACCGAGCAGGTGGCTTCGAAGAGCTTTGCCTCTTGGGATTCGGGACTGTCAGGTGGGTACCGCCAGCACCAGACGGACCTTCAAAGGAAAAGCGTTGCTTGTCAGGGGTTGGAGAAGAGACCGGTGTCATTTGAATAGACTCCGAGTGCCCGGTCATAACTGAATAGACTGATGCCCTCGTCTGACTGCGTTGCAGTGCGTTTTCATCTCCAAGCTGCTTCCCCTTTTTCTTCTGCCTCTGCCGTTTGTAGAGCGAAACGAGATGCCGGATACCCCTAGACGTAGCCTTCTTAATCCGGCGCCAATGGCTGATATTTTCGTCGGTAACATTAGGATTATGCCAATCGACCAATAAATGAATCGGAGTATTGTTGAGCTCAATATCGAGCACCGTCCGACGATAATCCTCGATCGCATCCTTGACGGCCGTAATCAATAAAATCACAATTAAAGGCACCGAACCTAAAGCTGGATTGCTCGCGCCAAATATGGGAAATATCTGGATATAAGCTGTCAGACAATGTACAAAGGAGAATAGTTCCTTCAAAGTTCAACGTACAGCAAGTATGGTGACAAAAAGGAAATAAACGTTAGCAACATTGTGGAACTGGAGCCACAGATTTTTAGGAACAAATATGAGAGGTGTGTATTTAGCCGTGCGAATTTTGTTTCGAGAGAACCACTGTGAAGGGGAACCATCCTCGTCAAGGCACTCTGGTGGCAAAGGCTCGTTAACGAATATACGCCGCTGGGTAGACCCTTCTTCTGACCCTCCCGACCCCGGATTCATTTGACCACCAAAGCCCCCTCCTGTCCCCGAAACATCTGCCTCCATCTTTTCTGGAGACCTTCGCGACATTGACAAAGCTCTCATTATCGTGTCCCTCTTCCGCACAGCTTCCATCCCAGGAACCCGCTGGGTTGCCCACCGTAAACGTTTCGTCGCGGTCGGCGACGCAGGATTCCCCGTCATCGTGGACGAATAGAAAGAAAAACAGAACGGGGCGGTGTTGATGTGGCCAGTGTTATTGTAAAAATTAGGTACCTGTCAATGGGGGGTAACTTTTGTAAAGCAATGCTGTCGAACCGTAGGAAGTTATGGAAAAAGAGTGTAGCAATGGTGGGCGTAATGCAGTAATCCGGAACCGTCGGAAACGATGCAAAACAAGCAAACAAGAGGTGAAATCTGGTAAAGGATAAGTATCGAGAGAAGGAATCCTGAAGATCCGAGAAGGGGGGGATTTTCTCCTGACCTGCTACCGTACCTCCCTCCAGCAAACTCGGTAGCCGTCTCGGTCTGAGTGGAGCCCAGGGGCTATATTTGGCGATTAGAACTTTCTCCGGTCAGCAAGGAACCCGGCAAACGCGACGTGTTGGCCCCCTAATCTCACACAAACAGGCGAAAATAATATGGGGAAGGAACAGAAGCCCACTCGGAAAGCGTATCTTGGTGAACACCAAACCTAGGGGAGGGACAAAGGGTATGAAATAGGATGAAGGTGAGAGAGGGAGAAGGGAAAGGGATAACGGAGATTCAATAAGAGAAGGGGAAATATTCCTCCCCCAATGATGAATCAATGCAAATGCGAGAGGGGGCGTAGTCTAGTCTGAGCTAGGCGAATGGGGGAAGTGTGGTGCTTAGGCAACGCGAGCAGGCCAGCGTAGGCCCGACAGCAACGGAGCCAAAGCAGAGGAAATGCCGTAGTCTACCAGCACCGGTACTGCACCTCTACAGTTATGTACCGGTACCGTGATAGCAAAATTTAATAAATGAATGAATTGCCCAACGCCCAGCACCAAAAGCCGAAACAGGCGTGGCAGATGAGACTGGATAGCACCTCTCACAGTCTACTATGGAAGGGCCACCGAAAGGATATCGAAAAACAGTTCCCCCCAAGGAGCCAGGAGGAAATCAAAGATCAAAGCAGTACGAGTACTCGAGCTCGGTACTCTACTAGTACTAGTACACCATGTCGTAGAGAGACCCCACCCAAAGGGACGCCAAATATGGTATGGGGCGCGCGAACTGGTTACAAGCACCGTACATGCACCAATACAGGTTCGGGAGTGTGAAAGTCCCCCTAATTCGGGAGGGCTACTGTAAGCTGAGCATAGGGGAACCTGAGCCCAAGAAACACGACGGCCTGAAACCTCCCCTAGATACAAGAAGACTCCGAAGATACAGAGAAATATCAGATTAGTGGTGACGAGTCTACAGTTGGCTCACTAGGCTAAAATCGACTGTGATGCTATCGCCTGCTTCCAACGGACATTTACTGTAAGCAAAAAAGAATACCCCCGAGCCATTCGGTGTCTTTGCGATATTGGCTACCATAACGTTGTTGTCCCATGAGGAAGGAAGGTGATCCAAGGGGGTGTCTGTACGAGTACTTTTTTCTTTTCTTTTCTGCACTTGCGCGCTGCTCGTAATTTCGAGACATTCGTGAATACCGGTAGGACCGCTACTGTATGTACTAGTACAGAACAGTACCGGCACCGGTATCGCACACAGCCACTAGTCAGCCATAGGCTCTGAGCTTCAGAGGCGATGAATTTTGGTGGTATGCAGTACCGGTAAGAGTAGCAGTAGTTTTAAACGTCACGGCACCGCAAGCATGCTGGTATTAATCTTGATAAGCAAAAGCCTACCGGTGTGTTGCATGCTGAGGTGCAGAAAGGGTCAGAATCCCTCTCATCTCTAACCACTTGAGTGGTGAGTATCGAGAAATGATTACTCTGATCCAGAAAGCTCCAATCGTTGCGGCCAAAATCCGAGAACTCGCTTGGAAGAAAAACCTGATCAGACTTCTCGAGTACTCGTACAATAAGCAACGATTGGGCCCAACTTACCGTATTGTACTCGTGCTCGAGTACCGGTATTCACAATAGTTTCCCCGCTTCCGCAATGACCGATCATAGGTCTGATAGGAATTCTTACTTTTTTACTTTTCCTTTCTTTTTTCTCCCTTCCTCTTCCCCACCTGGGCTCCTCCTCTCTTACTTTTTTTCCTTCTTTTCCACTCAAGTTTCATCCTTAGTAGTACCGGTAGGTTGTGGTGGAACGCATTACAAACCAAGTTTTCATGGAAGAAAAAGGATTATGGATTAGACAGTCATAGTAGCCGCTACAGGAAGATCATGGAAAGCTAGAAGCCGGCCAGAGTACCGTTACTCGAGTGCTCACACGGTGCCATTTCGATCTCACTGGTCCCACTTGCGTTCTCATCGACGGATCCGTACCCGAGTAGACTACCGGTACTGTACTCGTACTCGTACGAGTACAAGTGGAAGCAGATGGGAGCTTCCTGCCGACTGCTGGCTTCTGCCCTGCAGCGCAGAGGGCGTCTCGGAGATAGGCTACCGGCAGCCCACAAATTTTCAAGGCCGCTTGGAACGGATGAGCGCCCACCCGCTTTGCCGTGTCGTGGAACGTGCATCGAGCCCTGCTTTGCTTGACAACATGAAAAAGCACGGGGGACAACATGTGACGAGCATACTGGAAACAATGGTTTTGATTTTCGTGATACCTTACTATCCTAGTACCCGAGCACAGTACCGGTAGAACACCGTAAACCCCCTCCCGCGGCAGAGCCCTCTCCTCTTTCCATACTGCTACTCGTACCGCCGTTCATCTTGTCATCCCTACCGACCCCAACAACAGCGTCATGATAAACCATGCGATAATTTTGTAGAACCCTTAAAAAAAATACTCTCCGCAAGGCGTTACTGTACGGGTGCGATGACCGTCATCTAACCCCATTTAAATTAAGCATAAGTTGCATAAAACCTTGACACTCCTCTTCCTCCATATTGCTTTGCACGAGCACTAGGACGGGGTCCATGTGGGAGGAGAACGGAAAAGAAAGGGAAAAGATGGGGAAACGCCTCTACCGGTGCAGCACTCGAGTGCTCTGGAGTTTCGTGAAGAGCCGGTGAACCCCTGTTGGTATCCTGGATTCTGGAAAATGTGGAGGGATATCCCCGACCGGAGAAAGGGGAGCCGGGGTTAGAGACATTTCTTCCCTTTCCCTTTGGCTTGAGAAGAGAACTGGCGTGGCTGATGGATATGTGGCTGAGGCTGGCTTTGTGGACTCAAATCCCTTGGCGCTAAAATGGCTTGCCTTTGAGAAAAGTGATGCAACGAGCAGCCAGCTGCAATTTCACGTTCGCACTGACTTTGTAATAAAACGCGTCTACCGGTAAAGTTACCCCACCAACAGTCTTAACTCCTTCAACCCACCACCACTCAATCTGGTTTCATCTGGTCCGGATTCTTTCCCTCTCCACCGCCACCCTACCGCCACAGCTAGGTATAATTGAGGTCTAAAAAAGTTTCCAATGACCATGTCGGCTCGAAGTAGTAAAGCCACAAAACCAGCAGCCAGCGGAAGAATTACTAACTTCTTCAAGCCGGCTTCATCTCAGACACTAAATGCCGGTTCCCGTAACGAGTCCACAAGGCAGGCTGCTTCCCAGGAAGGTGTCACTCGTCGCCAGGGCTCGACAAGTTTTGAGGAGGATCCAACTGTGAGCCTATCCAGCCTTCCTTTGACAAACTCACCATTGTTTGCTGATGATCAGGAAAAGATCAGCTCACCAACCAGACAGCTTTTGCGGGAGAGCTCCGTCTCAGACGCATCGACTCAACCATCGTCAATGCCTAGAGACCAACCAGCTAAACGACAGCGAGTCGTACCAAGCTCTGATGGTGAGGAGAGTGAAGATTCCGATGGTCTCGAAGACCTTGGATCGATGTTTCGCGCCCGAAAGCCGCCAGCGCAAACCCCGCAAAAAAAGAAAGAACCGGATGGTATTGTTTTGCGGTTGAGGAACGTTACTATTCCGAAAAGACCTCCTGAGATGCCGAAGCCTCAGACCTATAAGTTTTCTCTTGATAGGATTATTGAAGAGCGAGCCAAGAGATCATCACTTGGTGATGATATAATCAAGGCACGTAAAATGTTCGAGGATGCTCAAAAGGAGACCCCAGATGGAGAAGGTAGGACTAGGCCTTCTGAGGAAGAAATAGGGAGCAAGCTTGGGGAAGGGCAAGCGAGCAAACTCTTAGGTGCTCTTGATAGGAAGGACGCTTGGAGGATTGAGAAATCATGGCACTTTTTTGACGTAGACAAGGCACGCATCCCTAAGAGCAGAGTTGCTTTCCCCTTAGAAAACTTGAAAAAGGGTTGGGAAACAGCGAACCTTGCAGGTTGGATATGCCGAATTCGTGTCGTGATTCAATATCTCATAGGCTAATATAATCATGACGGTAGATATTCGGGTGCGTCGAGAGACTCTTGTGTCGGGCTTTGTGCGTGACATGATGGAAATCGGCGTCAAGTTTTCTGACAAAATTCTCGAATGGATGTTTATAGAGAGTACGTTTGTCTCGGTGTTAGTTGTATTACCCCTGCTTACCAGCTGTACAGTGGCTTTGGAGAGCAATCAGGATCTGTCGTTCGCATACTACCAAACTCTTTGTTGCTTGTCAACGGAGGAACTCCTTCATGCTTTATCTAGCCACGGGCTGGTGCATATATTTCAGCTTCTGGGCGGGAGGGAGGATGCCCTTAACGTTGATGCGCCTGTTCGTCTAGGGCGGTCATCTAGAAAAGGTAACGGATCGGGTGATATCAAAATCTAATATACCAAACTGACTTGGATGCCATAGATGACGTTCCTCTTGATTACTGGAATATCCAGTTGGTAGTCAAGTATATTGGCAAGATGGCTCATGGGTTAGAATTCAATTTCCCTTTCAAAAACCAATTCTCAGAATTTACTGATAGAGTCTAGAATATCTTCGGATGAGGAAGTGTTTAAAGAAGCATGCAAACTCCTAGGCCGCCTTGCGCTTGACGTGCGTGTCGCCAAGTGCCCATCTCTACGTGCTGCTATTGAAGACTCACTGGAGAACCTGTTTCACGCGATCCCCAAAACTAGGTGGGAAGAAACCGCAAGTCCCCAATACCCCCACCCGCACACTCGTGCTTTCAATCCTGACATTCTCCAAAGACTCTATCAATTGGTCACAATTTCATCTCCACAATCAACGACCCAGACATCCGCTACAACCTCTTGACCACTCTCCCATGCGTCACCCCGCGTGCCCATCTCTTCCGCCGGAGGCTAGCCCTCGCATACCTCTTCCAAGACCCCACCTACCTCAGTAAAGACTATCCAGACCTCGTCCGGCTCCAGCGCTTCGCCCGACTCCTAAAAACCAGCCCGACCTTTGAAGTCAACAACGACACGGACTACGACGAGCTCCGCGCGACCATATGCATCCTGGACATCGCCATCGATGACGGCCCCACATCCGGTGAACCTAACATGAACGATCTAGAGGTAGATGTACTCGTGGAGAACTTTAGGAACATGTTCTCCAAGATTAGGGATACGAATGCGCAGAATCTGTCGAGGACGGAGTCGAAGGACGTTATCGAGAGGTTGATGTTCAGGCTCAGGTTTGGCGTGAGGAAGAGGGAGAAGATGAACCTTGTTGTTGACACCGCTTTTGGCACGGAGTGGGCCGGAAAGGGCGGGAAGACACAGACGAAGTTGAAGTTGAAACCGAAGGAGAAGATGGAGGGGGATGATATAGGGGATGAGGGGGTGGAGGGGGCGGAGTAGCGACTATTGGCAATATCATAATGTGTTTTGGTTCCCTCTTCCCCCGCACTTGATGTATTCTAGTACTCATACCTGAGGCTTTCCCTTCTCTCCTTTCTTTCTCAAAGTTTCTTTCTTTCTTTCTTTCTCTTTTGACCTCATTCCCTTACCAAAATCTTGCGAAAATAACTGGCGTTATGACTTTTTTTCCCCTTCTCTCTTCCCTTTCGCTCATTAGGAGGTCAAGTTACTGTAGCTACCTCAACACCATTCCGTTCCTACCATCTATCCATCGACCCATCCATCGATCTATAATGCCTCACTAGTCCTAATGTCCCAAGCCAAGACCGAACTTTTCATGTCTCCGCATCGCACCACGCATCGACAGCACACCGCATCACTCACCCTCTCACTCACTGGGAATTGCAGGTAGAACAATTTAAATGCGTCTAACACATATTACATACATAACCACCCGGTCGTCCACCATTCGAGTCCTTCAATGATTCGGCAAGTGCTGAGGTGCAATATCAAAGAGCAAGTTGATCACTGGTGTTGTGTCCGGAATAATCTCATCTCCGGTGAGGACCGGATTGATGGCGTCCGGGACAGGGTGCGGTACCGTACGGTAGTCCGGCTATGGCGGTTTTATCTGGGGTGTGGCGACGTGTGTGCGCTCACTGTCCTGTCCTCTGCTGTGCTGCGATTTGGTACGGTGTGGTACTAGTAGAGAGAGCGGGTGTATAATGCGTATCTCGTGGATATGGTGGATACGCAAGGTCGGAGATTCCGGATAGGGGATAATCTCGGCAGGGTTAGCATGGATAAATGGGCGGTGGGAGTCATGCTCAGAAGCTCTATCACGCTATGCTACGGCACGGAGAGAAAGTGGGGAGAGGAGTGAATGCGGAGTCAATGTTTCGGCACCATATGTATGGTATAGGAAGAGCTATAGAAAGAAGGGAAGAAGCGGGAAAAGCATAATCACAGGTTTTCCCCCTGAAAAGTAATGGAGTAAAAGTGAAAACATGCATATCCACGGTTAGTATGAAGGAGGTTAACGAAGCCAGCCAATCAATCAATCGTAGAACTTGCGATTGGGGTTTTGTCCAAAGATGCTGGCACGGACGGCTGGTAGAGCTTCTGCTTCCAGAAGCTTGAGGCGTTCTTCTAGAGTGTTGTTGATGGAGATTTTTCCGCTGCCACTGATCATGTAGATCCCGCCGTAGCTATGTGACACATGTATCCATTGTTAGATGGCACAAGAGGGTGGTAATGGGGATAAGAGAATAGACAAACCCCTCAGCCGGCAACCAATTCCCCTCTGCAATCTCCACCTGCAACTCCCCTTTATACTCCCCCTTGGCCTTCTCCACCGCGCGCTTGACAACCCCTACATCCTTCTCCCTGACACGAATGCTAACTCTCCTCTCATCAAGCGCATACACACACTCCAACACCAGATTCTTCAATACCTCTTCGTACCTCCCCTCATCCTTGTTAATGTCCACCAACCTCTCGCGGGCTTTATCAAAGATGTCGTCCAAGAGCTGCTGCCTCGCAGCGAGCACCTTAAGCCGCGTCTTGTTCATGACGTTTGAGCGCGCGATTTGCTGCGACAGTTCGGCCTGCTTGAACTTGCGTTCGTACTGAGCGTCTATCGCTAGCGTCTCCGTGCGGACCAGTTTGGACTTTTCGATGGCGAACTCCTCGTCGGCTTTTATGCTGATCTCACGGGCTTTCTCGAGGGCTTCCTGTTTTATGAAGGCTACCATCTTTTTTAGTTCGTTGTTGACCTGAATTGTTTTAGTCAGCTCTTTGAAGGTGGGTTCTTGAAGGGAAGGACTGCTGACCTGGTCATCGCTGAGAGCGTGCGCCATGGTGAATGTAGTTTATTGTTTGATTGATTAAACTTAAGATTGGCTGCTTCAAGGTGTGGAAAGCAATAGAGCTTTCTATCTATCACGAACCCACAAGTAAAAGGTATTAGACCGAAGTAGATGAAAGCAGGAAAATCACGGATAGAAGTGTATCTGGTATCGAGAAAAGATAAAACCGTTGTTGCCGGCGGTGGGGTGAGGTTGGAAAAAATGCGGAGCGATAGCTTAGTGTGACGACGATACGCGAAAGAGGCTCTGGCAGGGTAAGACAAGAAACGAACATGTACGAGCACAACCGGAAGGGGGACTTGGAAGCACAGAAACGGAGGCTCAAGGCTAACCAATGGGTTTCGATCACGAGTGATTTAAAAATGCAGCTTTTTGTGCATTTGAATATTGGACTTTGAGAGCTATTTTGCGGGAAAACCGGACTTGGGTGCGAATGACGGATTATCACTCGATGCTAGGCATATGGTTGCACGGGGGGGTCTTTCGGTTTTATCCGCCGCTGGGCCGACATGGGCATCTCCGTCCTCGTTTCATAAGGCTGTTTCTGGGGAGGATTCACCTCGTCAGCCCGGGCTTTCGGTCGACCTTATCGGTATGATATCATAAAGCTTTGGGGCTGATTAGAAAGCTAGGCTTTGTTTTGTGTATAGTACCGGTACTGTATTCCAGTAATACCGGTAGCTCCACTTATCTCGACTGCCAATATCGTCAAGGCTGTATTTCTTGCAGCGCCTTGTTCATGCCCCCATAGGCGTGGTCTCGAGGAAGTAGGCGTACTGCAAATTATGGCTAGTTCGCGCTTTAGGCTGTGTGAGTTTCTTTTCGTTTCTACCCGTATTCTCGATCAATAAGAATGGCACTGTACGAGTACAGTACACGCTCAGGGCACTGCCTCAAGTAGGAGGCTGGAGGTGTATGGCCGAGTGTTGGTACAGCCGACGGGATCGGATAGTCTACAGGTTTTTCAGCTTCAACTGATCCTACTCATTCACAGTAAGGGCTCGAACGAGCGGACCATCTTACAGTGCTCGTATAAGTTACTCGAGTACTACCGTCGGTTGGTCCAAAATTTCCTCTGCCGAAAAGGGGCACAAATCACTCCAAAAAACCGGCTTTTCGAGATAGATAACGGAAGGAGGGAGGGAGAAACACTGGACCTCGCTCTGAGCACAAGTAGCAACTCCAACATGCTAGCACAAGATCCGTTTGTTTGGGTTCTTACGGCATACTGTGGGGGAGGCATGGAGCCTCTAATAGACCCGGAGTGTGTCCGGGTTGAGGAAATACTAGTGTAAACAGGAGGGTCCTAATGAACTACAAGGAAATTAAGTTCTTGTATTTGTACTATAGGTGCTAATATCGGGGTGGGGGTCACGAATCGCATAGCTCTGGTACTCTTGCGTGGGCCATTCTTGACCCTGGCTTTCTAATCAGATATTCGAGTGATAACATATGAATGAACTCCTGATCTTGCTTCTCTTACAGTGCAAGTTTCAATGGTACCAGATTGGCTAACCACGAGTTGCTAAATTTAGGCTCGGCTCCATTGTGCATGATATGGTGATTTGTATCTTGTGAGGGTATGGTAGTAGCCCAGAACTATCGGGCGATATGCGTTTAATGGATACCCTTCTAGATAATATTGATAGAATATTTTGCTGTACAGTACATCGGCCAGGCGCGCTACTCAACCGAATGCACGGTACCTTTAAATTAGCATTTTCGAACTCCATCGGGGTCGATTGGGGATGCGCCAGCACTTCTAGACATACCGGTAGTGAGTATATGAGCGGACAATATGTTGGTATTAGGTAGGGGCTGTAGCTGTCCGCTCACTTGTTGCACCTCAACACTGCAAAAAGTGCATTTTTTAGGAGCGCGGCTCTCCTCCCCCCTTACTCGAGTATAGATACACAACACTGCGTCCGGTGCTTACCCGAGCAAACTAGCTCCTGGAACGATGGACCAAATTTCCTGCAGGAATCTCTCCTCGCCACAGTACCATCATCCGATTGATGTACGAGTACCGGTAAGCTGAAAGAAGCGCGCTATAACTTCTGTCGACTATACTTGTATCGTACTTGTACTTGTAGTACTGGAACCTTTTTTTCTCTTCTTCCTTGTAGGAATATCGGCACTTTTGCAATACAATACAATGCTATGGTATGAAGTGCACCTAATCGGATTCCCAGCCATCGAGGCGCCAGACGCACGCTTTGGGGTCCACTGAGGGAGAGCCGGCGCAAGGATACGGGACTTTGTCACAGCCCTACGGACGAACCAAAAAAGGGGAGAAGATGAGATTGGGGGTGTTTGGTAGTCGAGTCGGAGAAGTATCAAATATGTTGTTTTGACGGTATCATATATGCAATGGACGCTTTATTCACCGCGCAACAATGATAGCGGTGTGGGGTCTTATGGAGGTTTATAATTAATTACCCCCCAGGTACGACGGCGAGGGGTCCGTCTGGATTCACCATGTCGAGTTCCTCATGTTTGGGCCGGGAGATTGAATGATGCTTATTCATTTCATTTACAAGTATGATGATACCCTGGTTCGCTTTTGGTTTCGCGACTGTCATGTGGACCCGTCCCGACCGCGATGCCTGAGGACTATTGGGGGATGAGTTCTAGAAGAGTACTCGAGTAGGGTTACCGGTGATGGAAGAGGTATAGATTCTATAGAATAAAGGAAGGACCCGAAAGAAGAATGGGAAAATGGCATAGAATAAGTAAAAGATAATATGCACAAGTATATGATACACTGCACACTGCCGAACCACCCTTCATACATTGTTACAATATGTTAATAGATGCATCTGGCGACAGCGCATCTCAAATCATTATCAGGGCGTAGGCTACATACCCGTATCGAATTTCTCTTCAATAAATTGCGTGTATTTCCTTTTTAAACTATGGAGATCCTTACTCTCTTTGTACTTTAACCCATCTGCGGCTAACTTTAGCTCCGTTCTCCTCATTCTCCCTCCTCGACCGTGGCCTCCTCCCCACTCGATAGAAAGACAACCTGAGACAGCTGGCCAGTCAGGCATTATTTTCCTCCATTTCCGCCATTCAACATTCTGGCCACTCCTTCACCCTTTTAGCATACCAGTGGCCAGCCAACTCTATTGTTTTCTTTTTCTTTTCCACTCATAACTTCAGGAAACTCCGTCATGGAGATTTAAGCGAAAGTGCACTCCGACCCAGCTGGCTGCTCTTTCCTCATCTCTTTTTTACTCAGATACGCACCCGTCCAGTACAACACGAACCTCCATCTTTGCAACCTACCTACCGTACTGTATTGGAGACGACGACACGCGCCCTATCGCTAATAACGAACGCCCCCTCTAACCCCCCCCGCCTCGCTCATCCGTGAAAGGGAGCGGGATAAAGTTGCTCTTCATGGTGGGCCTCGGCGATCTCTCTTCCGGTGCCCAGATTACGATAGGTGTATGTGTCGGGGTGCTGTCGACGAGTGTGCAGAGCTTGGGTTTAACGCTGCAGCGCAAGTCTCATCTGCTGGAAGATGATCGACCCCCGCATATCAAGAAGCGGCCACCGCATCGCCGGCGAATGTGGCAGGTAACTCATCAGTGCTCTCCAAAATATCTCACAACCAGTGCTAGGGCTCGAGCTAATTCTAAAATAATGTTCATAGATTGGAATCCTACTATTCATAGTGTCTAATATCTTGGGTTCCAGTATTCAAATTACCACCTTGCCACTGGTCATTCTCTCACCGCTGCAGGCTTCGGGCTTGGTCTTCAACTCTATCTGCGCGACTTTAATCCTGTCGGAACCGTTCACTCGGTACTCGCTGATAGGAACCATTCTCGTGTGCATTGGCGCCGCGCTAATCGCGGCGTTCGGGGCGATGAAGGAGCCCGCGCACAGTCTTGATGAGCTGCTGGATTTGTTGGCGAAGAAGACGTTTTTGTCGTGGATGGCGTGCACGGCTTTGTTGGTTTTTGGGATTCTTGGGGCGACGAAAGCGAGTTCAATTTTACGGCCTAGACTGAAACATACTGCCAAGATGAGGATGGTTCGGGGCGTTGCATATGGCTGCGTTAGGTGCGAGTTTGTTTATTCCGAGATGGGACGGAAGTTAGGGGGTGCTTGTTGCAGGACGCTGACTTTTTGTTTCTGAATGTGTAAAGTGGAATACTATCAGCTCACTGTCTCCTCCTGGCCAAATCCGCTGTCGAGCTCCTTGTTCGCACAATAGTCGACCGACACAACCAATTCAACCGCTGGCAATCCTGGATGATCCTACTCGGCCTTGCAGCCCTCGCGCTGACACAGCTATACTACCTCCACCGCGGACTAAAGCTTTGCTCAACTAGTGTTCTATATCCTCTTGTTTTCTGCGTATATAACATAATCGCTATCTTAGACGGTCTTTTGTATTATAGACAGGCATCCAGACTCACGCTGTTACACGGCTGCTTGGTATCCACCTCTTTCGTTCACCCCCCCTCTTTAGAATTACGTTAACATGGGATGCAAAAGATTGCCCTTGGCACTGCCATCCTCTTAACCGGCGTTCTTGCCCTCTCCTGGCGCCTAAATCAAGAACAAACGGGCCCGTCCGCAGGCGCCGCAGGCGCGCTCTCTCCCGGCATAGGTTTCATAGACACCGACTCCTCAGATCCTTCGACAGACACTGAAGGAGAGAGCTCAGAAATCGACACAAACCAGCAACTCCTCTCCCCGTCATCTCCATCCGCCCGCAGCAAGTTCCTAAAACGGAGGCGTGCACTGTCGGAAGTGGAAGAGATCTGGGGAGAACTCCAAGACGAGGGAGGACTCCCAAGGGATGAAGAAGAGGCTGGAAGCGACGTTGATGAGGGCACGAGTCTGTTAAGGAAGGGCCCGGGTGGGAGGAGGTATACCCGGAAAGGGAGCTACATTGGTCGTGGTGGCTCCGGCAGGAGCTCTAGGAAAGAGAGGATCTTGCAAGGCGCGATAGGAGGCTGGTGGAAACTGAAATGGTGGAAAGAGGGAAAGGAAGGGAACCCCGGTTGTCGTCGTGGACAGAGTGATGATGGTGATGACACGCAGGATGGAGGTGGAGGTGGTGGAGATTGATGTGATGTGGGAAGAGGGGGATAGTAATAATGATACTAACCCCCAGCGATGAAACCAACGGATTCCATTTTGGCTTTTCAGACCCTCGTTGCTTCTACTACTTCTTGCTATGATAAATTCCCATCTCTTTTATTATCACTATTTTATCCCGCCTGTTCTGTTATTTTCTGTTCCGTTCCGTTCTACTTTACTCGAGTCGGAGCGTGTATCTTAGCTGTGTTCTACGCGGCGTTTGTCGTTCATCATATGTATTTTGTTGTGCATGGGTGCCATTTTGTTTCCCCGGTCCGGTCAGTGATTACCACAAGACCTATCCTTTTTCCTTTTCCTTTTCCTTCCCCCCCCTCGGAGTGTGAGATGAATGGTGTACGACGGGTATAGCTAGTTAAGTTGGTCAGCCAGGCAAGTGGATGTGTATGTAAGGTTTATACTGTACTCTACAAAGAAACGGAACGAAAAAAATAAAGTGAGTAAATTAATTAATTAATTAATAAGTGGATAGATAGTTAGACATGATACCTATGCTCCGCTGACAACTTTGCATCGAGACGCCGTCGCGGAAGATTAGCTGTAGGGTTGGAGTTTACTTTTCTTGCGTGCTTGATACTGCGCAGTGAACAGTACCTTGCCGGCTTGATATGGCATTAATAGGTCGGCCCAGGTCGACGCGATGGCAATCCTGAGGTGTGGGGAGTACCGTACGGTAATGTCATGTATGAACGTCGAGAGGCGAAGGTTGATTGGTAGGTGTGGGGTCATGGATTCGCACTCGTGCTTGCGGTTTGCCTGAGGTTGTCCGGAGTGTTGCTCTGATTGGATGGGGGTGCGGGCGTGTTCGGGGGGAATGGCGGGAGGGAGCCGTATTAGAGGTTTCTCGTTGGGATAGGTAGGGTGGCCTTAGGTGTATGTATGATATCGAATAGGGGATTAAGCAAGTTATTCTCACCACCTTTTACCTATACTGCACCCCAAATCTCCCTACGGTGCATCATTCCATCCTCGATATATACTCCTCTTGAACGGCCTCCGGCAGTGGCAGGGTGTGGTAATGCTGGTGCATAGTGTGTTGAGATTGAGCCCTGAGGTGCCTTGGCGGTTCTGTTTTGTCCGGGAATGTTTTGTTCGGTGGGGGTTCATGACGTACCCTACTTGTTCTCTCTTTGAGGTTATATCGAAGTTAAAGGAAAGAAGGAGGGAGTCTATTCAAAACCTCCGGTTATCACCCCCACCCACTACAGGTGCGACGGGGCCGCTGTAGTGCGTCAAGTTTCCTTGTCGCCACCGAGTCATGGACTATGCTAGGAGGTATCCGGGGGGCACGGTCGGTATTTATCCGGACGATACTCTTCCCGCTGCTGCTTAGAATATCCCTGTGCGTAGAAGACCTGGAACTGCACTTGGGTGTTGGTTGCTTCCATATTCCGATTCCCCGGATACGAAAGTGTATTCCGAGCGCTGTTGGTTAGCCAGTTTCCCACCATTCATGTGACTGACTCCCGGGAGGCGGAGGGCGGTTGTCCGTGCTTCAATGCTGCAGCCATGGGGGAAACGTTTCGTTTTTCCCTAATCCCTGGTTTTCATAAAAGCGCATATCTTGTGCTTACTCGAGTATATGGTAATGCCCAATCCTTCGCCGTAGGGTGACAGGCGGGGTATTCGGTTGTTTCCTGCCGGTGTGTGCTCTTGCCCTACTGGCTGGGTGGGATATATTTCCTTCAATTACCGAGTTTAGAAGTACCGGTATGCCTGCCTGCTGCGCTTGTGTGGTTTTGGGCAATCTTTAGCCATCAGTGTTCATCGATTGGATAAACAGATTGTTCCCTGCCCTCACGTGCAAACGTTTAGCCCAAGCGGGAGTGTGTATCTGCCTGGTTGTCCTGATATTTCGACGTCAATTTAGGTGAGTGTAGATACCGTACGGTACTGCAGCTGTGTGTCGTAGTGGCATTCCCTGGATCATGAGACCTGCGGGTATCGTATATTCCGAATGCCATACCAGCCCCTTAGGACATGACACTCAATCCCAGGCAAAATGTGCCAGAAATTGCACAAAAAATGGTTATCCTAGTTCTGCGGTTCAGAGGAAAGGTTGCCGAAAACGATGCAAACGTATGCTCCATATAACCTCCACCGTCAGCACCAGTCAAGACGCCGCTTCGTTTCGTTTCCGGTTTCGGGGCACCATAACCCTAAGTTTGGGGCAATGCATATTGTCTTCCATCTCTTGAGTTTGGAAGAAGCACAGGCGCTGTAGCTGCGCGAGTAGTGTATACCGGGGTCACAGTTCTTCGTTACATAGGATGGTGTACCATCCGCCCGGCAAAGCCGTGAAGCGCGAGGATTGTGGTTTAACTTCGCGTCCCAGCTCCCTGGCTTGTGTTCGGGTGCGGTAGAGGTGCGCACGCCGCACCAGCACTCGTGCGGCACAATCCAGCTCCCAGCCTCGCCGAAACCACAACTCCATCAACGGTTTCTGAAAAAAACATACTTTCACCTCAGGGACTTGCCTGAGCAAAGGAAGTGCACATACTGTCTCTACACAACCCTCCATGGCCCGTACGAGTACAAACACTCACCGGCTTTCCGGCTCCCCGCAAACAACTCCCCTTACCTCGTTCGCTCGGTGAAAGTGTGTTGCGCTTTACGCCAGCAAACTTAACACATTCGAGCTCCAAGCCTCTGCCCCGCCCTTACCGCCCCACTGCCATCCATCGCACTCGGGACTGAATTGATTGGCTTGAGCTTCGTAACATGCCCCATCCCTCTCAGAAGTCACCCAAACACACCCATCTTCGCAGAAACGAAACCACCATTTTGGAACTTTTTCAGCTCTCATCTTCTCGTGCGATCGGAAGCCCCCTCTTCTTCTTCTTCTTCCTGTTGGATCAAATCTTCAATTCGTTCACGTATGATATGCACTCCTGCTCAGCCGACTCCTCACCAACACCCAACACAAAGCGGAAATGATTTCCAACACTGGAATCCAGCGCCCGGTCCTTTGCCAACAAATTGCAAGGGTTGTGCATGAAAAGGTGGTACTGAACGGAGCAGGGATGTTGACGCTGATTTTACACAAATTAGTGGTTCGCCGCAACCAGCTCATGGAGAAACACAAGCCTTCCATTAAATTTGATCGAGGCAGGAAGAAATAGAGATCCCGTCGATGTCATGTTTCTCAGGTTTATCATCACTACTGAAACCTTACCAGTAGTTATGCACCAGATCATTCATTATCTTATCCCTAGCCCCTGCACATTCAGACCTATCCACGGTATTTTGGATCCCACTCGACCGTACAAGTATATCTCTCGCTGAGCTGTTGAAATTCTGTGGCAGCTTCCAATTCTCATGTAAAAGCATTCGCCGAACTGGAGGGCGGGGGCGTTCGGGGTCCTGTGGGGTTTTGGTGCGTTTTACCCCTTGCTCTTGTGCAGTCGCACCTCGCTATCCCGGGCGGCCGAAATTTGAGGAACCCGTCCGGCACGGCGAGTGGTCCGGGATAACGGGCGAGGCTTTGGCGGGGAGAGGTTCGGGGCTCGCGGGGCTTCATACGAGACAGCGAGGTATCCGGACTATCGAGATCCGGGACAGCGAGGTGGGACTTACAAATTTACTCTGAACAGCATTCCTGCGGCAGGTTCGGAACAGCTATTCCCAAAAGGGAAAAGAGGATAAAGGGATGAGGATAGCAATTGGGCGATAAACTGGTTGGATAGCATAGCATCGGGGGGTGCAGGTTTTCCCGCATTTTGCATCCCATGATGATCGCAGAGAGGCGGTAGGGGTTGCTTCCCTTGATGCATGGAGTTTCCCAGGATGCTCTGTTGGTACAGCACGAGTACTCGAGTACTGCAGAGTGATTTTGAAAGCGCAGGCCGGAAGAAAGGAATCACGGGAGCCTCAATTAGACTGCTTAAAATAAAGATTGTTAATATCGGTAGAGGGAATCTATTCAGCGCTGCAGGTATCATGAACTCTCTTCCTCCGTTGCCCTATGCCCCGCTGTACCGAATGAAATCCTGAAGTTTTGATGATCCGGGAAAACGGGGTGCGACTGCACATGAAACCCGAAGGGGATGAAAAAAGGCTCAAATGGAGACACCACGTGGGCAATTAAACATGCTAACTGTAGAAGAGAAGATTGGATCGACGCCAAAGTTTTGAAGCTCAAGATGCACGCACGAAATACAATCCCGGTATACCCTCGGCAAGTGCCGGTAAGCCAGCCCTTAAAGCGTTGCCCTACGTCTCCCGGTATCTTTCCCCCTCCCCCAATCAGCTAGCTGGCCGGAATAGGTTAGGCATGGGTAGTTGCGGTGTTACCTCAGGAAGAAGGGGGAAAAAAATACACCCCGCATGAGAATCATATCACGAGCTCGAGGGATATATGCGGGCGCAGCTCAGAGCAGCGGTGTTCTTGGAGGCGGTTATTCAGAGGAGGAGGATGATGGAAAACCCGAGGATCAAGGCAAGGCAAGCACCACAACTCTACTCATCGCAAAAGAAAGAATCAAAAAAAAGGGGAGAGTACTCGAGTAGGGCCCAAAGGATGGAAAAGGAAAAAAGCACCCAATCGTTTGCTTGGAAATCTCTATTTGTCTAGCACGTCACGGAGTACCGTGCTCGAGTATGTCGTTAGCCGATCCAGCTCCGTCTCTCCACTCATGATCCCTCCGAACAAGTCACCCGAACTCAATCCGAACAACAAATACCATTATTCCTTCCCCCCTTACTCGCTAGACGCGAGCCATCCAAACTCCTGTCTTAACAAATGATCTGCCGAGACCAAGCTGGCTGCTGGCCACGAGTGATCCCCTATGACTACTCGAGTACCGTACTCCAACCAAGCACCGATCTGAAAATACCTGCATACTGCAGAGAGATGCAGTTACAGATCGAGATGCGTGCATCTTGCGCTTGCACGGATTTGGGATGGTCGTCGCCGGCCGAGGAATCGCGGTGCCATAGCAGAGATGCCAAGTGCCGTACTAATATGAGAAAGATGAAGTGCTTTGAAGTTCTAGATCGCTAGCAGGAATACTCGAGTAGAATGCGCAGTGAGTTGTAGACCGGCGCGATGCGGGAGCTTGAGAGATAGCTTAGGCAGGGCTAGGACACGGGGAACTAGGGAACAATACCGGACCGGCCCGCTGGGTTCGGTGGTATCGGACCAACCAGCGTCTCGAGTGCCGGCACCCGAGCACATACTGTGTCTGTACTATACACGAGTAGTCATGGTAGATGGTAGTGGGGGTGGGTGGGATCAACAAACAATACTTCGGCGTTTAAACTCTGGTGGTGCAGAGTGTTTATGACAGGATAATAGTGAACGTCACGGAAGGGAAACTTGAATCGATGCAAGAACAGCCTTCACCGGGGGCATGACGAAAACCTGGGGTGGCAGACAGGGATCAGGTATGATAACGAATATTTTTTTGTTTCTATTACCCTACTTTGACAGACTCACTTTTCCGCCTGCCAAATGCCCCTGGTCGTCACTCGCCGCTTTTCGTCGTGCCATTGAAGACCTTAGAACCCGGTTTCGGCCCATCTAGTAGATACTGGTACCGATACCCTTCTTTTCTCACTCTCACTCTCACTCCCCCCCCCTCCCGAAACTCCTGTTTTGGCTATCATGTCGTCACTTCCTGTTTTACCCTCCCCCCCTGCACCTTCCCAATTCATTCCCCACTCTCGAAATTCCAAGACGCAGATCCCCACCCCCCCACCTCAACCTCTCGTTCAGTGGTGGCCTTTCTGGGAACCACGTTCGCGCCAAACTTCTCGCGATTCCTCCAATGCGTTGTCGGAGCCTTCCTCTCCCCTCCCTCCCTCCTCTGACCCGCTCAATGACCTCTAGTCACGCGGTTACAGGAACAGAAGAAGGTTCGCTTCTCACCCACTTAGGCTCCGAGTGAGATCGCATGAATCACCCGGGGGGGGAGGAACCTTCTACGGTAGATAGCCATGCCCACAGCCGGTAAGCGGGCGGGCGAGCGAGTATGATATGTCAAAATTACATCTAGGTGGAGCTCCACCTTAGTCTTTTTTTTTGTTGGATGTTTTCTATTTTTACTCTCTCTTTTATCTATTTGGAGGAGGGGCTGGATCTTGGCAGGTGTTTGGGGTTTTTAATGGTCCGAGCGCGGGGGAATTTTTGATAATGGGCTTGGGGGGGCGTTGAGGAGGAAAATTATTTACTTCCTTCCTTTCTTTCTCTCCCTGGGTTGCAAAGGTTACTGGTACTGTATTTGGAGGGCTTTAATGGGTTAATATAAGGTATATTCCGGTAAGGTTGGCGTGCTTTATAGATCATGGGGGAAAGATAAAACAGAAGGAGGGGGGGAAGGAGGCATATGTAAGTGTGATACAAGTAGTTTAAGGTTCAGGGGGCGGACGGGCCTAAGTTACAAGTAGAGTTTATGAGTAGAATAAGGGAGACAGGGAGCTTAGTGTGAACGGTACCGGTACGAGTACAGTAATGCAGGTAATGCAGGAGTACCTGAGTGATCATAGTAAGTTAGACCAAAAGAACCCCTCCCCATAGATAATAATAATAATGGTGGAGCAAGCCTCCTCGTCTACCGGAAGCCCTATGCTTATCAAGATTCCGCGTGGAGACTAAATTATCATGCCTCAGGCCGGCCTTCGGGTCCCGTATAAAGTAAGACACCGGGTTGGGCGCCCGCGACTCCGCAGCGTAGTGCAACGGGGCAGGAAAAACAGGGAAGAGCAAGAGGGAGAAGAAAAAGAAAAATTATAGCAGAAAAGAAAGAAGGGCTCGGCCACCCACATCAGCAACGCCAGCTATCGTACCGGTAGTTGGTTATTCACTCGATTTAGTGATGGATGCAGTACTATCCAACACCCTCTGATTGGCCCGTTGCCCTCTCGACCCCTCAGAGAAAACTGGATTCCCTCCCAGCCAGCCACTTTGATGAGAGGTTCGACAGACTGGCTCTCCACACACCACAAGCATGATACCCGCACGTACGGTACTGTACGAGTACTTGTATCATACCGGGGCCGTGACAGCCATGACCCACACAAGCTGGCACGATACGAAGCATGGTAACCATACCTCGCAGCTAGCAGCACACTGTACGAGTAGGAAAGAAATACCCCGAAAAACAGGGATTCAGACAGAAACGTATGGCAGCAAAAAAAAAATCCGTGCCATATCCGTGTTCCCACCCCCCTCCACAGACAAATTCACGACCCGTGTTTTCGGATAACCCTCGCCTTGGAACGGGGGTAATGAGTACGATACAGTACGGGTACAGTACAGTACTTGGTGCTGTATGTGATCTTGCGTTCGTACGGTACTTGTACTCATGGAGATCATATGCGACTCTCGCTCCCTGCGTGAGTGAGTGATTGTCATAAGCCCCCCAGTCCCCCCCCCCTACCCCAATCAATCGTGCATCTCACGCAGGGGCTGCTTGCTTGCTTGCTCGCTTGATTGCTCTACTTCGCGCCGCATAATTAGTTGCTCGTTCGTCGACGTTGACTCGACTTGATTAGCTATCAGCTGGCTGGCGGGCACTAACTATACTCGTGAAGAGTTGGCACGAGTACTACTGTATGTCAGTTGAGTTAGAACCACACAGTAAGTGCCTGACTGGGGAAATTTCATTCAGGGTTTTTTGAAATTTGTGTTTTTTTGTGGAGCCAGGGGAGGGAAAGGGAAAGGGAGGACTTAGTGGCGTTGTACTCGAGTAGTACTCGTACCATAATATGTTATTTATTTATTCATTCGTTCTATTAACTTACCGTACTTGTACCGTATTCCCAACAAGAATGAGAGGAATGGACGATTGTGTGACTCTCTCTCTCCTTTTTTCCTAATCCTATCTTATGGTAACTGTATTTACCTACCGTACCGGAGTCTTCTTCCTATTGTATGTAACCATTGATCTGATTCCTGGATGCTCCACTCAGTCACCCTTATGCCACATTGCGACATTCATTCTTGTAGGCTCAGCTTCAACCCCCCCCCCTATTCCCCTCCCCTTCCTCCACCCGCTTCCACTTGTCCATCTATGCATCTATCTAATTCGATCTGCTCCATTCATGTCTCCCCCCCCCCCCTTGTATGGTGGTGGTGGTGTGTGTGTATGAAGATCTGGGGGTTGAACGAAATCCTTGGACGGGAAGGAAGGCGAGAAATATATAGATTCAATGTTCGCCAGCTTTAGACCCCTCTCGTGCGTATACTCCTTAGTTCAGTACCTCATACAATCTACCTACCTACCTACCTTACCTTACCTTACCTTACCTACCCATCATCATCATTACACTCCCCATGTGAATGAGGGAAGGGAGGGTCGGACTATAAATTTAACAGAAATACACACACACAACCTATTGAACCTTTTTTTTCTCCCTGTTATATCCTCTCACTACGATGGATCAAGCAACAGAACTTCTATCACGGGTTGAGCACATACTACTCAAGCCGCTGTACCACTCCTCTTCCCTTCATGCTCTCGCAGCGTTTCTGGTATGGTACGTGGTGTACCAAAGGTACTTTCATCCTTTGAGGAAGTTTCCTGGACCATGTAGGCATTTGCCCCACCCACCCACCAACCCATCCACCCACCTGCATATACAACAACTAACCGGGAGAATAATAACAAGTCCTCGCAAGCCTGACCATCTTCTGGCGCCTGGGAAATATCCTCACATTCAGACAATCCCTCAACGACCACGCCTTGCACAAAAAGTATGGTCCGGTATTCCGGGACGGGCCCAACTCGCTGTCAATCTCCGACCCCCGCGCCCTGGAGCCCATATACGGGACCAAGAACGAGTTGAACAAGACGCCCTGGTACCTCGTCATGGACCCGGACAATACTGGTGAGGACTACAGCGTTTTCTCCAGCAGGAGGGCTGAACAGCATAAACGGTTGAAGAAGAGGATTGCTGGAGCGGTACGTTTTTTGGTCCCATCCCCCCGACGACGAATGAGAGGGAGAGGTGGATGAGGGATGGGATGGGCTGATGATCTCTTGGGAATGTTGTTGGTAGTACTCGATGACATCTGTACGGGTGTACGAGCCTGTTATCGACAGGAATATTAATGATTTGTTGGCCTGGATAAAGGAGCTCAAGACTTTGGACGTGTCTGTCTGGACACACTATTTTGCTATGGACTCCAGTATGTTGTTGTGCTCGTGACTTCCTCTTCTCTTTTTGCCGGTAAAAGCAAGCAGCGCGCTAACGCTTGTTGCACCTTTAAGTGAGTGAAATCGCCTACGGTAATCGAATGGGCTTCCTCATTAATGGGACGGATGTCAATGGTTACCGCAAAGCCCTACATGTAAGTCAAGTCTGCCTGCCGAAGAAAAAAACGGTGAGGGTGGGTGGAAATGTGCCCCAAGCTCTGGCAGGCTGGTCTGCTGCAATGATGCATACTACTAGAGTAGTCTAGCCGTTGTTTCCTTGGTAGAGAGAAAGACAGGCAAAAGAAGCAAATATGGGAAACTGACCATTTGTTGGTTATGCAACAACAGGAGTCCGTAGTGTGGATCGCTACCATGGGGTACCTTACTGGTCTAAATTACGTTATAAAATCCAAATGGCTAAGTCCGTATCTGGCGCCTTCGCCTAAGGATAAGCACGGGTACGGGCATATGATTGGGGTAAATTATATCTTCCATCTCTCTTCTCTTCGCCTTTCCCCTTCTACTCTTTCCCATTCATTCCTCCCCGCTTCATCCCATGACTTAGCTAACAACCCACCGCTACCAGATGACTGAAGCTCTCGCAACAAACCTGCTAGAGAACGGCAACACAACAGGCAAACGCAACATGTCACACGACCTCCTCCAATGCCGAAACGACGACAACACGCCCCTGAGCAAGAAGGAGCTAGTGGGCGAGATGCTCGCCTTCACTACCGCGGGCTCCGACCCGACGGCCTACGAGATTAGCGCCATCCTCGACCGCATCTGCCGACACGGCGATGTGCGCGAGAAGCTCCTGCAGGAGCTGCGCGCGGTGGGCGAGCTGGAGCAGAGCTCCGCGGAGGGCGTGGTGACGTACGCACAGACGTTGCGGCTGCCATACCTCTTGGCGGTGGTGAAGGAGACAATGAGGTTGAATCCCGCTTTCCAGGGCCAGTTCAGCAGGGTTGCGCCGGAAGGTGGTTGTGGTGGTGAGGTGGGAGGGCTGGAGGTGCTGCCGGGAGTGGTGGTGCCGGGCGGGGTGTGGTTGAGCATTAACACTTACGTGTCGCAGAGGGATAAACTCGTGTTCGGAGAGGACGCGGAAGAGTTCAAGCCCGAGAGGTGGTTGCCTATCGGCGGGGATAGGTACCATGCCATGTCCAAGTACCTCTCCGTGTTCGGATACGGGAGCACGGCGTGCATGGGACAACACCTGGCCTCACAAAAGATCAATAAGACGGTTGTCGAGGTAAGCTTTTCCCGTTTATCAATCAATCGCCGGTGGCAATATGTCGTGTCACCATTCCCTCCATCCAGAGGCCAGAGATACCAACCTAACATGTCTCTCGTCCTACAGATATTAAGACGCTTCAATGTAGAACTCAAGGATCCAAAAACCCCATTGAAGGAAAGGAACATTATCCAAATGTTCATCTCTGACCTATTCATGACATTCACGGAACGGGAGAAGAAAATATAGAACCAACAAAAAAAAATGAAAGCTAATTGCGGAAGAAAGCATGACACGAATTTCGAATTTCCGGGAGTTTAGGTGAACTTTTTTTTTCTTCATTTTTCATTTTTCATTTATCCTGTACTACTAGTAACTCATTTTATTCCATTCCATTCTAGGCGGGGGTCAGGCAGACAGGTTCTGGAGAGAAGAAAGAAGGGGGGGGGGGTACGATACCAAATTCTAGTTGATAAAAACCTTCATGTATCATATCATCATACCATAGCAATTGATTTTTTCTTTTACTCGTGAAGAAAACACCAACAAATCCCCCACAACAAACCCAGCCCACAAAGCTACTCGAGTAAGTTATTCCACCCATCGTACAACCATAAAGAGGTATAGTAGCACAAAAAGCCACACACATACTCGGCCTCCCCCGAAACAGTCACAAGGTCAGCCATTCACAAAACCGAGTTTCTCTCCGAAAAGGGGAAAACGGATTCGGCGAAAACCATAACCATTTCCACCGGGTGAAACCAGCCCTACGAGTACAGGTCGGAGGTTTCCGCTGGAAAACGGGACGGGTTCGGTTGGTTGTGCCTGTTCCGGGGGGTTGTCGGCTCGTGGCTAAATGTTGTGTGGGTGACGTGATAACTTACCTTACTTGCCGGTTAATTACGAGGAGGAAGTTGTTTATATGATACTAGTTTACGGTTAAACGGAGTGAAGCTTGGTGTGGGTTTTGTTTCGCGTTGTTGGGTGAATTGTTTTTTCCTGCTTGCTACGGGACACCGGCATGAGCGGAGCTACAGTACCCGTAGACTAATTAACACCGAGGGGATTTCGGAAAGCTGACGACGGGTCATTGGCGATCCCTTCGTTCGTATTCACGGAAAGATGTTAGTGTCGCACTAAACATGGGTGAATAAGATGTTAGCCCTAATTAGAATAGTTACTGGTAGCTTGACGTCAGGGGTGAAAAATGGGATGTGACAGCAGAGTTGCAACGGTAGCGACAAGGGAATACAGCATGATAGAAAGGATTTTGGCTGTTCAATAATATGGTAAGTGAAGAACTCTTAAAAGTAAGGATCTAGAAGGTTTGTTAATGATGTTTAGAAACTCTGATGCAAGAATGGCATCCTATATCGAACACCCAGCACTTGCAATTTTGGATGAATTAAATCCTGCCCTACTACATGCAGCTTCTATGAATCTTGATGATTCTGAAGATGCGGTGGAATTAGAAGAATATGCGTATAGAAATGAGGAGGAAGAGGAGGAAGTAGAGGACGATGGGCAAGAAGGAAGTTGCAATAACTGAGAATCGGTCTAGGCTCTTGACCGAGAATTACCTCCTCTACTACCATTCTCTCTGCTGATTCATCTTTCACCGAAATGTATGCACAATACCTTACTCTGCCTCCAGAGTTTACATCCCATAATACTATCACTGGTACCAATAGGGGAGATGTGAGGATAATCCAATTAACTCTGGGGTCCTTCTTCCAATTGTACTTTCCTGACGCTGAGTTCGACACACTAGTTGAGAACACAAATGCATATGCAGAGTATAAGAATGCAGGCCAGACAGAACGCAGAGGGTAGAGAACTACTAGTGGAGAGATAATAATTTTTATTAGTTTATTGATTTACATGAGAGTATATAAAGCGAGAATTGGGCTATATTGGGAAGGAAGCCATAAGTTTCCTGTTCATAATATTACACGATATATGTCAAGGTTCCGATTTGAGTAGTTAAAATAGTATTTTCATGTGGCTCCAGTTTCCTCCCAGCCCCATTCCCAATGCCATTAGACAGAAAAGCTACAACCACTGGCCAAGAACCTGGAAGAGCAGTTTCAGGCCAATCTAGTACTAGGGAGTAGTGTGGCATTGATGAGATAATGGTAAGATTTACAAGATGCTCTGTTCATACAATTATGATGCAAGCAAAACCTATTCCTCAAGGCTTCAAGATGTTAGCTCTATGTGAGAGAGGTTATACCTATGCCTTTATGTTTACCTCAAGATTTGATAAATTTTCTGATTTAAAAGACTCTTGATATCAAGGGCTAAGTAAACAGATCCTTTCTCCTACTTCTTATGCTGTTTTTCAATTGATGATGTTTCTGCCCTATACTACACATCGTTTTATCATCTACTATGACAATTATTTTTCAAATATACCTCTTTTTAAAGTACTTTATGTATATTTTATTTCAGCTTGTGGTACAAATAGGCCAAATTTGTAACGTGTTCGCAAGGTGCTAATCATGTTATCGGTAAAGATACGATAGTTGGCAGGTGGCCTGTTCTTCCAGAGAGGAGGCGAGAGCTGAGAACTAAAGGAGGCTTCGAGGGTGTACTGAGGAACAAAGAAGTAACCGTTCAACCAAGTATATTGAAATACTGTCTGTCGAAGTCTGCCTTTTCTATCGTAGAAACAAGCGGTCTTTAAATACACAAATCTGTTCATGTCTAGCATGAACGAAACTAATCAAGGTATCAATTGATACTCTTTGGTAAAACTCCTTAAGTATCAAAGCGATACTTAAGACAAAACATAAAACAAAACCAAGCATCAAACGATACTTAAAACAAACCAAGTATCAAAACGATACTTAAACAAACTAAGTATCAAAGTGATACTTAAAACAAAACATAAAACAAAACCTAGTATCAAACGATACTTAAAACAAACCAAGTATCAAAACGATACTTAAATAAACTAAGTATCAAAGCGATACTTAAAACAAAACATAAAACAAAACCAATAACCGAGTACCCATACCGGTTACAAAATTCCTCAAAATATTCCTGCACTTTTAAATCCAACAAGCATGTCTCTTATCTACTATGGAATACTCTCTCTAGTATTGTAACCGGTACGGGTACTTGGTTATTGGTTTTGTTTTATGTTTTGTTTTAAGTATCGCTTTGATACTTGGTTATTGGTTTTGTTTTATGTTTTGTTTTAAGTATCGCTTTGATACTTGGTTTGTTTTAAGTATCGTTTGATACTTGGTTTTGTTTTATGTTTTGTTTTAAGTATCGCTTTGATACTTAAGGAGTTTTACTAAATGGTATCGATTGATACCTTTGATTAGTTTCGTTCATGCTAGAAATGAACAGATTTGTGTATTTAAAGACCGCCTGTTTCTACGATAGAAAAGGCAGACTTCGACAGACAGTATTTCAATATACTTGGTTGAACGGTTACTTCTTTGTTCTCCAGTACACCCTCGAAGCCTCCTTTAGTTCTCAGCTCTCGCCTCCTCTCTGGAAGAGCAGGCCACCTGCCAACTATCGTATTCCTTACCGATAACGTGATTAGCACCTTGCGAACACGTTACATTTTTTTAACCTCAGCAAGTGGTTAAGAACCTGTCCCTGGATTTAGACCTGATCAACCTATCGATATCCACCTCAGAACGCTAGCGGAGAGAAGCGGCAGAATCACAGCACATTCGGCTTCATCTCAAACCCAAGATAGAGTCTTTGACGACCAGGAGTGGGAAGCAAATCCCACGGCAAGACCTTACAAGAAAGAAACAACCCCAGCGCTCTGCTAAAGAGCCGGGCGATCCTGCAAACATGGAAGATACACAACCTCCAGGAGAATTCCCTTCTACCCCGACAAAGAAGCCTTCCTTTGAACCTCCAAACGACCCCGAATCTAGTAGCGAATCAGATATGGCTAGTACAGGAGGAGGGCCTTCTGGAGGAGGGAAATCTCAGGCAAGGCCTGAAGAAGAGGAGGTACCCGCAGCATTTGAACCCCCTAAGTTTAAACTCCACCTCCCAGCGAAATTCACAGGAGAAGGAAAAGACCTCAAACCTGAAGCCTTTGAACAATGGGCAACAGAACTCTCACACTTCCTACTCTTACAGGGAAAAGATGTGGAAGATCCTACAACTGGACTTATCATTGGATCATTCTGTGAAGGAAAGGCAACCGACGCATACCATCAATGCTATATGGATTTCGGCGGGAATGTAAGATTGAGAGGATCTACAGTTCTCGATTACCTGAAAGGACGATTCCAATCCTCTATAACCAATGACCTCCTATACAACAAATTCAACCAGCTCCAGCAAGTTAACGGAACGCATGTCAAGCGAATCACCGACGTGGCTACGGACCTAATAATGTATAAGGACCGGATGGAGAGAGGAAGTATCTCCAAATACATCCTGAAGCGACGATTCTACGACACCATGCACCCTACCCTCCGGCGAGAAGTAGAACCACTCGAGGAAGATGGCGATGATATTGCAGTAATAATTGCAAGAGCAGAACGAAAGGACGCCATTCTCCATGAAACCAAGGCCTACAAAACACAGACATCCTCTAGTAGGAACAGCCAGACACGACACAAAGCCTCAAGCAACTCTGAAGACGATACCCCACGGGTTTCCAAGAAGAAAACAAAATCCTCCAAAGAATCGAGACGGCAAAAAGGCGAATGTTTTGAATGTGGAAAAACAGGACACATGGCAAAGAACTGTCCAATGAAGAAAGGAAAAAGAAAGGGAATTAAGCAAGAGGCGTCGGCCAACAATGTTGAAAGCGATAACGCCCAATCCAGTGAATTTGAAGAGATCAATATCGGATATATCGATGTGGAATGCAACAGTGTTTGACCTCTGGCTACATTCAAAGCACACACCGCTTTAGAAGGTACTATCCTGATCAATGGCAAAAGGGCTCAAATCCTATTCGACACTGGAGCAATCGGAAGAGATATGATCAGTAATGCCTTTGTCTCTGTCCATGGACTCCCAACTCAAGACCTTAACCAACCCATACCAGTCAATATGGCAGTAAAAGGATCACGATCCACAAGCCATAAAACCTGTAGTGCGACCATTCGACTTGGTTCTGCAGTCTTACCCTCCCAGGAAATGCTGGTTGGAAACCTAGCCAAATACGATGCCCTTATAGGCATGCCATTACTGAACCGCCATAAAGCTATAATCAGATGTGGGGAATCAACAATCGATTTCCCAGATCAGAAGGTCAGAGTCTCATGCAAGCCAACAAGCGGAGAATAGCGAGCCGCAGTCTGTGAAGCAACTGCCCTACGACTATTGGATGAGTACTCTGATGTTTTCCCTGATCAAATACCCGAAGAACTACCACCTATGAGAGAGGTGAATCACCACATCCGCCTCCGAGACCCCTCGAATCTAAAAAACCAACCCACCTACTCTATTCCTGATGCATACAAAGGCCCACTTTGTGATTGGATCAACCAACAACAAAGAAGAGGAGTCATCTACCGGGCAGAAGCCCCA